ACCATATTTCCCCTTCCATATGCGTAGAAAGAAGACAAATAAGCTTCGATTGGGCTTAATTCAATTCGCATGGTGTTTTTTGGGTGTGCACCAGAATCACCCCAACCAAAGCAAAAAGGTGTTTTGGCATCCATCTACATAAAAAGAAGATGATAACGCTCTGATTGGGCTTATTTCAAATTGGTGTTTTTGGGTTTAAAATGCACATTCAACCAAAAATCTCAGAGTGAAATGTTTTTCAGCCCAATTCAAGCATAGGTCTTTTGGTTCCACCTCAATAGAAGTAGGACTAATAAGCTTGGATTACACTTTCGGTGTTCATTCACCCACAAATAACAGAGCGAAGTGTAATAAGCCTAAACAAAGCAAAACAGGTTGTTTTGAGTTCCATCTACATAGAAAGAGGCATCTTGGATTTCGCTTATTTCAAAGTCGTCTTCTTTGGTTTTAATGCACATTGACCAGAAATCGCAAAGTGTATTTAATCAGACCAAAATAACAAAACACCATCTTTCCGCTTCCATATGCGTAGAAAGAAGAAGAATAAGCTTTGATTGGGCTTATTTCAATTCGCATGGTGTTTTTTGGGTGTGCACCAGAATCACCCCAACCAAAGCAAAAAGGTCTTTTGGCTTCCATCTACATAAAAGGAAGATGATAACGCTCTGATTGGGCTTATTTCAAATCGGTGCTTATGGGGTTAGAATGCACATGGACCCAAAAATCGCAGAGGGAAATTTGTTATCAGCACAAATCAAACATAGGTGTTTTGGTTCCATCTCAATAGAAGGAGGACGTATAAGCTTGGATTGCACTTTCGGTGTTCATTCACCCACAAATAAGAAAGCGAAGTGTAATAAGCCTACACAAAGCAAAACAGGTTGTTTTGAGTTCCATCTACATAGAAAGAGGCATCTTGGATTTCGCTTATTTCAAAGTCGTGTTCTTTGGTTTTAATGCACATTGACCCAGAAATCACAAAGTGTATTTAATCAGATCAAAATAACAAAACACTATATTTCCGCTTCCATAGCATAGAAAGAAGAAGAATAAGCTTTGATTGGGCTTATTTCAATTCGCATGGTGTTTTTTGGGTGTGCACCAGAATCACCCCAACCAAAGCAAAAAGGTCTTTTGGCTTCCATCTACATAAAAGGAAGATGATAACGCTCTGATTGGGATTATTTCAAATTGGTGTTTTTGGGGTTAGAATGCACATTCAACCAAAAATCGCAGAGTGAAATGTTTTTCAGCCCAACTCAAGCATAGGTGTTTTGGTTCCACATCAATAGAAGGAGAATAAGCTTGGATTGCACTTTCGGTGCTCATTCACCCACAAATAACAGAGTGATAAGCCTAAACAAGTGTAATAAGCCTAAACAAAGCAAAACAGGTTGTTTTGAGTTCCATCTACATAGAAAGAGGCCTCTTGGATTTCGCTTATTTCAAAGTCGTTTTCTTTGGAGTTAATGCACATTTACCCAGAAATCGCAAAGTGTATTTAATCAGACCAAAGTAACAAAACACCATCTTTCCGCTTCCATATGCGTAGAAAGAAGAAGAATAAGCTTTGATTGGGCTTATTTCAATTCGCATGGTGTTTTTTGGGTGTGCACCAGAATCACCCCAACCAAAGCAAAAAGGTCTTTTGGCTTCCATCTACATAAAAAGAAGACAATAAAGCTCTGATTGGGCTTATTTCAAATTGGTGTTTTTGGGTTTAAAATGCACACTTACCCAAAAATCGAAGAGTGAAATGTTCGTTATAAGCCCAATTCAAGCATAGGTGTTTTGGTTCCATCTCAATAGAAGGAGGACGAATAAGCTTGGATTGCACTTTCGGTGTTCATTCACCCACACATATCAAAGCGAAGTGTAATAAGCCTAAACAAAGCAAAACAGGTTGTTTTGAGTTCCATCTACATAGAAAGAGGCCTCTTGGATTTCGCTTATTTCAAAGTCGTGTTCTTTGGTTTTAATGCACATTGACCCAGAAATCACAAAGTGTATGTAATGAGACCAATACAACAAAACACCATATTTCCGCTTCCATATGCGTAGAAAGAAGACAAATAAGCTTCGATTGGGCTTATTTCAATTCGCATGGTGTTTTTTGGGTGTGCACCAGAATCACCCCAACCAAAGCAAAAAGGTGTTTTGGCTTCCATCTACATAAAAAGAAGATGATAACGCTCTGATTGGGCTTATTTCAAATTGGTGTTTTTAGGGTTAGAATGCACATTTAACCAAAAATCGCAGAGTGAAATGTTTTTCAGCCCAACTCAAGCATAGGTGTTTTGGTTCCATCTCAATAGAAGGAGGACGAATAAGCTTGGATTGCACTTTCGGTGTTCATTCACCCACACATATCAAAGCGAAGTGTAATAAGCCTAAACAAAGCAAAACAGGTTGTTTTGAGTTCCATCTACATAGAAAGAGGCCTCTTGGATTTCGCTTATTTCAAAGTCGTGTTCTTTGGTTTTAATGCACATTTACCCAGAAATCGCAAAGTGTATTTAATCAGACCAAAGTAACAAAACACCATCTTTCCGCTTCCATATGCGTAGAAAGAAGACAAAGAAGCTTCGATTGGGCTTAATTCAATTCGCATGGTGTTTTTTGGGTGTGCACCAGAATCACCCCAACCAAAGCAAAAAGGTGTTTTGGCATCCATCTACATAAAAAGAAGATGATAACGCTCTGATTGGGCTTATTTCAAATTGGTGTTTTTGGGGTTAGAATGCACATTCAACCAAAAATCGCAGAGTGAAATGTTTTTCAGCCCAACTCAAGCATAGGTGTTTTGGTTCCACCTCAATAGAAGGAGGACGAATAAGCTTGGATTACACTTTCGGTGTTCATTCACCCACAAATAACAGAGCGAATAAGCCTAAACAAAGCAAAACAGGTTGTTTTGAGTTCCATCTACATAGAAAGAGGCATCTTGGATTTCGCTTATTTCAAAGTCGTCTTCTTTGGTTTTAATGCACATTGACCAGAAATCGCAAAGTGTATTTAATCAGACCAAAGTAACAAAACACCATCTTTCCGCTTCCATATGCGTAGAAAGAAGAAGAATAAGCTTTGATTGGGCTTATTTCAATTCGCATGGTGTTTTTTGGGTGTGCACCAGAATCACCCCAACCAAAGCAAAAAGGTGTTTTGGCTTCCATCTACATAAAAAGAAGATGATAACGCTCTCATTGGGCATATTTCAAATCGGTGTTTTTGGGGTTACAATGCATATGCTTCCAAAAATCGCAGAGGGAAATTTGTTATCAGCACAAATCAAACATAGGTGTTTTGGTTCCATCTCAATAGAAGGAGGACGTATAAGCTTGGATTGCACTTTCGGTGTTCATTCACCCACAAATAAGAAAGCGAAGTGTAATAAGCCCAAACAAAGCAAAACAGGTTATTTGGGGTTCCATCTACATAGAAAGAAGAATCTTGGCTTTCACTTATTTCAACGTCGTGTTCTTTGTTGTTAATGCACATTTACCCAGTAATCGCAAAGTGTATTTAATGAGACCAAAATAACAAAAACACCATATTTCCGCTTCCATAGCGTAGAAAGAAGAATAAGCTTTGATTGGGCTTATTTCAATTCGCATGGTGTTTTTTGGAGGTGCACCAGAATCACCCCAACCAAAGCAAAAAGGTGTTTTGGCATGCATCTACATAAAAGGAAGATGATAACGCTCTGATTGGGCTTATTTCAAATTGGTGTTTTTGGGGTTAGAATGCACATGGACCCAAAAATCGCAGAGGGAAATTTGTTATCAGCACAAATCAAACATAGGTGTTTTGGTTCCATCTCAATAGAAGGAGGACGTATAAGCTTGGATTGCACTTTCGGTGTTCATTCACCCACAAATAAGAAAGCGAAGTGTAATAAGCCCAAACAAAGCAAAACAGGTTATTTGGGGTTCCATCTACATAGAAAGAAGAATCTTGGCTTTCACTTATTTCAACGTCGGGTTCTTTGTTGTTAATGCACATTTACCCAGTAATCGCAAAGTGTATTTAATGAGACCAAAATAACAAAAACACCATATTTCCGCTTCCATATGCGTAGAAAGAAGACGAATAAGCTTCGATTGGGCTTATTTCAATTCGCATGGTGTTTTTTGGGTGTGCACCAGAATCACCCCAACCAAAACAAAAAGGTGTTTTGGCTTCCATCTACATAAAAAGAAGATGATAACGCTCTGATTGGGCTTATTTCAAATTGGTGTTTTTGGGGTTATAATGCATATTCACCCAAAAATCGCAGTGAAATGTTTTTCAGCCCAAATCAAGCATAGGTGTTTTGGTTCCACCTCAATAGAAGGACGACGAAAAAGCTTGAATTGCACTTTTGGTGTTCATTCACCCACAAATAACAGAGCGAAGTGTAATAAGCCTAAACAAAGCAAAACAGGTTGTTTTGAGTTCCATCTACATAGAAAGAGGCATCTTGGATTTCGCTTATTTCAAAGTCGTGTTCTTTGCTTTTAATGCACATTGACCCAGAAATTGCAAAGTGTATTTAATGAGACCAAAATAACAAAACATCATCTTTCCGCTACCATAGCATAGAAAGAAGAATAAGCTTTGATTGGGCTTATTTCAATTCGCATGGTGTTTTTTGGGTGTGCACCAGAATCACCCCAACCAAAGCAAAAAGGTGTTTTTGCCTCCATCTACATAAAAAGATGATAACGCTCTGATTGGGCTTATTTCGAAATAGTGTTTTTGGGTTTTGAATGCACATTCACCCAAAAATCGAAGAGTGAAATGTGCGTTATAATCCCAATTCAAGCATAGGTGTTTTGGTTCCATCTCAATAGAAGGAGGACGAATAAGCTTGGATTGCACTTTCGGTGTTCATTCACCCACAAATAACAAAGCGAAGTGTCATAAGCCTAAACAAAGCAAAACAGATTATTTTGGGTTCCATCTACACAGAAAGAAGAATTTCACTTATTTCAAAGTTGTGTTCTTTGATGTTAATGCACATTTACCCAGTAATCGCAAAGTGTATGTAATGAGACCAAGATAACAAAGCACCATCTTTCCGCTTCCATAGCGTAGGAAGAATAAGAATAAGCTTCGATTGGGCTTATTTCAATTCGCATGGTGTTTTTTGGGTGTGCAGCAGAATCACCCCAACCAAAGCAAAAAGGTGTTTTGGCTTCCATCTACATAAAAAGAAGATGATAACGCTCTCATTGGGCATATTTCAAATCGGTGTTTTTGGGGTTACAATGCATATGCATCCAAAAATCGCAGAGGGAAATTTGTTATCAGCACAAATCAAACATAGCTGTTTTGATTCGATCTCTATAGAAAGAGGAGGAATAAGCTTGGATTGCTCTTTCGGTGTTCATTCACCCACAAATAACAAAGTGAAGTGTAATAAGTGGGAGTAACATGGGCCCATCACGCCTTGATGGAAGGAAAACGAACTGATACTATCCAAGCATTATCCCTAACAATCTTACTAGGCCTATACTTTACAGCCCTACAAGCCAGCGAATATCACGAAACATCCTTCACTATCTCAGACAGCGTCTATGGCGCAACTTTCTTTGTAGCCACCGGCTTCCACGGCCTACATGTAATTATTGGATCCCTATTTCTCACTACCTGCCTCATTCGACAATCCTTATTTCATTTTACAACAAACCATCACTTCGGATTTGAAGCAGCCGCTTGATACTGACATTTTGTAGACGTTGTATGATTATTCCTGTATGTATCAATCTACTGATGAGGCTCTTACTTTTTTAATATAACTAATATAGATGACTTCCAATCATCCAACCTCAGTTCAACCTGAGAAAAAGTAATGAATCTTATACTAATATTAATTATTACTACACTAATTTCTTTTATCCTAATACTAGTAAGCTTTTGACTACCACAAATATTACCAGACATAGAAAAACTCTCCCCCTATGAATGTGGCTTTGATCCTTTAGGCACAGCACGACTACCATTCTCCATTCGTTTTTTTCTAGTAGCCATCTTATTTCTTCTTTTTGATCTAGAAATTGCTCTTCTACTTCCAACCCCATGAGCAATTAACCTCTCACAACCCACAACCACTATAATATGAACCTCTACAATTATTACACTACTAACTGCTGGCCTAATTTATGAATGAGTCCAAGGCGGCTTAGACTGAGCTGAATATGGGGGTTAGTCTAACTAAGACAATTAATTTCGACTTAATAAATTCTAATATAACTAGAACCCCTAACATGTCAATAATTTTTTTTCTATTAAACATCATATTTTTACTGGGACTCCTAGGCTTATCCATTCACCGAACTCACTTTATATCTATTTTAATTTGTCTTGAAGGCATCATATTAATTCTTTTCTTAATATTAGCCATATTCACAACCTTTACAAACACCCCAACTACTGCCATATTACCTATTTTACTTCTAGCACTATCTGCCTGTGAAGCCAGCACTGGTCTTGCCCTCCTAGTCGCAACTTCCCGAACACATGGAACAGATCATATAAAAACCCTAAACTTACTAAAATGTTAAAAATTATTATTCCAACTGCCCTCCTAATTCCCTCAGCCTTCTTACTAAACTCAAAAATCCTATTCCCAACTTTAACTGCATATTCTATATTATTAGCACTTTCAAGTCTTATATTATTTAACCACCCTATACTCCTAAAAATCTCCAACACAACCATATATTTTAATATTGATCCCACCTCCTCCCCTCTAATTATTTTATCCTGCTGACTATTACCACTCATAATTCTAGCCAGCCAAAACCACTTAAAAACCGAACCCTTAACCCGTAAACGAACTTTCTTAATAACTTTAATAACACTACAAACAACCCTAATCATAACCTTTGCAGCCTCAGAATTTATTTTATTCTATATTTTATTTGAAACAACCCTAATTCCTACCCTGATTATTATTACACGTTGAGGTAACCAAGCTGAACGCTTAAACGCCGGCCTTTATTTTTTATTCTATACCCTAACAAGCTCCTTACCACTCTTAATCACACTCTTATATTTTAATAATAAATACTCTTATGCCTCAATAGAACTTCTATTTATAACTCAACCAGAACTACTTTCCACAGACTCTAGCCCCATGCTCTGATTTGCCTGCCTTTCAGCCTTCCTAGTTAAATTGCCCTTATATGGTCTTCACCTCTGACTCCCAAAAGCACATGTAGAAGCCCCAATCGCTGGCTCAATGGTCCTAGCTGCTATTTTATTAAAACTGGGGGGCTACGGCTTAATTCGCATCTCATCCGTACTAAACCCTCACCCCCCTAATCTAATATTTCCAATTATTATCCTCGCCCTCTGAGGCATTTTAATAACCAGCTCAATCTGCCTATGACAAACAGACCTAAAAGCTCTTATTGCTTACTCATCCGTAAGTCACATAGGTCTTGTAACCGCTGCTATTATTGTACAAACACCATGAGGATTAACTGGAGCTATAACCTTAATAGTTGCACATGGCCTGACATCATCAGCCCTTTTTGCCCTAGCAAACACCAACTATGAACGTACACACACCCGAACACTTCTCCTAGTTCGAGGCCTACAATTGGCCTTCCCACTAATATCAACCTGATGACTTCTTATTAACCTAACTAATATGGCTATACCCCCAACAATCAACCTACTTGGCGAACTATTTATTATCTCCACCCTACTTAACTGATCTACCCCAACAATTATTATTACCGGAATCGGAACCCTTATTACTGCCACTTACTCACTTTATATATTTTTAATAACCCAGCGAGGAAGCATTTCAACTCAATTTCAACTTCTTCCCCCCACCCACACTCGAGAGCATCTTACCTTAACCCTACATGTCAGGGGTTCAGGGAGAGAGGCACAGGGTAGGCAGGAGATGGAGAGCGATGGGGATGAATTCCAAGCCAGCGAGGAAGAGGATGACAATGACTCAAGAGATTCCATGAGTCTTTCCAGCGAATCAGAGGATTCCCAGAAGGGGGCGCCGGTGGTCAAGGCCAGGGGAGCCCCAGGGGGGACGTGTCAGGAGCAGGGGGCCAGCGGAGGATCCCAAAGTGGCAGCTGGGCGTCAGGACCAGCCTCCCCACCAGAGTGCAGCGAAGGGGGTGGAGTTTCCAGTGTGTCAGGGGAAGCAGCTCCGGCAGCAGAGAAAGGAGGGAGGTCAGAGCACGCCGCCCTCCCGGAAGGGGAGGGGAGCAGTGAAGGGAGTAGTGTAACTGTCAAAAGGAAAGTTAGAGGTTTGGCGCGCGCGCCAAGTTCAAATGTAGAGGCGCGCGGAAGTACAGGGAGCCCGGAGGAGGGGCCAGGTCCCAAAGCCCGCAGGAAGGGGGAAGAGCAGTCTGATTCCGCGTCAGAGGAATCCAGGAGGGGCGAAACCCCAGCGGGCAGAAGGACCCTGCGGAAAAGGAAGGAGAGAAAGAGGTGGAGCAGCGCAAGCCTCTTAAATTGGTGTAGGGGAGGGACGGATTCAGAGGGGACTTCAGCGGTCTAAGCGTAGCAGACGTAAGGCTGCGCGCCTAGGATGTCAAGCAAACAATGAACTGCAATAAACACTTTTGTATATAAGAAGACATAGGCGTTGGTCTTTTGTGAGCTGAGACTTGAGGCAGCCTTGACACTACACTTATTACCCTTAGGACTTCTAATTATAAAACCCACCCTCATTTCAGGCCTATTTACTTGTAAATATAGTTTATCAAAAACACTAGACTGTGACTCTAGAAACAGAAGTTCTACCTTCTTATTTACCAAGAGGTGTATTAACAATTAGAGCTGCTAACTCAAAGAACTAAGAATAAAATTCTCAGACCTCTTACCTCTATAGGAAAGCAGAAATCCATTGGTTTTAGGTACCAGAAATCTTGGTGCAACTCCAAGTAGAAGTAAAAATGCACGATCTTCTCCTACATTCAACCCTGCTTACAGTCCTATTCATCTTAACACACCCAATTCTCACAACCATAAATCCAATTCCCCTAATAATAGGGTGAGGTATACTTTACGCAAAAACTGCTGTACAACTGGCATTCAAAGTCAGCCTTATTCCCCTAACTATCTTTATAAACTATGGGATAGAAGCCTCCACAACCAACTTTACATGAACCAACATTGCCAACATAGACATCAACGTTAGCCTTGTCCTAGACATGTACTCCCTCACATTTATCCCAATCAGCCTCTTCGTTACATGATCTATTCTTGAATTTGCTAATTGATATATATCACAAGACCCCCACATAACCCGATTCTTCAAATACCTCTTAGTCTTTTTATTAGCTATACTAACACTTGTTACAGCCAATAATATATTCCAACTGTTTGTTGGATGAGAAAGCGTAGGAATCATATCCTTCATATTAATCGGCTGATGGTTTACCCGTCCAGACGCCAATACCGCAGCCCTTCAAGCCATTATCTTCAATCGTGTAGGTGATATTGGATTAATACTAGCCCTCGCCTGACTTGCAATACACTTGGCAACCTGAAATATTCAAGAAATAACAATTGAAACTAAAACTCCCCCCCTTTTACCTCTTTTCGGCCTTATTCTTGCCTCCGCAGGTAAATCCGCGCAATTTGGACTCCACCCCTGACTTCCAGCTGCCATAGAAGGCCCAACCCCCGTTTCAGCCCTACTTCATTCCAGCACAATAGTCGTAGCCGGCATCTTCCTACTCATCCGACTCCATCCAATTTTACAAAACAACAAAACAGCCTTAACTATCTGCCTTTGTCTAGGGGCACTCACTACACTATTTACAGCTCTCTGTGCCCTAACACAAAATGATATTAAAAAAATTATTGCCTTCTCAACCTCTAGTCAACTAGGCCTCATAATAGTAACCATTGGCCTAAACCAACCACAACTTGCCTTTCTTCACATCTCAACACATGCCTTTTTCAAAGCTATACTATTCTTATGTTCTGGTGCAATTATTCATAATCTTAACAACGAGCAAGACATCCGAAAAATAGGAGGTATACAAAAAATATTGCCTACCACAGCCACCTGCCTTACAATTGGTAATCTTGCTTTAACAGGAACCCCTTTCTTATCAGGCTTCTACTCAAAAGACACAATCATTGAAACTATAAATAACTCCCACCTAAACGCCTGAGCCCTAATACTTACACTCTTTGCAACTATATTAACCGCCACCTACACCATACGAATAACCTTCTACGTCCAAATAAGTTTACCACGAACAACAACATCAACAATAAATGATATACCACCAACCCTCTCTAACCCACTTATTCGTCTTGCCATCGGAAGCCTTGTGGCAGGCCTAATCCTTATAATTACCCTCCTCCCAACAAAACCAACTCCAACCACAATACCAACTTCTATAAAACTCACTGCTATTATTATTACCATCCTTGGAGCACTTTTTGCCCTTCAAATTGCAAAAAAAACAACCTGACTTATAATCACAAAACGATCAAAACACCATGAATTTTCTAATCAACTAGGCTTCTTTAATCCAACACTTCACCGCATCATTCCCTTAGCATCTCTGTTTATAGGACAAAACATAGCCCTTCATATTAACGATCTACTTTGATTAGAAAAATCAGGACCTAAAGGACTGGTTTCTTTAAATCTTCCCAACATCAAAGCCAACACATTAGCACAGAAAGGCCTTATGAAATTCTATCTTTACATTTTCATTATTACTTCAGCATGCTTTATTACAATCATATACACCTAACTGCACGAAGACCTCCTCGCACTAATCCACGAGTTAACTCCAATACTACAAATAGTGCCAACAACAATGCCCATCCACAAATCAATAATCTAGCTTCTCACGTGAGAATCATCAACCCCTGCACATAATGCCCCCCTCCCTAGTCTCACGTCCATAACATGAGGTTGCACCACTTTCTCACCTTTTCCAAGGCCTCTGGTTGTTAGGTCAGGACCATTCTACTCTCCATCACCACTTTCTCACCTTTTCCAAGGCCTCTGGTTAATGGGTTAGTTACCCTCTTACCCTTGCTCATAGCATAACTGGTTTTCCTGGCGGCTGGTATTTTTTATTTCTCTTTCCCTTCAGACCTCATCTCAAGTGCTCCTACCAATCCGGTTTTAGTCTGAACTAACAGTGCAATGGTCTTCGCGCAAGTTCTCTATATGGTATTATTGTCTTAATGCTTGCTAGACATATTTTTTTATACCACGAACGCAACCCTAAAATTTCCCATACAAATTTCAACAAATTTTAACAAATTTTTAACAAAATTTTCAAAAAAACCTCTAATGCAATATTTTATACACAATACTCCGCGTCCGTGCTCATCACACGAAACTAAAAAAATTATTAATATTTTTTCTACAACAACTAAATTAATTATAATACTAAATTTAACCATATAAATTAAAATTAAACTAAAAAAAAATACATTTTTTTTATGGCAAACCCCCCTACCCCCCTACCAATAATTTTTCATGTTTAATCAAATTTTTTTCTCGCCAAACCCCTAAAACGAGATTCGACTAAACTGATTAATTATCGGTTAACTACAGTCAACACTACACCATTCAAAATGAAAGTGCTACTGCAATTTTTTGTTTAAACCCTTGTTAAAATTTAATTCATTTGTTAAACTTTTGTCCTAAAAACTTCTAACACACCTTAAATTTTAATGAAGATCTTTATAAAATATGTTACCTTTGTCAGGACCAAACAACAAAACCTTTTTTAATAATTTGTTATGTTTGTCTGGACCAAACTACACTTTTTTAAAAATTTTTTTGTTTCATATATATATATAAAAAAAATTTTTTTATACTATTAACAATATTTATTATATATTCCAGGACAAAATTATGTCATTGTAGCTTATTTTTTAAAGCACGGCACTGAAGATGCCGAGACGAGGAATAGAAAAAACCTCCACGGACAACAGCTTTGGTCCTGGGCTTACCGTTATTTTTTATTAAGATTATACATGCAAGCCTCAACAATCCAGTGAAAACGCCCATAACCCCTTAAAAGATAAAATGGAGCAGGCATCAGGCACTATTATAAGCCCATAACGCCTAGCCACGCCACACCCCCACGGGCTTACCAGCAGTAATAAACATTGGGCTATAAGTGAAAACTTGACCCAGCTATAATAATTTAGGGCTGGTCAATTTCGTGCCAGCCACCGCGGTTATACGAAAGGCCCAAAATAACGACAAACCGGCGTAAAATGTGACTAGAGATCTATAATATTTTAAACATCAAAATTCTTAATCTAGTTGTAAAACACTCAGATAATGAAGAAAACCACTACAGATATTTTTATATTATACTCTTGACCACACGAAAGCTTAGAAACAAACTAGGATTAGATACCCTACTATGCTAAGCCCTGAACATCGATAGTTACCTATACAGGACTTTCCGCCAGAGAACTACAAGTGAAAAACTTGAAACTCAAAGGACTTGACGGTGTCCCATATCGACCTAGAGGAGCCTGTCCTATAATCGATAATCCCCGTTCCACCCAACCTCAACTAGCAAAATATCAGCCTATATACCGCCGTCGACAGTTTACCCTATGAAGGCCCAATAGTAAACACAATAGCCTTATCGCTAACACGTCAGGTCAAGGTGTAGCAAATGTTGAGGAAGAGATTGGCTACATTTTTTATAATAAAAAATACGAATTGCACTATGAAACACTGCATGAAGGTGAATTTAGTAGTAAAACAGATAAGAGTGTCTGTTTTAACAACGCTCTGGGACGCGTACACACCGCCCGTCACCCTCCTCAACAAAACAAAACAACTTTTATAAACAAAGTCTACTAAAACTAGAGGAGGCAAGTCGTAACATGGTAAGCGTACCGGAAGGTGTGCTTGGACTAACAAAGAGTAGCTTATATAAAGCACCCAGCTTACAACTGGAAGATGCCGCATTCAAACCACGACCTTTTTGAGCCCAACAACTTCAGCCAAACAAACCTACAAACCCTCAAACAACCCTTAATTTAAACCAAACCATTTTTTCCGGCCAGTAAATGAGATTAAACCCCACCATGGCCTTACAAGTACCGCAAGGGAACAGTGAAAGAATAATGAAAAACTCTAAGCATAAAACAGCAAAGACCAACCCCTGTACCTCCTGCATCATGGTTTAGCAAAACCTCTTCAGACAAAGCGAACCTTTAGCCTGCCCCCCCGAAACCAAACGAGCTATTTTTGGGCAGCTGTTAATCTAGAGCACACCCGTCCCTGTAGCAAAAGGGTGGGAAGACCTAAAAATAGAGGCAAAAAGCCAATCGAGCTTGGTGATAGCTGGCTGCTCAATAAAAGAATTTAAGTTCAACTTTAGGTATGTGTAAATTATTTCCAAAATTCATTCTTCCTCCTAAAGAAAATCAATGGGGGTACAGCCCCATTGAACCGGAATACAGCCCGAACTGAGAGAAACCCACCTTTATTAACCTAAGTAGGCTTCAAAGCAGCCACCATACAATTGCGTTACAGCATCCAACCAAAATAATTTCAACAGCCCAAACTATCTCCTGATATACTTCGAGCTATTCTATATTAACATAGAAATACCAATGCTAAAATTAGTAATAAGAAATAATAATTTCTCTCTGCATCCCCTTAAATCAGAATAGAAAATCTACTGATAATTACCACCACATGACCCCACATACACTAGATAAAAGTCATCAAAAATTTGTTAACCCAACACAGGCATGCACTAAAGAAAGACAAAAAGCCGTAAAAGGAACTCGGCAACAACCTGTCCCAACTGTTTACCAAAAACATAGCCTTTAGCTTTACAAGTATTAAAGGTCCCGCCTGCCCAGTGACTTTTTAAACGGCCGCGGTATCCTAACCGTGCAAAGGTAGCATAATCACTTGTCCCCTAAATAGGGACTGGAATGAATGGCTAAATGAGGACAAAACTGTCTCTTACGGACTAGCCAATGAAATTGATCCTCCAGTACAAAAGCTGGAATAAACACATAAGACGAGAAGACCCTGTGGAGCTTAAAAACCAAAAGTATCAAATATGCTTCCTGGATTTTTAGTTGGGGCGACTTCGGAGCAAAAAAAACCCTCCAAAATATGAATTTATTTATTAAGACTAACACACCAAAAATAATTTTTATAGACCCAGCAGTTATTCTACTGTCTGATCAATGAACCAAGTTACCCCAGGGATAACAGCGCCATCCTCTTCTAGAGTCCCTATCGACAAGAGGGTTTACGACCTCGATGTTGGATCAGGACACCCCTATAGTGCAGCCGCTATAAAAGGTTCGTTTGTTCAACGATTAAAGTCCTACGTGATCTGAGTTCAGACCGGAGAAATCCAGGTCGGTTTCTATCTATGCAGCACTATTTTTAGTACGAAAGGACCAAAATAGTGGGACCTATACTAAATAAACGTCCCAAAATAAACTACTGACTTCTACTAAAGTAGTTATTATGCTTTTCTCCTAAATCAAAATCAGGTTTATTAAGGTGGCAGAGTCAAGCAATGCAAAAGACCTAAAATCTTTCTACAGGGAAGCAAATTCCCTTCTTAATAATGCAGAAACTTATAACACATATTATTAGCCCAATCTCATACATCATCCCCATCCTTATTGCTGTAGCATTCTTAACATATCTTGAACGAAAAATCCTAGGTTATATACAACTCCGAAAAGGCCCAAACATAGTCGGACCTTTTGGGATTTTACAACCAATTGCTGATGGGGTTAAACTATTTATTAAAGAACCTATTCGCCCAACACATGCATCCCCGATACTTTTTATTTTAGCCCCAACCCTAGCCCTCTTACTAGCCCTTATAATATGAACCCCTATACCCATACCCCACCCCTCGCAGACATAAACCTGGGTCTCCTATTCCTACTCGCCCTCTCAAGTATAATAGTCTATACAATTTTATGATCTGGATGAGCATCCAACTCAAAATACGCCCTAATAGGGGCCCTTCGAGCTATTGCACAAACAATTTCCTACGAAGTTACCTTAGGCATTATTTTACTCTCCATTATTATATTAACCGGCGCCTTTACAATATCCACTCTTATCATTACACAAGAACACACATGATTAATTTTATCTACCTGACCTCTAGCCATAATATGATACGTATCAACCCTAGCAGAAACAAACCGAGCACCCTTCGACTTAACAGAGGGCGAATCAGAACTTGTTTCAGGCTTTAATGTAGAATACGCAGCAGGACCCTTCGCACTTTTTTTTCTAGCTGAATATATAAACATTTTAATGATAAACACACTATCATGCATCTTATTTCTTAGTCCAACCATCACCTTACAAACAGAACTTTTTACAATTAACTTAATAACAAAAACTACCCTACTAACTATTGGTTTTTTATGAGTCCGAGCCTCCTACCCACGATTTCGTTATGATCAGCTAATACATCTTCTATGAAAACAATTTCTCCCAGCTACTCTAGCACTTTATTTATGATATATCTCCTTTCCAATCTCACTAGCCGGTCTCCCACCATTAAATTAACTTTCACCAGGATGTGTGCCCGAGACTTAGGGGTTACTTTGATAGAGTAAACCACAGGGACTTATAAACCCCTCACCTCCTCTAGAAGAATGGGACTTGAACCCACACCTAAGACTCCAAAATCCTTCGTACTACCACTATACTATCCCCTAGTAAAGTCAGCTAATAAAGCTCTTGGGCCCATACCCCAAAAATGTTGGTCAAACCCCTCCTTTACTAATGAACCCCTACATTATATCCATCTTAATGTGCAATTTAGCCCTTGGAGCAATCATCACAGCTGCCAGCTATCATTGATTTCTAGCCTGAATCGGATTAGAACAAAACACCCTTGCCATCATTCCAATCCTAGCTAAACACCACCACCCACGAGCCACCGAAGCCGCAACAAAATACTTTATTATTCAAGCAACTGCTTCATCCATTATTTTATTTTCAAGTATTATTAATGCATGATACACCGGAACCTGAGATATTACTCAACTTACAACACAGCCAACCCCTACCATACTATTAATTGCCCTAACCATAAAGCTAGGCCTAGCTCCCATGCACTTCTGATTACCAGAAGTTATACAAGGCACTGACACCACAACAGCCTTCATCATTGCAACATGACAAAAATTACCACCAATATCACTACTTTACCTTACCTCTGATCAATTTTCAATAATACTTCTATCACTATTAGCCATCTCCTCCACCTTAATTGGGGGATGATCCGGACTTAATCAAACCCAGCCACAAAAAATTATAGCATTTTCATCAATTGGACATCTAGGGTGAATAATCTCAATCTCACTTATTTCCCAAAAACTTCTTCTCCTTACTTTAATAATTTACTTATTAATAACAACTTCAATATTTATAATTCTTATTATCTCAACAACCAAAACTACCAAAGATTTAGGAACAATATGAACAATTTCCCCGACACTTTCCACAATTACAATGATTACTCTTATAGCACTAGGAGGACTTACCCCCATTAACCGGCTTTATTCCCAAATGACTAATTCTAAAAGAATTAACCACTAACTCCCTATTACCACTAGCAACTGCCCTCGCACTATCTTCCCTATTAAGCCTAATATTTTATATACGTCTAACTTATGTTTCAACCCTAACCATTTCTCCAAATACATCCAACAATCCAATAAAATGACGATTTAAACCCACCAAACCAATTAACCCTGCCCCCATAATTATTAGCATGCTTCTATTAATCCCAATCACACCACTAATTTACACTTAGAAACTTAGGTTAAATTTATAAACCAAAGGCCTTCAAAGCCTTTAATAGGGCCAAAAACTCCCTAGTTTCTGACTAAGACCTGTATAATTCTAATATACATCTTCTGAATGCAACCCAAACACTTTAATTAAGCTAAGGCCTAAACTAGATGGACAGGCCTCGATCCTGTAAAACTTTAGTTAACAGCTAAAAACCCTACCCAGCGGGCTTCCATCTTTCACACTCTACCTATTTCTTCTTCCCCCGTTTGAAAAAAAAGGGGGAAGCCCTGGCACTTATAGAGTACTTCTCCAAATTTGCATTTTGGCGTGGAAACAACACCTCGGGGCTGTTGGTAAAAAGAGGATTTAAACCTCCATAAGGGGATTTACAGCCCCCCACCTAATACTCGGCCATTCTACCTGTGTCATTAATTCGTTGACTGTTTTCAACTAACCATAAAGATATTGGCACCTTATACCTATTATTTGGTGCCTGAGCTGGGATAATCGGCACAGCCCTTAGTCTTTTAATCCGAACAGAACTGAGTCAACCCGGAACCCTTCTTGGTGATGACCAGGTCTACAATGTTATTGTTACAGCACATGCTTTTGTTATAATTTTCTTCTTGGTAATACCTGTAATAATTGGGGGTTTTGGGAATTGATTAATCCCCTTAATAATTGGTGCTCCTGATATAGCATTTCCGCGAATAAATAATATGAGCTTCTGATTATTACCCCCATCTCTACTCTTACTTCTTTCGTCTTCAGGTATTGAAGCAGGTGCTGGCACTGGCTGAACTGTCTACCCACCATTAGCCGGGAATCTGGCCCATGCAGGAGCCTCAGTAGATCTAACCATTTTTTTCACTTCATTTAGCTGGAGTTTCTTCTATTCTAGGTGCAAGTAACTTTATTACTACCTGCATCAATATAAAACCTCCTAACATAACACAATATCAAACCCCTTTATTTGTTTGATCTGTTTTAATTACAGCAGTACTCCTCCTTCTTTCCCTTCCTGTTTTAGCTGCTGGCATCACCATACTATTAACCGATCGAAACTTAAATACATCCTTTTTTGACCCGGCTGGCGGGGGAGATCCAATTCTTTACCAACACTTATTTTGATTCTTTGGCCACCCAGAAGTATATATTCTTATTCTTCCAGGCTTTGGTATAATCTCCCACATTGTCACATATTATGCAGGCAAAAAAGAACCCTTTGGCTATATAGGAATGGTGTGAGCATTGGCTTCTTAGGTTTTATTGTATGAGCCCATCATATATTTACAGTAGGAATAGATGTTGATACCCGAGCTTATTTTACCTCAGCTACAATAATTATTGCTATTCCTACTGGAGTAAAAGTTTTTAGCTGACTTGCAACCCTTCATGGCGGAACAAATAAATGAGATGCCGCTATATTATGAGCTTTAGGTTTTATTTTTTTATTTACAGTAGGGGGTCTTACAGGCATTATTCTAGCCAACTCCTCACTAGACATTGTCCTTCATGATACTTACTACGTAGTTGCTCATTTCCACTATGTCTTATCGATAGGCGCTGTATTTGCAATTATAGGTGGATTTGTCCATTGATTTCCCCTCTTCACAGGCTATACCCTACACTCTTCATGAACAAAAATTCAGTTTGGCGTAATATTTACCGGAGTTAACATAACATTTTTTCCAGAACATTTCCTTGGACTAGCAGGTATGCCCCGACGTTATTCTGATTATCCAGACGCATATACCCTTTGAAATACTATTTCATCAATTGGCTCCCTAATTTCCCTCACAGCCGTAATTATAATAATATTTATTATTTGAGAAGCTCTAGCGGCCAAACGTGAAGTCTTTACTCTAGAATTAATAAATACAAACTTAGAATGACTTCACGGCTGTCCTCCTCCATACCACACATACGAAGAATCAACTTACGTACAAACCTCAAGGGAGGGGGGACTTGAACCACCTCTAACCAGTTTCAAGCCAGTCACACATCCTCTTATGTTTCTCCCCTTATAAGGTTCTAGTAAAACAATTACATAGCTCTGTCAGTACTAAATTACAGGCCACAAAACCTGTGAACCTTAGTGGCACACCCAGCACAATTAGGCTTCCAAAATGCAGCATCCCCCATTATAGAAGAACTTCTTCATTTTCATGATCATGCACTAATAATTGTTTTTTTAATTAGTGCTCTAGTACTATATATTATTAGCTTAATATTATCAACAAAACTTACACATACCAATTCAATAGATGCCCAAGAAGTTGAAATAATTTGAACCATCCTTCCTGCAATTATTCTTATCTTAATTGCACTTCCGTCCCTCCAAATTCTTTATTTGATAGACGAAATCAATAATCCCCATCTGTCAGGGCTGCCTCAGGTCTCAGCTCACAAAAGACCAACGCCAAGTTCTTCTTATATACAAAGGTATTTATTGGAGTTCATTGTTTGCTTCACATCTGAGGCGCGCAGCCCCACGTCTGTTACGCTTAGACCGTTGAAGTCCCCACCTTTTCCTCTCTTTCCTTTTCCGCAGGGTCTTCCTGCCCGCTGGGGTTTCGCCCCTCCTGGATTCCCCTGACGCGGAATCCCCAGATTGCTCTTCCCCCCTCCTGCGGGCTTTGGGACCTGGCTCCTCCTCCGGGCTCCCTGTACTTCCGCGCGCCTCCACATTTGAACTTGGCGCGCGCGCCCAACCTCTAACCTTCCTTTTGACAGTTACACTACTCCCTTCACTACTCCCTCCCCTTCCGGGAGGGTGGCTTGCTCCGACCTCCCTCCCTTCTCTGCTGCCGGAGCTGCTTCCCCTGATACACTGGAACCTCCACCCCCTTCGCTGCACTCTGGCGGGGAGGCTGGTCCTGACGCCCAGCTGCCACTTTGGGATCCCCCGCTGGCCCCCTGCTCCTGACGCGTCCCCCCCTGGGGCTCTCCTGGCCTTGACCACCGGCGCCCCCTTCTGGGAATCCTCTGATCCGCTGGAAAGACTCATGGAATCTCTTGAGTCATTGTCATCCTCTTCCTCGCTGTCCTGGGATTCATCCCCATCGCTCTCCATCTCCTGCCTACCCTGTGCCTCTGTCCCTGAACCCCTGACACCATCTAACTATTAAAGCTATTGGCCACCAATGATATTGAAGCTATGAACATACTGACTACGAAAACCTGCTATTCGACTCTTATATAATCCCAACATGCGACCTAAGGCCCGGAAGTTTTCGCCTATTAGAAGTAGACCACCGAGTTGTAATTCCAATAGAATCCCCAATTCGAATCTTAATTTCAGCAGAAGACGTTCTACACTCATGAGCTGTCCCAGCACTTGGCATTAAAACAGATGCAGTCCCAGGTCGATTAAACCAAACCTGTCAGAGCTGGCTCCAGGTCCCAGCTCACAGAGGACCAACGCTAGCCGGCAGTAATGTGCAAAAGTCTTTATTGAAGTACAGTTTCCATTTTCAAGCCGGAGCGCCCCAGCTCTACGTCTAGGGGTTAGATCGGCGAAGCTCCATCTGAGTCTCCGCCCCCTGTACACCAGTTTAAGATTCTAGCCTTACTCCACCTCTTACGTCTCTCCTTTCTCCTCTGGGTCCTGCTACCCCCCCGGGGTCCCTTCCTTCCTGGATTCTTCTGACGCTGACCCTCCTGACTCCTCCCCCTCTTTTCGGCGGGCTTTGGGACCTGGCTCCCTATCCGGGCTGCCAACTGCGCCGCCCTCCTGTACATTTGAACTTGGCGCGCGCGCCCAGCCTTCAACCTTCCTCTCGACCGTTTCCTCGCTCCCCGATGGAGGCGTGGCCAATCCTGACTCATGTCCTCCCACTGGCAGTGCGCCGCCTGATCCCGATGCCTGGGACTCCTCCCCCCCTACTGCACTCTGGTGTGGACGCTGGTCCTGATTTCCAACTGCTGCTCTCTGAGTCCCCTCTGGCCCCTTCTTCCTGGGGTGTCCCCCTCGGCACCCCGCTTGCTCTGACCAAGGGAGCCCCTTTCTGTGAATCTTCCGATTCGCTGGAAAGACTCAGAGACCTCGGACCGCTGTCATCGCTAACATTTCCTTCGGACTCCTCCCCCTCGCTCTCTATTTCCTCCCTTTCCTGTGCCTCTGCTCCTGAACCCCTGACATCCATCCCCCTCGAAGCCCCCCTTCCCCCTCCCCTCCTTCAGGTGTGGGTACTGGGTGCTCCGTCGTTGTGGGGGTGAGTGCCGGATACAGTTCGTCCCCCGTGGCGTGCATCCAGCCGGATAAGTCCGGCTCGTCCTCCGTGCTCTCGCCGACCTCAATTTCCTCTGCTTCCATCTCTTTGCCGCCGTGCTCGAACCCAAGGTCCTCCCCCAACACGTCCATGTCCGTCTCTCCCCGGGTCTCCTCCGGGGACGTTGCCTGCCAAGGACCCCCCAACCACTTCCTGCGCCACTGCTCCTCTGGTTGATTGTCCCACCAATAGGAACGGTCTGAGGCAGACCCCGAGGGTGATCCCTCCGGGGAACGTGTTTCTAGTGCCGGTTCCTCGTCCGAGGTGAACCCCTGGAATGTGCTAGCTGAAAATGTGGGTGTGAAAAGCCAGTCGTCGAAATACTCGGCTGGCATGGGCCTGTGTGGGAAAAGGGCATGGAACTCGTCCTTAAGCCAAGATTCCTCCAGAGCATAATCTGGCACCCAACTGTTGGCGCTAGCCGGGGTACCTTCCTTGGCGAGGAGGTATTCCACTCCCTCCTCCCCCCATCTCGAGTCTAAAATCTCTGTGACTTCGTTGACGGGTTCCCGCCTTGGCGACCCCCCCCTTGTGGGCGTTTCCCTGAACGGGTCTGGTGCCGTTCCTGGCTCCTGAAATCTATGAGGTGCTTTGTAGGGCGTGAGCACTGATCTATGGAAAACTGGGTGCATTCTGGATCCCTCCGGCAGTGTCAACCGGAAGGCCACTGGATTGACCTGTGCCTCGACTTGGTAGGGTCCTAGCTGCTTATGCCCTAGCTTCTTCTTCGCTAACGATCTGGCCGGCACTGCCTGGGCTGCTAACCAAACCCAGTCTCCCACCTGTATGTCTTCCCCAACCCTTCTGTGCTTGTCAGCCTGCAGTTTGTATGCGTGCTTTGCTAGTTCTAACTGCCTCCGAAGCTGTTCGTGAACCTCCTGCAACTCTGATGCTAAGGCTTCCGCTGCCTGTGGCCCCCCTCCCCCTCTCTCGCTAATCCCGGGAAGGTTCTGGGATGCCTCCCGTTGTTGGCGAAGAACGGTGTCACCCCGTGGACACGTGCTTCGTGTTGTTGTAGGCGAACTCAGCGAGCGGCAGGTAGTCCACCCATGTTGCCGGCTGCTGATTTGCGTAGCATCGCAGGTACTGCTGCATGATGGCGTTGACTCGCTCCGCTTGTCCGTTCGTCTGCGGGTGTCTCGCCGACGCTAGGTTGATCTTGACGTTCAGGAAACCCATCAGCTTCTGCCAGAAGTTCGAGATGAACTGTCGCCCCGGTCGGACAGGATAGACCGTGGCAGACCGTGAACCCTGAACACGTGGTCTATGAACAGTTTGGCGGTCTGTTCCGCCGTGGCCACCTTCGCGCACGGAATGAAGTGGGCCATTTTGGTGAACATGTCCACCACCACTAGCACTGCCGTCTTGCCCCTCGAGCTGGGTAGATCCGTGACAAAGTCCAGGGCCACCCTCTCCCACGGTTCGATCGGTGTCTGCAGCGGTTCGAGCAGTCCCGCCGGCGGTTTGTGCACTGACTTGGCCCTTTGGCAGGTGTCGCACCTCGAGACGTAATCCGCGACTTCCCCCGCATCTTGGGCCACCAAAAATCTCTGGCTACTAATTCTACCGTCTTCTCTTTGCCAAAGTGCCCGGCGGTGGGTGCGTCGTGCAACTGCTGCAGTACTTTCGCGCGGAGGTCGTCTCCCGGTACGTAGAGGGCCCCTCTGCGGATGAGCAATCCGTCGCGTATCTGGAACTCGTCGTCCTCCGCCGTGCCCCTTTGCACCTCTGCCATCTTTGCTTGCGCGAAGGGGTCCTCCTGCAGTGCTCGACGTACAGCATCCAGGTCCACGGTTGCTGAAGCGCACGCCCACGCTTTCGGTGCGAAAATGTGCTTGGCCGCTGCTGGTGCCGCCTCCTCGAGGTATTGCGGCTTTCTGGACAGTGCATCCGCCATGATGTTGTTGTCGCCTGGGATGATGTCAGGGGTTCAGGAGCAGAGGCACAGGAAAGGGAGGAAATAGAGAGCGAGGGGGAGGAGTCCGAAGGAAATGTTAGCGATGACAGCGGTCCGAGGTCTCTGAGTCTTTCCAGCGAATCGGAAGATTCACAGAAAGGGGCTCCCTTGGTCAGAGCAAGGGGGTGCCGAGGGGGACACCCCAGGAAGAAGGGGCCAGAGGGGACTCAGAGAGCAGCAGTTGGAAATCAGGACCAGCGTCCACACCAGAGTGCAGTAGGGGGAGGAGTCCCAGGCATCGGGATCAGGCGGCGCACTGCCAGTGGGAGGACATGAGTCAGGATTGGCCACGCCTCCATCGGGGAGCGAGGAAACGGTCGAGAGGAAGGTTGAAGGCTGGGCGCGCGCGCCAAGTCCAAATGTACAGGAGGGCGGCGCAGTTGGCAGCCCGGATAGGGAGCCAGGTCCCAAAGCCCGCCGAAAAGAGGGGGAGGAGTCAGGGGGGTCAGCGTCAGAAGAATCCAGGAAGGAAGGGACCCCGGGGGGGTAGCAGGACCCAGAGGAGAAAGGAGAGACGTAAGAGGTGGAGTAAGGCTAGAATCTTAAACTGGTGTACAGGGGGCGGAGACTCAGATGGAGCTTCGCCGATCTAACCCCTAGACGTAGAGCTGGGGCGCTCCGGCTTGAAAATGGAAACTGTACTTCAATAAAGACTTTTGTACATTACTGCCGGCTAGCGTTGGTCCTCTGTGAGCTGGGACCTGGAGCCAGCTCTGACAGATGTACTCTATCCTGAAGTCGAAATCCGCAAAGAACTCCGCCCATCGTATGTGCCTCTGGTTCAGGAACCTTGCCGTGCGCCAGTACTCCAGGTTTTTATGGTCCGTGCGGACCTGCACTGTGTGTTTGGCTCCAATGAGGAAGTGCCGCCACGCCTTGAATGCTGCATGAATGGCCAGCAACTCCCTGTCCCAGATGGTGTAGTTCTGCTCTGACTTGCTGAGCTTCCTGGAGTAGAAGGCACACGGTCTCCAGTCCCCATGCGGGTCTTGCTGCAACAGTACTGCTCCCACTGCTCTGTCTGAGGCGTCCGTTTCAACCCTCATCGGTCTGCTGGGATTCACATGCAGTAGCTGCTCTTCGGACGAGAAGAGACGCTTGAGTTTCTGAAAGGACTGTTCCGCTTGCTCCGTCCAGATGAACTTCTTCTTCTTGGAGCTGAGTGTGTCGGTAATGGCTGCCGTCTGCATCGCGAACCCCTTGATGAACTTGCGGTAAAAGTTGGCGAAACCGACAAACCGTTGGACCTCCTTCCGATTGCGCGGGCTCTTCCAGTCCAACACTGAGCGAACCTTGGCGCTGTCCATGGCGAGCCCCTTGTCCGACAACTTGTAGCCCAGGAAATCTACTTCCTTCATGTCGAACTGGCACTTTTCCAGCTTGGCGTACAGCCTGTGCTCCTGCAGTCTCTGCAGAACTTCCTTGACGTCTCCCTCGTGGGCCTCCTCTGATTCTGAAAATATCAGGATGTCGTCCAGGAAGCAGACGCATTTCGTGTAGAGGAGACCCGCCAATACGTGATGCATGAAGGCTTGAAAACAGTGGGAGCCATTTTGTAATCCAAAGGGCATAACTCTGTATTCATAGGTGCCCAGGGGCGTGAACATGGCAGTCTTCCATTCGTCGCCCTCCCGTATGCGAATCAGGTTGTACGCCCCTCGCAGATCCAACTTTGTGAAAACGCGTCCTTTCCTCACCGTTGCGAGCAGGTCATCTATCTTGGGCATGGGAAAGGCTGTGGGCTTGGTTTTTGAGTTCAAAATTCTATAGTCCACCACAAGCCTTTTTTGGGGCGTGTCCTTCTTCTTCACAAAGAATACAGGACTGCCCCCACTGCCTTCGACTCCCGGATGAAACCGCGCTTCAAGTTGAGGTCTATGAACTCCCTGAGTTCCTGCAGCTCGTCTTCGGACATGGAATACAGTTTCCCGCATGGCAGCGTCGCCCTGGCAGGAGGTCAATCTTGCAGTCATAAGACCTGTGGGGAGGTAGCTTGTCCGCTTCCTTCTCGCAGAAAACCTCCAAAACGCTGCGTACTTGAGTGGCACTGCTTGCAGCGTGCCTAATTGTAGCTGCGGGTCATCCTCTTCCCCTTCCGGGCTAGGCAGAATGCAATGTTCCGCACAGTATGAGGAGCCGAAGGTCAGTTGTCGCTGGTACCACGCCAATGCTGGGCTGTGCCTGTGCAGCCAACTCATGCCTAATACTATAGGCGTGTCCGACAGTTGGGTGACATTGAAGCTGATGACTTCTCGGTGATTCCCAATTTGCATCACCATCGGAGGCGTTTGCTGCACCACCTGCCCCCAGCAATTCCCTGCCATCCACCGTGACAACTTTCAGAGGCAGCGTGGCTGGCAGGAGTGCTATGTTGTGCTCTTGAAGGAAATCCAGTCCTATGAAGTCTGCGTTACTACCAGAGTCAATGGTAATCGGCACTTCCATAGTGAGTCCATTGGGTAGTTGGAGCGATGCTGTGAGCTGCACCACTGGTTTGGGCGGGAGGGGGTCTGTGGGCTGCAAAATCTCTGGGGACGGCTTCATTGACTTGTCTGGTTGGGCCCCAGTGCCTCTTCCTCCAACCAGACTCTGTCGTTTCCCTGCTGTGTTTCTCTCTGCTGAGTTGCTTCTGTTACTGTTGCTGAGGCTGCAGTGTGCTTGTGGAGCCTCTGGGGACACTCTTTCGCCATGTGCTGAGCACTGTCGCAGATGTAGCACTTCCTGTTCCCTCTAGGAGGCTTCGCTTTGACTGCTCCCGGTGTTAAGGCTCTGGTTGTTGACTGAGCCCTGGCGCCTCCAATCTCCATCGGTTGCTCTCCCCCTCCTTGCGGAGGTGGGGATTGCACACGCGCTGTATCCTTGGGAAAGAGGGGAGGTGCTCTCACTGGCGTACGTCCCCAACGTCCTTCTTCTCTGTTCCATGGACGTTCTTCCAGACGCACCCCAATTTGCAGCGCCCGCCGGACAACCTCCTGAGTGCTCTTTGGTCTCTCCCCCCTTGCAATCTCATCTTTCACATTTGCATTCAAGCCTTCCCAAAAAAGGTCTCTGACTGGGGCAGAATCCTTCTCCCATCCCAGCGCATGGACTAATGCAAAAAAAGCGGGAATGGTACTGCCTTACACTGGCTCTGCCTTGTTTGAGCCCATGTATGTCTTTTCTGGCGATATCAATGTCTATATTTGATAAAAACACGAATCCATCGCTTTAATGAATGCATCCGCATTTTGGAGCGCCGGATCCTTATCTCTCCACAGATTGCGCAGCCACGCTTTAGCTTCCCCATGCAAATGGGACAAGATAAACCCCACCTTCTCTTGCTCATCTCTAAAGTCTTTATCCAGCAGTTCCAGCGCAAACAGCACGTCTGCTCGGAAGTTAGGGTACTGCTGCAAATTCCCATCGAAATGAGATACCAGGCTGCCTCCTCTTTTCCCCAGCCCAATCCCCTCTGATTTGGGTCCCGGTTGCCCCTGCTTAGCAAGCACTTCCAACCTGGCTTGGAGATCCCTGCAGGCGGCAGCCGCTTCCTCTTCCCTTTTCCTGGATGCGAGTACCTCCGCGTTGAGTTGTGTCACTGCATTTTGCAGGGCTGCTAGTTGCTGTTCTGTAGTCATCTTGCCTGACTTTTGTGAGCTCGCAAAGCACCAATCTTCTTCCCTCGCTGCGTCCACTCACGTTACGAGGTTTTTGGTGCAAAACTTTAAGAGATGGAGCTTACTGTCAGAGCTGGCTCCAGGTCCCAGCTCACAGAGGACCAACGCTAGCCGGCAGTAATGTGCAAAAGTCTTTATTGAAGTACAGTTTCCATTTTCAAGCCGGAGCGCCCCAGCTCTACGTCTAGGGGTTAGATCGGCGAAGCTCCATCTGAGTCTCCGCCCCTGTACACCAGTTTAAGATTCTAGCCTTACTCCACCTCTTACGTCTCTCCTTTCTCCTCTGGGTCCTGCTACCCCCGGGTCCCTTCCTTCCTGGATTCTTCTGACGCTGACCCCCCTGACTCCTTCCCCTCTTTTCGGCGGGCTTTGGGACCTGGCTCCCTATCCGGGCTGCCAACTGCGCCGCCCTCCTGTACATTTGAACTTGGCGCGCGCGCCCAGCCTTCAACCTTCCTCTCGACCGTTTCCTCGCTCCCCGATGGAGGCGTGGCCAATCCTGACTCATGTCCTCCCACTGGCAGTGCGCCGCCTGATCCCGATGCCTGGGACTCCTCCCCCCTACTGCACTCTGGTGTGGACGCTGGTCCTGATTTCCAACTGCTGCTCTCTGAGTCCCCTCTGGCCCCTTCTTCCTGGGGTGTCCCCCTCGGCACACCCCTTGCTCTGACCAAGGGAGCCCCTTTCTGTGAATCTTCCGATTCGCTGGAAAGACTCAGAGACCTCGGACCGCTGTCATCGCTAACATTTCCTTCGGACTCCTCCCCCTCGCTCTCTATTTCCTCCCTTTCCTGTGCCTCTGCTCCTGAACCCCTGACAAAACCACTTTAATTACATCCCACCCTGGTCTATTTTACGGCCAATGCTCAGAGATTTGTGGATCAAATCACAGCTTCATACCCATCGTTGTGGAATCAACACCATTAAAACACTTTGAAGCATGATCTAAAACAATAATCTCTTCATCACTAAGAAGCTAACTTACAGCACTAGCCTTTTAAGCTAGAGAGGGAAACAATTTCCCTTAGTGACATGCCTCAACTTAATCCCGCCCCTTGATTCATAATATTTGTATTGAACAACCCTCATTATATTTTTTACAAAAATCATTAATACCAATTCCTACCTTTCAACCCCACAATATAAAAATCAACCCAACAACTACTACTGAACCTGACCATGGCCCTAAGTTTTTTTGACCAATTTGCAATTCCCAATATGCTAGGAGTTCCCCTAATTATTCCAGCTTTATTCTTTCCATTAACTATCTGATTTTCAACCAACCGCCTTATCCAAAACTGCTACTCAATCATTCAATCCTCACTCATTATTAATGCTACAAAACAAATAATATTACCTATTAATATTGCAGGACATAAATGAGCAAGTACTTTTATAGCACTTTTACTAATACTAACACTATTTAATACCCTAGGACTATTACCTTATACATTTACCCCAACCACTCAACTTTCAATAAATATAGCTCTCGCCATTAATAAAGACTAATAACAGTCTTAATTGGCCTACGAAATCAACCAACAGCTTCACTAGGCCACCTTCTCCCAGAAGGCACACCAATGCTATTAATTCCTATATTAGTAATAATCGAAACTGTTAGCTTACTTATTCGTCCAATTGCATTAGGCGTACGCTTAACAGCTAACTTAACAGCCGGACATTTATTAATTCAGCTTACTTCAACAGCAGTATTAGCCCTTATTAACACTATAACTTTAACTGCATCAATAACTCTTATTGTCCTAATTATATTAACCTGCTTAGAAATAGCTGTCGCCTTAATTCAAGCATATGTCTTCGTGCTACTTCTAACCCTTTATTTACAAGAAAACATCTAATGACTCACCAAGCACACCCCTTCCACATAGTTGACCCTAGCCCATGACCCCTAACAGGAGCCATCGCAGCTCTATTATTAACATCAGGCCTTGCAGCATGATTTCACTTCAATAATGTAAACCTAATTTTCCTTGGCCTTATTATTATACTTTTAACAATACAGCAATGGTGACGAGATGTTGTCCGTGAGGGTACATATTAAGGACACCATACAATGCCAGTACATAAAAGGACTACGATACGGCATAATTTTATTTATTACCTCAGAAGTATTATTTTTTGCTGGATTCTTCTGAGCTTTCTACCATTCAAGTCGAGCCCCTACCCCTGAACTTGGAAGTCAATGACCACCAACAGGAATCCACCCTTTAAACGCCTTTGAAGTTCCACTGCTAAACACAGCTGTCTTGCTAGCCTCCGGGGTAACAGTAACATGAGCCCATCATGCCTTAATGGAAGGAAAACAAACAAGCATTATCCCTAAGGTTGTTTTGAATTCCATCTACATAGAAAGAAGCATCTTGGATTTCGCTTATTTCAAAGTCGTGTTCTTTGGTTTTAATGCACGTTGGGTAATGCACATTGACCCAGAAATCGCAAAGTGTATTTAATGAGACCAAAATAACAAAACACCATCTTTCCGCTTCCATTGCATAGAAAGAAGAAGAATAAGCTTCGATTGGGCTTATTTCAATTCGCATGGTGTTTTTTGGGTGTGCACCAGAATCACCCCAACCAAAGCAAAAAGGTGTTTTGGCTTCCATCTACATAAAAAGAAGATAATAACGCTCTGGTTGGGCTTATTTCAAATTGGTGTTTTTGGGTTTAGAATGCACATTCACCCAAAAATCGAAGAGTGAAATGTGCGTTATAAGCCCAATTCAAGCATAGGTGTTTTGGTTCCATCTCAATAGAAGGAGGCCGAATAAGCTTGGATTGCACTTTCGGTGTTCATTCACCCACAAATAACAAAGCGAAGTGTCATAAGCCTAAACAAAGCAAAACAGGTTATTTTGGGTTCAATCTACATAAAAAGAAGAATCTTGGATTTCACTTATTTCAAAGTCGTGTTCTTTGGTGTTAATGCACATTGACCCAGAAATCGCAAAGTGTATGTAATGAGACCAAAATAACAAATCACCATATTTCCGCTTCCATTGCATAGAAAGAAGACGAATAAGGTTCGATTGGGCTTATTTCAATTTGCATGGTGTTTTTTGGGTGTGCACTAGATTCGCCCCAACCAAAGCAAAAAGGTGTTTTGGCTTCCATCTACATAAAAAGAAGATGATAACGCTCTGATTGGGTTTATTTCAAATTGGTGTTTTTGGGGTTAGAATTCACATTCCACCAAAAATAGCAGAGTGAAATGTTTTTCAGCCCAAATCAAGCATAGGTGTTTTGGTTCCACCTCAATAGAAGGAGGACGAATAAGCTTGGATTGCACTTTCGGTGCTCATTCACCCACAAATAACAGAGTGTAATAAGCCTAAACAAGTGTAATAACCCTAAACAAAGCAAAACAGGTTTTGAGTTCCATCTACATAGAAAGAGGCATCTTGGATTTCGCTTATTTCAAAGTGTTCTTTTGTTTTAATGCACATTTACCCAGAAATCGCAAAGTGTATGTAATGAGACCAATACAACAAAACACCATATTTCCGCTTCCATAGCATAGAAAGAAGAAGAATAAGCTTTGATTGGGCTTATTTCAATTTGCATGGTGTTTTTTTGGTGTGCACCAGAATCACCCCAACCAAAGCAAAAAGGTCTTTTGGCTTCCATCTACATAAAAAGAAGACAATAAAGCTCTGATTGGGCTTATTTCAAATTGGTGTTTTTGGGTTTTGAATGCAAATTCAACCAAAAATCGAAGAGTGAAATGTGCGTTATAAGCCCAAATCAAGCATAGGTGTTTTGGTTCCATCTCAATAGAAAGGAGAACTAAGCTTCAGTTGCACTTTCGATGTTCATTCACCCACAAATAACAAAGCGAAGTGTCATAAGCCTAAACAAAGCAAAAGAGGTTGTTTTGAGTTCCATCTACGTAGAAAGATGCATCTTGGATTTCACTTATTTCAAAGTCGTGTTCTTTGGTTTTAATGCACATTGACCCAGAAATCGCAAAGTGTATTTAATGAGAGCAAAATAACAAAACACCATCTTTCCGCTTCCATAGCATAGAAAGAAGAAGAATAAGTTTCCATTGGGATTATTTCAATTCGCATGGTGTTTTTTGGGTGTGCACCAGAATCCCCCCAACCAAAGCAAAAAGGTGTCTTGGCTTCCATCTACATAAAAAAAAGATGATAACGCTCTGATTGGACTTATTTCAAATTGGTGTTTTTGGGGTTAGAATGCACATGGACCCAAAAATCGCAGTGGGAAATTTGTTATCAGCACAAATCAAACATAGGTGTTTTGATTTGATCTCTATAGAAAGAGGAGGAATAACCTTGGATTGCACTTTCGGTGTTTTTGGGGTTAGAATGCACATTCAACCAAAAATCGCAGAGTGAAATGGTTTTCAGCCGAAATCAAGTATAGGTGTTTGGTTCCACCTCAATAGAAGGAGGATGAATAAGCTTGGATTGCACTTTCGGTGTTCATTCACCCACAAATAACAAAGCGAAGTGTCATAAGCCTAAACAAACAAAACAGATTATTTTGGGTTCCATCTACATAGAAAGAAGAATCTTGGATTTAACTTATTTCAAAGTCGTGTTCTTTGGTGTTAATGCACATTTACCCAGAAATCGCAAAGTGTATTTAATGAGACCAAAATAACAAAACACCATCTTTCCGCTTCCATATGCGTAGAAAGAAGACGAATAAGCTTCGATTGGGCTTATTTCAATTCGCAAGGTGTTTTTTGGGTGTGCACCAGAATCACCCCAACCAAAGCAAAAAGGTGTTTGGCTTCCATCTATATAAAAAGAAGATGATAACGCTCTGATTGGGCTTATTTCAAATTGATGTTGTTGGGGTTAGAATGCACATTCAACCAAAAATCGGAGAGTGAAATGTTTTTCAGGCCAAATCAAGCATAGGTGTTTTGGTTCCACCTCAATAGAAGGAGGACGAATAAGCTTGGATTGCACTTTCGGTGTTCATTCACCCACAAATAACAAAGCGAAGTGTCATAAGCCTAAACAAAGCAAAACAGATTATTTTGGGTTCCATCTACATAGAAAGAAGAATCTTGGATTTCACTTATTTCAAAGTCGTGTTCTTTGGTGTTAATGCACATTTACCCAGAAATCGCAAAGTGTATTTAATGAGACCAAAATAACAAATCACCATCTTTCCGCTTCCATAGCGTAGAAAGAAGACGAATAAGGTTCGATTGGGCTTATTTCAATTCGCATGGTGTTTTTTGGGTGTGCAGCAGAATCACTCCAACCAAAGGAAAAAGGTGTTTTGGCTTCCATCTACATAAAAAGAAGATGATAACGCTCTGATTGGGCTTATTTCAAATTGGTGTTTTTGGGGTTAGAATGCACATTCACCCATAAATCGCAGAGGGAAATTTGTTATCAGCACAAATCAAACATAGGTGTTTTGATTCAATCTCTATAAAAAGTGGAGGAATAAGCTTGGATTGCTCTTTCGTGTTCATTCACCCAGAAGATCAAAGCGAAGTGTCATAAGCCTAAACAAGAGAAAACAGGTTATTTTGGGTTCCATCTACATAGAATGAAGAATCTTGCATTTCGCTGATTTCAAAGTCGTTTTCTTTGGTGTTAATGCACATTTACCCAGAAATCGCAAAGTGTATGTGTCAGGGGTTCAGGGAGAGAGGCACAGGGTAGGCAGGAGATGGAGAGCGATGGGGATGAATTCCAAGCCAGCGAGGAAGAGGATGACAATGACTCAAGAGATTCCATGAGTCTTTCCAGCGAATCAGAGGATTCCCAGAAGGGGGCGCCGGTGGTCAAGGCCAGGGGAGCCCCAGGGGGGAGGTGTCAGGAGCAGGGGGCCAGCGGAGGATCCCAAAGTGGCAGCTGGGCGTCAGGACCAGCCTCCCCACCAGAGTGCAGCGAAGGGGGTGGAGTTTCCAGTGTGTCAGAGGAAGCAGCTCCGGCAGCAGAGAAAGGAGGGAGGTCAGAGCAAGCCGCCCTCCCGGAAGGGGAAGGGAGCAGTGAAGGGAGTAGTGTAACTGTCAAAAGGAAAGTTAGAGGTTTGGCGCGCGCGCCTAGTTCAAATGTAGAGGCGCGCGGAAGTACAGGGAGCCCGGAGGAGGGGCCAGGTCCCAAAGCCCGCAGGAGGGGGGGAAGAGCAGTCTGATTCCGCGTCAGAGGAATCCAGGAGGGGCGAAACCCCAGTGGGCAGAAGGACCCTGCGGAAAAGGAAGGAGAGAAAGAGGTGGAGCAGCGCAAGTCTCTTAAATTGGTGCAGGGGAGGGACTGACTCAGAGGGGACTTCAGCGGTCTAGCGTAAGAGACGTAAGGCTGCGCGCCTAGGATGTCAAGCAAACCATGAACTGCAATAAACACCTTTGTATATAAGAAGACATAGGCGTTGGTCTTTTGTGAGCTGAGACTTGAGGCAGCTTTGACAGTAAGTCCCCTCTCACAAGAACCGCAAAAGTTTTTTTTTGCAAAGCTCACGAAGTTTGGCAGCGATGACTACTGAGGGGCAGATAGCGTCCCTGCAAAACGCAGTCACCGAGCTCTCCACTGCCGTCGTGGTGTCTCAGAAGACGGTTGCCGAAGCAGAAGCGCGATGCCAGGATCTGCAAGCCAGGTGGGATCGGGCATGCAGAGAGGGGTTCCCAGGGTCCAGATCAGAGGGAATCGGACTCGGACGGAGGGGGGGCAATTTAGTAGCCCACTTCGATGGGAACCTGAAGCATTATCCCAATTTCAGAGCAGACGTCGTATACGCGCTGCATTTGCTTCGAAAAGACTTCAAAGATGAGGAGGAAAAAGTAGGTTTTATTGTGTCCCATTTGCATGGGGAAGCAAGAACCTGGTTACGCAATTTGTGGCGTGAAGATGGTCTTGCACGCAGGGACTCTGATGAATTTCTCAAAGCCATGGACGCTTGTTTCCAATCTACTGTTGACGTTGATGTGGCACGCCAGGAGATGCATGGATTGCGGCAGGGCAAGGCTACAGTGCGTCAGTACCATTCTCGCTTTTTTGCATTGCTGAATGTGCTGGGCTGGGAAAAGGACTCCCTGGCAGTGAGGGACTTGTTCTGGGAAGGGCTTCATGGCTCAGTGAAAGATGAGCTGGCTAGGGAGACAGACCTCAAACCCTAGCAGACGTCGTGCAGAGGGCACTCACGATAGGGGTGCGCCACGAAGAACGCCCTTGGCACAGGGAGGAGGGGCGTCACGCCCGCCCACCAGCTAGAGCGCCTCCTTTTCCTTCCAGGGACCTGGAACGTTCAAACCTTTTGCCTGTGCTGGCAGGGGGAAGAACCAATGGAACTGGGTGGTGCAAAGGCTCAGACAGCTGCCGGAGCCTCAGCGTCCGGAGCAGTCAAAGCGAAGCCTCCTAGAGGGACCAGGAAGTGTTACATCTGTGACAGTGCACGGCACATGGCTAAAGAGTGTCCCCAGAGGCTCCAGAAGCACACTGCAGCCTTAGCAACAGTAACAGGGGAAGCGTTCCAAGGGGAACAGTTTCAGGGAAACGAGAATGCCTGGTTGGAGGGCGAGATGCTGGGGCTCCGCCAGGCAAGTCAGTGAAGCAGTCCCCAGCGCTTTGCAGCCTACAGACCCCTTACCACCCAAGCCAGTGGTGCAGCTCACTGCTACTCTCCAGCTGCCTAATGGACTCACCCTGGAAGTCCCCATTACGATTGACTCAGGGAGCAACGCAGACTTCGTGGGGGTGCAGTTCATCAAGCAGCATCGCATAGCGCTACTACCAGCCACCCTGCCTCTGAATGTGGTCACTGTAGATGGCAGGAAGTTGCTGGGTGGGCAAGTGGTACAACAGACGCCACCCATGCTGCTGAAAATTGGGAATCATCGCGAGGTCATCAGTTTCAATGTCACCCAACTGTCAGACACGCCCATAGTGTTAGGCATGAGTTGGCTGGATAGACACAGCCCATCATTGGCGTGGTACCAGCGGCAGCTCACCTTTGGCTCGTCCTACTGCGCACAACATTGCATCCAGATCGGCCAGGAGGAGGAGGGCCAGGAGGAAGGGCAACAGCTGCATCTAGGCATGGTGCAGGCAGTGCCCCACAAGTACAAGGGGTTTTTGGAGGTCTTCTGCGAGAAGGAAGCTGACCAATTACAGTGGTACCCCGCAAGACGAACGCCTCGCAAGACGGAAAACCCGCTAGACGAAAGGGTTTTCCGTTTTGGAGGCGCTTCGCAAAACGAATTTCCCTATGGGCTTGCTTCGCAAGACGACAGCCCATAGGGAAATCTCAGGGACAGCGGGGAAGCGCAGCGCGTCTTCCCCACTGTCCTCGGACCTCCTCCGAAGCCTGGCGGCGGGGCGGGGACACCTCCTCCCGCCGCCGCCGGGCTCGGAAGGCTCCTCCGAGCCGGGCGGGGGGAGGGAACACCTGCCGCCGCCGCCCGGCTCCGGAACGGTGCTCCGAGCCGGGCGGGGGGAGGGAACACCTGCCGCCGCCGCCCGGCCCGGAACGGTGCTCCGGCCGGGCGGGGGGAGGGAAGACCTCCCGCCTCTGCCCGGCTTCGGAACGGTGCTCCGAGCCGGGCGGTGGGGAGGGAAGACCTCCCCGCCGCCCGGCTCGGAACGGTGCTCCGAGCCGGGCGGGGGGAGGGAACACCTGCCGCCGCCGCCCGGCTTCGGAACGGTGCTCCGAGCCGGGCGGGGGATGAGGAAGACCTCCGCCGCCGCCCGGCTCGGAACGGTGCTCCGAGCCGGGCGGGGGAGGGAAGACCTTCTGAAGGCGGGCGGGGGCGAAGTCTTTGCTCCCCTGCCTGCCTGTCCCGGAGGGCTTTTGAAGGCGGGGAGCAAAGACTTTCGCCCCGCCCGCCTTCAGAAGAGGTCCAGGACCTCTTCTGAAGGCTGGCGGGGGCAAAGTCTTTGTCCCCCTGCCTGCCTTCCCAGGGGCTTTAAATTGCCCCGGACAGCGGAGAAGTCCTCCGCTGTCCCGGGTGATTTTAAAATGCCGCCCGCCAGCATTTTAAGATCGCCCGGACAGCGGAGAAGTCCTCCGCTGTCCCGGGGTTTTTTAAAATGCTGGGGGTGGGAAGAAAAGCCCTTGCCCCCCCCCCAGCCTTCAGAAGAGGTCCGGGGACAGACTGTCCCCGGACCTGGTCTGAAGGCGGTTTCCCTAGGAACGCATTTGTCAGAGCTGGCTCCAGGTCCCAGCTCACAGAGGACCAACGCTAGCCGGCAGTAATGTACAAAAGTCTTTATTGAAGTACAGTTTCCATTTTCAAGCCGGAGCGCCCCAGCTCTACGTCTAGGGGTTAGATCGGCGAAGCTCCATCTGAGTCTCCGCCCCCTGTACACCAGTTTAAGATTCTAGCCTTACTCCACCTCTTACGTCTCTCCTTTCTCCTCTGGGTCCTGCTACCCCCCGGGGTCCCTTCCTTCCTGGATTCTTCTGACGCTGACCCCCCTGACTCCTCCCCCTCTTTTCGGCGGGCTTTGGGACCTGGCTCCCTATCCGGGCTGCCAACTGCGCCTCCCTCCTGTACATTTGAACTTGGCGCGCGCGCCCAGCCTTCAACCTTCCTCTCGACCGTTTCCTCGCTCCCCGATGGAGGCGTGGCCAATCCTGACTCATGTCCTCCCACTGGCAGTGCGCCGCCTGATCCCGATGCCTGGGACTCCTCCCCCCCTACTGCACTCTGGTGTGGACGCTGGTCCTGATTTCCAACTGCTGCTCTCTGAGTCCCCTCTGGCCCCTTCTTCCGGGGGTGTCCCCTCGGCACCCCCTTGCTCTGACCAAGGGAGCCCCTTTCTGTGAATCTTCCGATTCGCTGGAAAGACTCAGAGACCTCGGACCGCTGTCATCGCTAACATTTCCTTCGGACTCCTCCCCCTCGCTCTCTATTTCCTCCCTTTCCTGTGCCTCTGCTCCTGAACCCCTGACAGCATTAATTGATTTTCAATGCATTCCTATGGGAAACCGTGCATCGCAAGACGAAAAACTCGCAAGACGAAGAGACTTGCGGAACGAATTAATTTCGTCTTGCGAGGCACCACTGTACCACCCCACCGGCCCTACGACTGTGCAATTGACCTCTTACCAGGGGCGACGCTGCCGACTGCGAAGCTGTATTCCATGTCTGAAGATGAGATGCAGGAGCTCAGGGAGTTCATAGATCACAATTTGAAGCGGGATTCATCCGAGAATCCAAGGCAGTGGGGGCAGTCCTGTGTTTTTCGTGAAGAAGAAGGACACGCCCCAAAAACGGCTCATTGTGGACTATAGGGCCATAAACTCGATGACAAAACCCAAGGCTTTCCCCATGCCCAAGATTGACGACCTGCTCGCGACGGTGAGGAAGGGGAGGATCTTCACCAAGTTGGATCTACGCGGAGCATACAATCTAATACGCATGAGGGAAGGTGACGAGTGGAAGACGGCCATGTTCACGCCGCTGGGCACCTATGAATACAGAGTTATGCCGTTTGGTCTCCAAGGTGGCTCCCACTGTTTTCAAGCATTCATGCACCACGTGCTAGCAGGACTCCTCTACAAGAAGTGCGTATGCTTTCTCGACGATATTCTGATCTTTTCGGAATCGCAGGAGACTCACGACAGAGACGTAAAGGAGGTCCTGCAGAGGCTACGGGAGCACAGACTCTACGCCAAGCTGGAGAAGTGCCAGTTCGACGTGACGGAGGTGGATTTCCTGGGCTACCGGCTGTCCGACAAGGGACTAGCCATGGACAGCGCCAAGGTCCGCGCGGTGTTGGACTGGAATAGCCCGCGCAATCGGAAGGAGGTCCAGAGGTTCGTCGGCTTCGCCAACTTTTACCGCAAGTTCATCAGGGGTTTCGCGAAAGAGACGGCAGCTATCACGGACACCCTCAGTTCCAAGAAGAAAAAGTTCACCTGGACGGACCAGGCGGAGCAGTCCTTCAGGAGACTTAAGAGTCTCTTCGCGTCCGAAGACCAGCTGCTACACGTGAATCCCGGCAGGCCCATGCGGGTTGAGACTGACGCATCTGACAGAGCAGTGGGGGCCGTCCTCTTGCAGGAAGATTCGCAAGAGAACTGGAGGCCCTGCGCTTTCTATTCCCGGAAGCTCAGCAAGTCGGAACAGAACTACACCATCTGGGACAGGGAGTTGTTGGCCATCCACGCGGCTTTCAAGGCGTGGCGGCACTTCCTCATCGGAGCCAAGCACACCGTGCAGGTCCGCACGGACCACAAGAACCTAGAGTATTGGCGCACGGCGAAGCTCCAGAGCCAGAGGCACATGAGATGGGCGGAGTTCTTTGCGGATTTCGATTTCCGGATAGAGTATATCCCGGGAGACAACAACGTCATAGCGGATGCGCTCTCCAGGAAACCGCAGTATCTCGAGGAAGCGGCACCAGCGGCAGCCAGGCACATTTTCGCACCGCAAGCGTGGGCGTGCGCTTCCGCCGCCGTGGACCTGGACGCGGTACGACGCGCGCTACAGACGGATCCGTTCGCACAATCCAAGATGGAGGAGGTGCGAAGAGGGACAGCAAAGGACGGCGAATTCCAGATACGCGACGGCCTGCTGACCCGCAAAGGTGCTCTCTACGTCCCGGGAGACGATCTCCGCGCGAAGGTTTTACAGCAGTTACACGATGCACCCAGCGCGGGTCACTTCGGCAAGGAGAAGACGGCGGACTTAGTAGCCAGGGACTTTTGGTGGCCCCAGATGCGGGGAGAGGTCGCGGATTACGTCGCCAGGTGTGACACTTGTCAGAGGTCCAAGCCAGTGCACAAGAAGCCAGCGGGATTGCTGGAACCGCTGGAGACGCCACTGCAGCCGTGGGAAAGGGTGGCGCTGGACTTTGTCACTGATCTGCCCAGTTCGCGGGGCAAGACGGCGGTGCTTGTGGTTGTAGATCTGTTCACCAAGATGGCGCACTTCATTCCTTGCGCGAAGGTGGCAACAGCGGAACAGACCGCCAAGCTGTTCATAGACCACGTGTTCCGGGTGCACGGCTTACCACGGTCCATCCTGTCCGACCGGGGTCGCCAATTCATTTCCAGTTTCTGGCAGAAGCTCCTGGGCATCCTGAATGTCAAGATCAACTTAGCGTCGGCGAGACACCCGCAAACCAACGGCCAAGCGGAGAGGGTCAACGCCATCATGCAGCAGTACCTGCGATGTTACGCCAATCAGAAGCCTGCAACTTGGGTGGACTACTTACCGATGGCCGAGTTTGCCTACAACAACACGAAGCACGCGTCAACGGGGGTGACACCGTTCTTCGCCAACAATGGGCGACATCCCAGAACCTTCCCGGCGTTGGAGACAACGACGCAGGGGGTCGCAGGGAGCGGAACATTTAGCAGCAGAATTGCAGGAGGTCCACGAGGAGCTACGACGGCACTTGGAACTAGCTAAACACGCCTACAAAGTGCAGGCAGACAGGCACAGGAGGGCAGGAGAAGACATCCAGGTGGGGGACTGGGTATGGTTAGCAGCCCAGGCGGTGCCGGCCAAGTCGTTAGCTAAGAAGAAGCTAGGACACAAACAGCTAGGGCCATACCAAGTTGAGGGCAGGATCAATCCCGTAGCTTTTCGGTTGACCCTCCCAGAGGATTCCCGAATGCACCCGGTCTTTCATAGGTCGGTGCTTGCACCCTACAAGGCCCCACACAGATTTCAGGAGCCAGGGACGGCACCAGACCCACGTAGAAAGTCACCGGGGGGGGGGAAGTCACCGAGGACCCCGACACTCAACGAGGTCACGGAAATTCTGGACTCGAGATGGGGGGAGGAGGGAGTGGAATACCTCCTCGCCAGGGAAGGTACCCCGGCCAGCGCCAACAGTTGGGTGCCAGATTATGCTCTGGAGGAACCTTTTCTTAAGGACGAGTTCCATGCACTCTTCCCACACAGGCCCATGCCAGAGGAGTATTTTGACGACTGGCTTGTACCCCCACACTTTCAGGCAGCACCTTCCGGGGGTTCTCCTCCGCAGAGGAGACCACGCCGCAATCGAGCCCTCCAAGGGGATCGTGCTCGGGGGGTGGACACGGACCGCTCTTATTGGTGGGACGATCAACCAGAAGTGGGGTGGCGAAGGGGGCCTTGGCAAGCAGCTTCGCCTGAAGTAACAGGGGGGAGGGAAGGGTTTGGAGGTGTTGGGGCGGACCCTGGTTTCGAGCACTCCTACACTGAACTGGAAGCAGAGGAGATCGACGTCGACGAACTGTATCCAGCATCTACCCCCGCTACAACGAAGCTCCCGGAACCTGCGCCCGAGCAGCGGGAGGGGGCAAGGGGGCTTCGAGGGGGATGGATGTCAGGGGTTCAGGGAGAGAGGCACAGGGTAGGCAGGAGATGGAGAGCGATGGGGATGAATTCCAAGCCAGCGAGGAAGAGGATGACAATGACTCAAGAGATTCCATGAGTCTTTCCAGCGAATCAGAGGATTCCCAGAAGGGGGCGCCGGTGGTCAAGGCCAGGGGAGCCCCAGGGGGGAGGTGTCAGGAGCAGGGGGCCAGCGGAGGATCCCAAAGTGGCAGCTGGGCGTCAGGACCAGCCTCCCCACCAGAGTGCAGCGAAGGGGGTGGAGTTTCCAGTGTGTCAGAGGAAGCAGCTCCGGCAGCAGAGAAAGGAGGGAGGTCAGAGCAAGCCGCCCTCCCGGAAGGGGAGGGAGCAGTGAAGGGAGTAGTGTAACTGTCAAAAGGAAAGTTAGAGGTTTGGCGCGCGCGCCTAGTTCAAATGTAGAGGCGCGCGGAAGTACAGGGAGCCCGGAGGAGGGGCCAGGTCCCAAAGCCCGCAGGAGGGGGGAAGAGCAGTCTGATTCCGCGTCAGAGGAATCCAGGAGGGGCGAAACCCCAGTGGGCAGAAGGACCCTGCGGAAAAGGAAGGAGAGAAAGAGGTGGAGCAGCGCAAGCCTCTTAAATTGGTGCAGGGAGGGACGGATTCAGAGGGGACTTCAGCGGTCTAAGCGTAAGAGACGTAAGGCTGCGCGCCTAGGATGTCAAGCAAACAATGAACTGCAATAAACACCTTTGTATATAAGAAGACATAGGCGTTGGTCTTTTGTGAGCTGAGACTTGAGGCAGCTTTGACAGTATGTGTCAGGGCTGCCTCAGGTCTCAGCTCACAAAAGACCAACGCCAATCTCTTCTTATATACAAAAGTGTTTATTGGAGTTCATTGTTTGCTTCACATCCGAGGCGCGCAGCCCCACGTCTGTTACTCTTAGACCGTTGAAGTCCCCTCTGAGTCAGTCCCTCCCCTGCACCAGTTTAAGAGGCTTGCTCTGCTCCACCTCTTCCTCTCTTTCCTTTTCCTCAGGGTCTTCCTGCCCGCTGGGGTTTCGCCCTCCTGGATTCCCCTGACGCGGAATCCCAGCTTGCTCTTGCCCTCCTGCGGGCTTTGGGACCTGGCCCTCCTCCGGGCTCCCTGTACTTCCGCGCCTCACATTTGAACCAGCGCGCGCGCCCAGCCTCTAACCTTCCTTTCAACAGCTACACTACTCCCTTCACTGCTCCTCCCTTCCGGGAGGATGGCTTGCTCCGACCTCCCTCCTTTCTCTACTGCCGGAGCCGCTTCCCTGACACACTGAAACTTCCACCCCCTTCGCTGCACTCTGGCGGGGAGGCTGGTCCTGACACCCAGCTGCCACTTTGGGATGCCCAGCTGGCCCCCTGCTCCTGACACGTCCCCCCTGGGGCTCCCCTGGGCTTGACCACCGGAGCCCCCTTCTGGGAATCCTGTGATTCGCTGGAAAGACTCATGGAATCTCAGGAGTCATTGTCATCCTCTTCCTCGCTGTCCTGGGATTCATCCCCATCGCTCTCCATCTCCTGCCTACCCTGTGCCTCTGTCCCAGAACCCCTGACAGTATGTAATGAGACCAAAATAACAAATCACCATCTTTCCGCTTCCATATGCGTAGAAAGAAGACGAATAAGCTTCGATTGGGCTTATTTCAATTCGCATGGTGTTTTTTGGGTGTGCACCAGAATCACCCCAACCAAAGCAAAAAGGTGTTTTGGCCTCCATCTACATAAAAAGATGATAACGCTCTGATTGGGCTTATTTCAAATTGGTGTTTTTGGGTTTTGAATGCACATTCGCCCAAAAATCGTAGTGAAATGTGCGTTATAAGCCCAAATCAAGCATAGGTGTTTTGGTTCCATCTCAATAGAAAGATGAAGATTAAGCTTGGATTGCACTTTCGGTGTTCATTCACCCAAAAAACAAAGCGAAGTGTCATAAGCCTAAACAAAGCAAAAAAGATTATTTTGGGTTCCATCTACATAGAAAGAAGAATCTTGGATTTCACTTATTTCAAAGTCGTGTTCTTTGGTGTTAATGCACATTGACCCAGAAATCGCAAAGTGTATGTAATGAGACCAAAATAACAAATCACCGTCTTTCCGCTTCCATAGCGTAGAAAGAAGAAGAAAAAGCTTTGATTGGGCTTATTTCAATTCGCATGGTGTTTTTTGGGTGTGCACCAGAATCCCCCCAACCAAAGCAAAAAGGTGTTTTTGCCTCCATCTACATAAAAAGAAGTTGATAACGCTCTGATTGGGCTTATTTCAAATTGGTGTTTTTGGGGTTAGAATGCACATTCACCCAAAAATCGTAGAGTGAAATGTGCGTTATAAGCCCAAATCAAGCATAGGTGTTTTGGTTCCATCTCAATAGAAAGGACAACTAAGCTTCAGGTGCACTTTCGGTGTTCATTCACCCACAAATAACAAAGCGAAGTGTCATAAGCCTAAACAAAGCAAAACAGATTATTTTGGGTTCCATCTACATAGAAAGAAGAATCTTGTATTTCACTTCTTTCAAAGTCGTGTTCTATGGTTTTAATGCCCATTCACCCAGACATCGCAAAGTGTATGGAATGAGACCAAAATAACAAAACACCATCTTTCCGCTTCCATTGCATAGAAAGAAGAAGAATAAGCTTCGATTGGGCTTATTTCAATTCGCATGGTGTTTTTTGGGTGTGCAGCAGAATCACTCCAACCAAAGGAAAAGGTGTTTTGGCTTCCATCTACATAAAAAGAAGATGATAACGCTCTGATTGGGCTTATTTCAAATTGGTGTTTTTGGGCTTAGAATGCACATTCACCCATAAATCGCAGAGGGAAATTTGTTATCAGCACAAATCAAACATAGGTGTTTTGATTCAATCTCTATAAAAAGAGGAGGAATAAGCTTCGATTGCTCTTTCGGTGTTCATTCACCCACAAGATCAAAGCGGTGTCATAAGCCTAAACAAGAGAAAACAGGTTATTTTCGGTTCCATCTACATAGAATGAAGAATCTTGCATTTCGCTTATTTCAAAGTCGTCTTCTTTGGTTTTAATGCACATTGACCAGAAATCGCAAAGTGTATGTAATGAGACGAAAATAACAAAACACCGTATTTCCGCTTACATATGCGTAGAAAGAAGAAGAATAAGCTTCGATTGGGCTTATTTCGATTGGGGTTAGAATGCACATTCACCCAAAATCGTAGATTGAAATGTGCGTTATAAGCCCAAATCAAGCATAGGTGTTTTGATTCGATCTCTATAGAAAGAGGAGGAATAAGCTTGGATTGCACTTTCGGTGTTCATTCACCCACAAATATCAAAGCGGAGTGTCATAAGCCTAAAGAAGACAAAACAGGTTATTTTGGGTTCCATCTACATAGAAAGAAGAGTCTTGCATTTCGCTTATTTCAAAGGCGTGTTCATTGGTGTTAATGCACATTTACCCAGAAATCGCAAAGTGTATGTAATGAGACGAAAATAACAAAACACCATCTTTCCGCTTCCATATGCGTAGAAAGAAGACGAATAAGCTTCGATTGGGCTTATTTCAATTCGCATGGTGTTTTTTGGGTGTGCACCAGAATCACCCCAACCAAAGCAAAAAGGTGTTTTGGCCTCCATCTACATAAAAAGATGATAACGCTCTGATTGGGCTTATTTCAAATTGGTGTTTTTGGGTTTTGAATGCACATTCGCCCAAAAATCGTAGTGAAATGTGCGTTATAAGCCCAAATCAAGCATAGGTGTTTTGGTTCCATCTCAATAGAAAGATGAAGATTAAGCTTGGATTGCACTTTCGGTGTTCATTCACCCAAAAAACAAAGCGAAGTGTCATAAGCCTAAACAAAGCAAAAAAGATTATTTTGGGTTCCATCTACATAGAAAGAAGAATCTTGGATTTCACTTATTTCAAAGTCGTGTTCTTTGGTGTTAATGCACATTGACCCAGAAATCGCAAAGTGTATGTAATGAGACCAAAATAACAAATCACCGTCTTTCCGCTTCCATAGCGTAGAAAGAAGAAGAAAAAGCTTTGATTGGGCTTATTTCAATTCGCATGGTGTTTTTTGGGTGTGCACCAGAATCCCCCCAACCAAAGCAAAAGGTGTGTTGGCCTCCATCTACATAAAAAGAAGTTGATAACGCTCTGATTGGGCTTATTTCAAATTGGTGTTTTTGGGGTTAGAATGCACATTCACCCAAAAATCGTAGAGTGAAATGTGCGTTATAAGCCCAAATCAAGCATAGGTGTTTTGGTTCCATCTCAATAGAAAGGACAACTAAGCTTCAGGTGCACTTTCGGTGTTCATTCACCCACAAATAACAAAGCGAAGTGTCATAAGCCTAAACAAAGCAAAACAGATTATTTTGGGTTCCATCTACATAGAAAGAAGAATCTTGTATTTCACTTCTTTCAAAGTCGTGTTCTATGGTTTTAATGCCCATTCACCCAGACATCGCAAAGTGTATGGAATGAGACCAAAATAACAAAACACCATCTTTCCGCTTCCATTGCATAGAAAGAAGAAGAATAAGCTTCGATTGGGCTTATTTCAATTCGCATGGTGTTTTTTGGGTGTGCAGCAGAATCACTCCAACCAAAGGAAAAAGGTGTTTTGGCTTCCATCTACATAAAAAGAAGATGATAACGCTCTGATTGGGCTTATTTCAAATTGGTGTTTTTGGGCTTAGAATGCACATTCACCCATAAATCGCAGAGGGAAATTTGTTATCAGCACAAATCAAACATAGGTGTTTTGATTCAATCTCTATAAAAAGAGGAGGAATAAGCTTCGATTGCTCTTTCGGTGTTCATTCACCCACAAGATCAAAGCGGTGTCATAAGCCTAAACAAGAGAAAACAGGTTATTTTCGGTTCCATCTACATAGAATGAAGAATCTTGCATTTCGCTTATTTCAAAGTCGTCTTCTTTGGTTTTAATGCACATTGACCAGAAATCGCAAAGTGTATGTAATGAGACGAAAATAACAAAACACCGTATTTCCGCTTACATATGCGTAGAAAGAAGAAGAATAAGCTTCGATTGGGTTTATTTCGATTGGGGTTAGAATGCACATTCACCCAAAATCGTAGATTGAAATGTGCGTTATAAGCCCAAATCAAGCATAGGTGTTTTGATTCGATCTCTATAGAAAGAGGAGGAATAAGCTTGGATTGCACTTTCGGTGTTCATTCACCCACAAATATCAAAGCGAAGTGTCATAAGCCTAAAGAAGACAAAACAGGTTATTTTGGGTTCCCTCTACATAGAAAGAAGAGTCTTGCATTTCGCTTATTTCAAAGGCGTGTTCATTGGTGTTAATGCACATTTACCCAGAAATCGCAAAGTGTATGTAATGAGACGAAAATAACAAAACACCATCTTTCCGCTTCCATATGCGTAGAAAGAAGACGAATAAGCTTCGATTGGGCTTATTTCAATTCGCATGGTGTTTTTTGGGTGTGCACCAGAATCACCCCAACCAAAGCAAAAAGGTGTTTTGGCCTCCATCTACATAAAAAGATGATAACGCTCTGATTGGGCTTATTTCAAATTGGTGTTTTTGGGGTTAGAATGCACATTCAACCAAAAATCGCAGAGTGAAATGTTTTTCAGCCCAAATCAAGCATAGGTCTTTTGGTTCCACCTCAATAGAAGGAGGACGAAAAAACTTGGATTGCACTTTCGGTGTTCATTCACCCACAAATAACAAAGCGAAGTGTCATAAGCCTAAACAAAGCAAAACAGATTATTTTGGGTTCCATCTACATAGAAAGAAGAATCTTGGATTTCACTTATTTCAAAATCATGTTGTTTGGTGTTAATGCACATTTACCGAGAAATCGCAAAGTGTATGTAATGAGACCAAAATAACAAATCACCATCTTTCCGCTTCCATAGCGTAGAAAGAAGAAGAATAAGCTTCGATTGGGCTTATTTCAAATCGCATGGTGTTTTTTGGGTGTGCACCAGAATCCCCCCAACCAAAGCAAAAAGGTGTTTTTGCCTCCATCTACATAAAAAGAAGTTGATAACGCTCTGATTGGGCTTATTTCAAATTGGTGTTTTTGGGGTTAGAATGCACATTCACCCAAAAATCGTAGAGTGAAATGTGCGTTATAAGCCCAAATCAAGCATAGGTGTTTTGGTTCCATCTCAATAGAAGGGACAACTAAGCTTCAGGTGCACTTTCGGTGTTCATTCACCCACAAATAACAAAGCGAAGTGTCATAAGCCTAAACAAAGCAAAACAGATTATTTTGGGTTCCATCTACATAGAAAGAAGAATCTTGTATTTCACTTCTTTCAAAGTCGTGTTCTATGGTTTTAATGCCCATTCACCCAGACATCGCAAAGTGTATGGAATGAGACCAAAATAACAAAACACCATCTTTCAGCTTCCATTGCATAGAAAGAAGAAGAATAAGCTTCGATTGGGCTTATTTCAATTCGCATGGTGTTTTTTGGGTGTGCAGCAGAATCACTCCAACCAAAGGAAAAGGTGTTTTGGCTTCCATCTACATAAAAAGAAGATGATAACGCTCTGATTGGGCTTATTTCAAATTGGTGTTTTTGGGGTTAGAATGCACATTCACCCATAAATCGCAGAGGGAAATTTGTTATCAGCACAAATCAAACATAGGTGTTTTGATTCAATCTCTATAAAAAGAGGAGGAATAAGCTTCGATTGCTCTTTCGGTGTTCATTCACCCACAAGATCAAAGCGGTGTCATAAGCCTAAACAAGAGAAAACAGGTTATTTTCGGTTCCATCTACATAGAATGAAGAATCTTGCATTTCGCTTATTTCAAAGACGTGTTCTTTTGTGTTAATGCACATTTACCCAGAAATCGCAAAGTGTATGTAATGAGACGAAAATAACAAAACACCGTATTTCCGCTTACATATGCGTAGAAAGAAGAAGAATAAGCTTCGATTGGGCTTATTTCGATTGGGGTTAGAATGCACATTCACCCAAAATCGTAGAGTGAAATGTGCGTTATAAGCCCAAATCAAGCATAGGTGTTTTGATTCGATCTCTATAGAAAGAGGAGGAATAAGGTTGGATTGCACTTTCGGTGTTCATTCACCCACAAATATCAAAGCGAAGTGTCATAAGCCTAAAGAAGACAAAACAGGTTATTTTGGGTTCCATCTACATAGAAAGAAGAGTCTTGCATTTCGCTTATTTCAAAGGCGTGTTCATTGGTGTTAATGCACATATACCCAGAAATCGCAAAGTGTATGTAATGAGACCAAAATAAAAAAAACACCATATTTCCTCTTCCATATGCGTAGAAAGAAGACGAAGAAGCTTCGATTGGGCTTATTTCAATTCGCATGGTGTTTTTTGGGTGCGCACCAGAATCACCCGAACCCAAGCAAAAAGGTGTTTTGGCTTCCAGCTACATAAAAAGAAGATAATAACACTCTGATTGGGCTTATTTCAAATTGGTGTTTTGGGGTTTAGAATGCACATTCACCCAAAAATCGTAGAGTGAAATGTGCGTTATAAGCCCAAATCCAGCATAGGTGTTTTGGTTCCATCTCAACAGAAAGAGGACAACTAAGCTTGGGTTGCACTTTTAGTCTTCATTCACCCACAAATAACAAAGCGAAGTGTAATAAGCCTAAAATTCGCCTAAACAAAGCAAAACAGGTTATTTTGTCTTCCATCTACATAAAAAGAAGACGATAACGCTCCAGTTGGGCTTACTTCAAATTGGTGTTTTTGGGGTTAGAATGCACATTCAACCAAAAATCGCAGAATGAAATGTTTTTCAGCCCAAATCAAGCATAGGTGTTTTGGTTCCATCTCAATAGAAGGAGGACGAATAAGCTTGGATTGCACTTTCGGTGTTCATTCACCCACAAATAACAAATCAACGTGTAATAAGCCTAAACAAAGCTAAACAGGTTGTTTTGAGTTCCATCTACACAGAAAGAGGCATCTTGGATTTCGCTTATTTCAAAGTCGTGTTCTTTGGTTTTAATGCACATTGACCCAGAAATCGCAAAGTGTATGTAATGAGACCAAAATAACGAAACACCATATTTCCGCTTCCATATGCGTAGAAAGAAGAATAATAAGCTTTGATTGGGCTTATTTCAATACACAGGGTGTTTTTTGGTGTGCACCAGAATCACCCTCAACCAAAGAAAAAGGTCTCTTGGCTTCCATCTACATAAAAAGAAGGTGATAACGCTCTGATTTGGTTTATTTCAAATTGGTGTTTTTGGGGTTAGAATGCACATTCACCCAAAAATCGCAGAGTGACATGTTTCTTATCAGCCCAAACGAAGCACAGGTGTTTTGGTTCCATCTCAATAGAAAGAGGACGAATAATTTTGGATTGTTCTTTCGGTGTTCATTCACAAATAGCAAATCGAATTGTAATAAGCCTAAACAAAGCCAAACAGGTTGTTTTGGGTTGCAGCAACATAGAAAGAAGAATCTTGGATTTTGCTTATTTCGTGTTCTTTGGTGTTAATGCACATTGACCCAGTAATCGCAAAGTGTGTGTAATGAGACCAAAATAAAACAACACCGTCTTTTCGCTTCCATACGCGTAGAAAGAAGACAAATAAGTTTTGATTGTGCTTATTTCAATTCGCATGGGGTTTTATAGGTGTGCACCAGAATCACCCCCAACCAAAGCAAAAAAGTCTTTTGGGTTCTATCTACATAAAAAGAAGATGATAAAGCTCTGATTGGGCTTATTTCAAATTGATGTTTTTGGGCTTAGAATCCACATTCACCCAAAAATTGCAGAGTGACTTGTTTATTATCAGACCAAACCAAGCATAGGTGTTTTGGTTCCATCTCAATAGAAAGAGGAATAAGCTTTCATTGTTCTTTCGGTGTTCAATCCCCCACAAATAGCAAAGCGAAGTGTAATAAGCCTAAACAAAGCCAAACAGGTTGTTTTGGGTTGCAGCAACATAGAAAGAAGAATCTTGGATTTTGCTTATTTCGTGTTCTTTGGTGTTAATGCACATTGACCCAGAAATCTCAAAGTGTGTGTAATGAGACCAAAATAACACAACATTGTCTTTTCGCTTCCCTATGCCTAGAAAGAAGACAAATAAGCTTTGATTGTGCTTATTTCAATTCGCATGGGGTTTTATGGGTGTGCACCAGAATCACCCCTAACGAAAGCAAAAAGGTCTTTTGGGTTCCATCTACATAAAAAGAAGATGATAAAGCTCTGATTGGGCTTATTTCAAATTGGTGTTTTGGGGGTTAGAATGCACATTAACCCAAAAATCGCAGAGTGACATGTTTATTATCAGACCAAACCAAGCATAGGTATTTTGGTTCCATCTCAATAGAAAGAGGACGAATAAACTTGCATTGTTCTTTCGGTGTTCAGTCCCCCACAAATAGCAAAGCAAAGTGTAATAAGCCTAAACAAAGCCAAACAGGTTGTTTTGGGTTGCAGCAACATAGAAAGAAGAATCTTGGATTTTGCTTATTTCGTGTTCTTTGGTGTTAATCCACATTGACCCAGAAATCTCAAAGTGTGTGTAATGAGATCAAAATAACACAACACCGTCTTTGGAGCTCCCGGCAGCTGAAGGGGAGATTGTGTGCGACTCCTCTCTGGTATGCTATAATTTGTGTTTTGTATGCCTGCTGCTATCTGTTAACCTTATGCAAATAAAGCATTGCTTGTTCTTCATCCACTGGCGTGCTTATTGGCTCCAGATCCAGAAATAACCCTGCCCTTGGCAGAACATATACAGCGCTTTTTTTCTGGGGGGGACGCAGGGGAATGGATACTCCTAAAACATTTTGTGAATGTACTTTGGTCCATTTACTGTATTTATTTTTCCCGGTTTGAACTATAAAATGGTGATTTTCTTGAGTCAAAATGAGAGTATCCCCAGTCACTTTTTTTAGAAAAGAAGTACTGCATAGATACACACACACATATACATATATCCATTTTATTTTTATATATTTACAAACGGACACCTATATCTAGGTATGTATATTCTTGTATATAAACTTCCGCGGCCCACCCGCACCATCCTACCGCAAAGGGGCACGAGAGGAAGGCCACTGGGGGGAAAGGCAGGTGAGGACGAGGCGGGGGGCAGGGCTGCACCCTGGGAGAGCGGGGTCGACAGAGAGAGTGGGTGGGAGAAAGAGAGAGGGCCAGCCTCGCTCGGCACGTCTCTGCTGGCCCAACGTCGCAGCGCCTCTTCCGCCTATTTCCCTCCCCTTCCTGTGCTCATGCCTCTCCTCCGGTGGCACGTCCTTCCGGTACCCCTGCCCTCGCGCAACATGGCGGCAGCACAGCCTCTTCCGCCCATTTCCCTCCCCTTCCTGTGCTCATGCCTCTCCTCCGGTGGCACGTCCTTCCGGTACCCCTGCCCTCGCGCAACATGGCGGCAGCACAGCCTCTACCGCCCATTTCCCTCCCCTACCCTTCCTGTCCTCTTGCCTCTCCTCCGGTGGCACCTCCTTCCGGGTACCCCCTGCTCTTGCCCAACATGGCGGCAGCACAGCCTCTTCCGCCCTTCCCCCACCCCTTCCTGTCCTCTCGCCTCTCCTCCGGTGGCACCTCCTTCCGGTACCCCCTGCCCTCGCCCAACATGGCGGCAGCACAGCCTCTTCCGCCCATTTCCCTCCCCTTCCTGTCCTCTTGCCTCTCCTCCGGTGGCACCTCCTTCCGGTACCCCCTGCCCTCGCCCAACATGGCGGCAGCACAGCCTCTTCCGCCCTTCCCCCACCCCTTCCTGTCCTCTTGCCTCTCCTCCGGTGGCACCTCCTTCCGGTACCCCCTGCCCTCGCGCAACATGGCGGCAGCACAGCCTCTTCCGCCCTTCCGAGCTAGGAGTGCAGAAAAAGGTGAAACTGCCATGAAAAGGAGAGGAGGAGTGTGTGAGTGAGTGAGTGAGAGTGAGACAGGGAGCATCCTAGTAGAGATGGAAGGGGAACCCAAGGGTCATCTAGTCCAACCCTCTGCAAAGAAGCTCAGAGCTACAATTCCCAGGTCTTCTTTGGGAATTCTATGGGAAGTAAGAGTTTCCATATTCATGAGCATTCACTTAGAGTGCGCTCATGTTTTTACCTTTTATTGAAAGCGGTCACAAGTGACTTGGGTGGAGTATAAATAATAAAATTATATTGCTCCTGCTGCTGTTCTCTTAGCCTAACTCAAATCCAACCCAATACCAAACCTTAATCCTAATGCTCACCCTAACTCAAACCTAATCCTCACTCTAACCCTAACCTTAACCCAAACCTAAGCCTCAGTCTAAACCTAAACCTAATTTAACCCTAACCTTAAGTAATAAAATTATATTTCTTCTGCTGCTGTTCTTCTCTTACCGTAACTCAACCCCAACTCTAACTCCTAATCCTAATCCAACTCAAACCCAGCTCTCACTGTAACCCTAACCTTTACCCAAACCTAATCCTAAACGCTTTGCTTCTTTTTGTGGTGTTTTGTGTTATTGCTTCATTTCGTAGGTTATGAGGCTTTCTTTGTTTCTTGTGGTGTTGCTTCATTTAGCAGTTTTTAATTGGCTTTTGTGTTTCTTTTGGTATTGCATCATCTTCATAGGTTGTTTGGATTTCTGATTAATTTGCTTTGGATTTCTGGTAGCTCTGCTTCTTTATGATTTGTTTCTGTGTTTCTGGTGTTTTGGCTTGGTTATGTCATAAAATTGAAGAAATACCACCAGAAGCACAAAAACCAAGAAATATTCCTAAAATGAGGCAAAACCAGGAGACATGAAAACCAAGCCAAATCAATGGAAAAGAAACAATCTCACCCAAAACCGCAGAACCATTCAAAGTAAAAGAATCAAAACAATTAAATGCAAAAAAACAAGCAAAACCACCCCAAATTAAACAAATCAGCAGAAAACAAAAAAGAAGCAGTAAAGCCACCAATTACAAAGCAATGCCACAAGAAACTGGAAACCAGTTTTTAAAAAGCAAAACCAGAAACTCAACAGGCATGCAATTTATGGGAGTCCAAAAGCACTTCAAGCAACAGAAATTAACCAACATAGCATACTAGTTTTCACATAGTCTTGGGTTTCTGGTGAATGTGCTTCGTTTGCAGCTGGCTTCATTTCTTTTCCATTGGTTTAGCTTGTTTTTTGGACTTTTGCCTTATTGCTTCTTTTGAGAAGTTTTCTTGTTTTTGCATTCTGGTGGTAATACTTTTGAATGCTTTGGGGGTTTCTGGTGAATCTGCTTTGTTTGGGATTGGTTGGCTTCTTTGTCAGTTTCCATTGATGTTGCTTTTACATGGTTCTTCTGCTTCTTTTCAGTAGGTTTATGTGTTTTTAGTGGTTGACTTCATTGTTGGAATGGTCATTAGACATTTCTGGTGGTTTTCCTTCATTTCTGGTGGTTTTCCTTTTTTTCTTGGGATTATCAGATCTCATACAAATTAATATTCTCAAAGGTGCAAAACCCAAAAAACCTAGAAATGAAGCAAACTCACCATAAATCCAGCACCCAATCTGTTATGTACTAACCTTGGACCCTAGAATGCAACAACTGATTGGTCTTTTCCTGCAGGCCAATCAGGCTCCAAGAGGGAAGCAGAGTTAGCCAGTCAGACGGGACTCATTGTGTAAATAATGTATATAAAAGCCTGAGGTTGGGGGGGGGGCAATAAAGAGCATGAAATACATACAAGACTCTGAGTATATTTCACAATCATAATTTATATAAAAGAATCTATGAAATGAAAACCACAGAAAAAATTCAACATAATCCCCAAAACAAACCAGAAACAACAGAAACAAACCACATCCACCAAAGATGAGAAAACCAATTGAATAGAACCACAAGAAACCCACGCAGTAAACATCTCAGGGAAAGGCGAAATCACCCCCACACCATGCAAAACTAAGGTTTAACTGGCTTTGGGGTTTCTGCGCAATTTACCTTTTCACTCTTGTTGGGGGTTTCTGGTGGTATTTCTTCTGCTTCTCACATTTCTGCTTCTTTTCAATTGGTTTTGGGATTCTGGTGAATTTGGATATGATTTGATTGAAGTCTCTGTCTGGCAATTTTCCTTTTCATGAATTCCTTCCTTGTTGGGTTTCTGGTATCTCACTTTTGGTTTTCACATTTCTCTTAGTTTTGCTACGTTTCAGGTAGTTTGCTGATTGTTTGGAATTATCCAGTCTCATAAAAATGAAGCAATATCATTAGAAGCTTAAAAAGCATGAAAAAAACCCCAGGCACTAACCCTAACCCTGAACATCCACCTATCCCCTGCCCTAACCCTGATATTCTGGTCATCCATCTTGGGGATAACAATCTGGTGAGGTAAATTCAGTTGAGATCACTAAATATCTCCATCAGCTGTGCTTCCTCATCCCTGAGCTTATCATAGTTTGGTTTGGAATGTTGTAGAGGTGCTTATGGAGTGGGGGCAGCCTTCCTAAGAAGGTGGATGGGCAAGACATAAAGCTAATCATTCTACGACGACGTTTGTGTTTGAAAATGTGGCTGCTTATATCCCTCATGGCAGAATTATGTTCTGTGCCCCACAGTTGTATAGACCTGGTGGTATGCATCTTTCTGATTTGGGTTGTGACATGATTCTTAAGGATCTGCAAAGAGCTCTGTTTGAGCACTTGTGTGTTTGTGGGTGGAGGTGAACAAGCACACCTGCCCAGACTTAATTTGATTTGGTTACATTGGTCGAATCTGACTAGTTTTGCCGATCCTCAAGTTGTTATATTTAATAAATACAACCTATTTATCCACTTTTGGTTGTCTTGACTCTTCCTCCTGATGTGCTAGGAACCACTCCGTTTGGGGGGCACTGCAAAACATGTGCACCAGAATCACCCCAACCCAAGCAAAAAGGTGTTTTGGCTTCCATCTACATAAAAAGAAGATAATAACGCTCTGATTGGGCTTATTTCAAATTGGTGTTTTTGGGTTTAGAATGCACATTCACCCAAAAATCGAAAAGTGAAATGTGCGTTATAAGCCCAATTCAAGCATAGGTGTTTTGGTTCCATCTCAATAGAAGGAGGACGAATAAGCTTGGATTCCACTTTCGGTGTTCATTCACCCACAAATAACAGAGCGAAGTGTAATAAGCCTAAACAAAGCAAAACAGCTTGTTTTGAGTTCCATCTACATAGAAAGAGGCATCTTGGGTTTCGCTAATTTAAAAGTCGTGTTCTTTGGTTTTAATGCACATTGACCCAGAAATCACAAAGTGTATGTAATGAGACCAAAATAACGAAACACCATATTTCCGCTTCCATATGCGTAGAAGGAAGACGAATAAGCTTTGATTGGGCTTATTTCAATTACCAGGGTGTTTTTTGGTGTGCACCAGAATCACCCTCAACCAAAGCAAAAAGGTGTCTTGGGTTCCATCTACATAAAAAGAAGATGATAACGCTCTGATTGGGCTTATTTCAAATTGGTGTTTTGGGGTTTTGAATGCACATTCACCCAAAAATCGTAGAGTGAAATGTGCGTTATATGCCCAAATCAAGCATAAGTGTTTTGGTTCCATCTCAATAGAAAGAGGACAACTAAGCTTGGATTGCACTTTCAGTGTTCATTCAACCACAAATGACAATGCGAAGTGTAATAAGCCTAAACAAAGCAAAACAGGTTGTTTTGAGTTCCATCTACATAGAAAGAGGCATCTTGGATTTCACTTATTTCAAAGTCGTGTTCTTTGGTTTTAATGCACATTGACCCAGAAATCGCAAATTGTATGTAATGAGACCAAAATAACAAAACACCATCTTTCCGCTTCCATAGCATAGAAAGAAGAAGAATAAGCTTCGATTGGGCTCATTTCAATTCGCATGGTGTTTTTTATGTGTGCACCAGAATCACCCCAACCAAAGCAAAAAGGTGTTTTGGCTTCGAGCTACATAAAAAGAAGATAATAACACTCTGATTGGGCTTATTTCAAATTGGTGTTTTTGGGGTTAGAATGCACATGCACCCAAAAATCGCAGAGGGAAATTTTTTATCAGCACAAATCAAACATAGGTGTTTTGATTCGATCTCTATAGAAAGAGGAGGAATAAGCTTGGATTGCTCTTTAAGTGTTCATTCACCCACAGATATAAAATGAAGTGTAATAAGTCTAAACAAAGCAAAACAGGTTATTTTGGATACCATCTACATAGAAAGAAGAATCTTGCATTTCGCTTATTTCAAAGTCGTGTTCTTTGGTGTTAATGCACATTTACCCAGAAATCGCAAAGTATGTAATGAGACCAAAATAACAAAACACCATATTTCCACTTCCATATGCATAGAAATAAGACGAATAAGCTTATTTCAATTCGCATGGTGTTTTTTGGGTGTGCACCAGAATCACCCCAACCAAAGCAAAAAGGTGTTTTGGCTTCCAGCTACATAAAAAGAAGATAATAACACTCTGATTGGGCTTATTTCAAATTGGTGTTTTGGGGTTTAGAATGCACATTCACCCAAAAATCGTAGAGTGAAATGTGCATTATAAGCCCAATTCAAGCATAGGTGTTTTGGTTCCATCTCAATAGAAAGAGGACAACTAAGCTTGGGTTGCACTTTTAGTGTTCATTCACCCACAAATAAAGCGAAGTGTAATAAGCCTAAAATTCGCCTAAACAAAGCAAAACAGGTTATTTTGTCTTCCATCTACATAAAAAGAAGATGATAACGCTCCAGTTGGGCTTACTTCAAATTGGTGTTTTTGGGGTTAGAATGCACATTCAACCAAAAATCGCAGAGTGAAACGTTTTTCAGCCCAAATCAAGCATAGGTGTTTTGGTTCCATCTCAATAGAAGGAGGACGAATAAGCTTGGATTGCACTTTCGGTGTTCATTCACCCACAAATAACAAATCAACGTGTAATAAGCCTAAACAAAGCTAAACAGGTTGTTTTGAGTTCCATCTACACAGAAAGAGGCATCTTGGATTTCGCTTATTTCAAAGTCGTGTTCTTTGGTTTTAATGCACATTGACCCAGAAATCGCAAAGTGTATGTAATGAGACCAAAATAACGAAACACCATATTTCCCCTTCCATATGCGTAGAAAGAAGAATAATAAGCTTTGATTGGGCTTATTTCAATACACAGGGTGTTTTTTGGGTGTGCACCAGAATCAACCTCAACCAAAGAAAAAGGTCTCTTGGCTTCCATCTACATAAAAAGAAGATGATAACGCTCTGATTTGGTTTATTTCAAATTGGTGTTTTTGGGGTTAGAATGCACATTCACCCAAAAATCGCAGAGGGAAATTTGTTATCAGCACAAGTCAAGGATAGGTGTTTTGAATCGATCTCTATAGAAAGAGGAGGAATAAGCTTGGATTGCTCTTTCGGTGTTCATTCACCCACAAATATCAAAGCGACGTGTCATAAGCCTAAACAAATTAAAACAGGTTATTTTGGGTTCCATCTACATAGAAAGAAGAATCTTGGATGTCGCTTATTTCAAAGTCGTGTTCTTTGGTGTTAATGCACATTTACCCACAAATCGTAAAGTGTATGTAATGAGACCAAAATAACAAAACACCATCTTTCCGCTTCCATAGCGTAGAAAGAAGAAGAATAAGCTTCGATTGGGCTTATTTCAATTCGCATGGTGTTTTCTGGTGTGCACCAGAATCACCCCAACCCAAGCAAAAAGGTGTTTTGGCTTCCATCTACATAAAAAGAAGATAATAACGCTCTGATTGGGCTCATTTCAAATTGGTGTTTTTGGGTTTAGAATGCACATTCACCCAAAAATCGAAAAGTGAAATGTGCGTTATAAGCCCAATTCAAGCATAGGTGTTTTGGTTCCATCTCAATAGAAGGAGGACGAATAAGCTTGGATTGCACTTTCGGTGTTCATTCACCCACAAATAACAGAGCGAAGTGTAATAAGCCTAAACAAAGCAAAACAGGTTATTTTGGGTTCCATCTACATAGAAAGAAGAATCTTGGATTTCACTTATTTCAAAGTCGTTTTCTTTGGTTTTCATGCACATTGACCCAGAAATCGCAAAGTGTATTTAATGAGACCAAAATAACAAAACACCATCTTTCCGCTTCCATAGTGTAGAAAGAAGAAGAATAAGCTTCGATTGGGCTTATTTCAATTCGCATGGTGTTTTTTGGGTGTGCAGCAGAATCACCCCAACCAAAGCAAAAAGGTGTTTTGGCTTCCATCTACATAAAAAGAAGATGATAACGCTCTGATTGGGCTTATTTCAAATTGGTGTTTTTGGGTTTAGAATGCACATTCACCCAAAAATCGAAAAGTGAAATGTGCGTTATAAGCCCAATTCAAGCATAGGTGTTTTGGTTCCATCTCAATAGAAGGAGGACCTTTTGCATCGGAGTTCCAGTCCTTCGCAACCAGACAACATGAGCTCTCGGGTCATCGCAGCTGTCTGCTGTGGGGAGACCGCGTTGTGATTCCCCAAAGACTCCGTCAACGCGTCCTTCAGGCTCTGCACGTTGGCCACCCAGGAATTGTCAAAATGAAGGTGTTGGCTCGGTGTTACGTCTTTTGGCCCAACATGGACGATGCCATCACTGCCTGGGTTTCCACCTGTCAAGCGTGCCAAGTATTGAGGCCACCGACAGCTAAGGGACACACCTGGGAGACGCCCAAGACACCCTGGTTGAGGGTGCACATCGATCTGGACAGCCCCTTTCGTGGCCGGACCTTTATGGTAGTGGTGGACGCCTATTCCAAATGGCTGGAGGTGGCCCTGATGCCCTCCATCACTACCGAGGCCGTCATCTGGGTGCTGCGAGGCCTCTTTGCAACGCATAGGTGTCCTGATGTCCTTGTCTCCGACAACGGACCACAGTTCACGTCAGGCACTTTTGAGCGGTACCTTTTGGGACTGGGCATCCGCCATGCCCTAACAGCACCATTTCATCCATCCAGCAACGGGCAAGCGGAGAGAATGGTGCGCTCGGCAAAAGAGGCACTGGGATGCCTGGACCGGGGAGACTGGCACAAGCAGGTCGCCAAATACTTGTTCGTGGAACACATCACCCCTCATGCGGCCACAGGGCGGAGTCCTGCCGAACTGCTTATGGGCTGCCGCCTCAGGTCCCCGCTCGACCGGCTGCACCCGGACTTTGCCGTGGCTGAACCCCCAGGCTGTGCCAACGCACCACGGTCATTTGTTCCAGGAAACCAGGTATTTGCCCGGAACTTTGTGGGGGACATTCCTTGGGTGCCAGCCACAGTAGTGGGAGTCACTGGACCTCGCTCGTACCAGGTGGCACTCGAAAATGGAGGTTTGTGGCGCTGGCACATAGACCAGCTTAGGCGCAGGGTTGGGGACTTGGACACTACCGTGGTGCCCCCAACTGTGCTCGTGGCTCCGGAACAGACACTTACAGATGGTGAGGCTCCACCTACACCTCTCTCGCAAACTGCCGGCGTGGAGCCGAACCACTGCCATCCCTGTCATTCCGCCAACTCCACTTGCGGATGTTCCACCCACAGCAGCGGATCCAGGGGACTTGGTTTCAATGCCACCTAGGGTCGTGCCACAGCCTCAGCAAGAATCGGGCAGCCCACCGGACCTGGGTACCGCTCCCCGGCAGTCTGGCAGAGTTTCCAAGCGCTCAACTTATTTAAAGGACTATGTTGTTGGACATGTAACACTGTTGGTCTAAGTATGTGGAAGTATGTGAAATGTAACCGATATGCTTTTGTGCCTAATTGAACCATTACGTGTAGTGCTGTATATAAGGAAACCATTACGATTGTAACTAACGCCTTATCTCGGTGGGGAGGGGTGTTATGTACTGAAGTTCTCACCCTGGGCCAGCAGGGGGATACTGTAGATAGTTATGCAAATGAAGGATCGAAAGTGACATTCAGTGATTGGATAGTTTTAGAAAGTTGTTACAGTATTCAGTTATGTCCTGGCCTGTGAATAAACAAGAGCTGTTTGAAGAATCGCTGTGTCGTCTGATATGTTCACCCACAACTTAACACCAAGTTTGGGAAATGCTGGTGTAAAGTGAAATGTTTTATTAGGTAGGTGACAAGGGAATAGATTAACTGTATTTTATCCATCTAGACAGACATGTGTGAGTTAACAGACAAAATCAGCTTATCGCTTGTGTTTTAAATAATAGGGCTAAGCAGAGTTTCAACCTCATTTTAGGCAGTTTAATTGAAAGCATAGGAATTAGCCATTAGGCTGATCTCCCCCTTTGTTACCTATTTTTCAAAGAAACAGAGATTGAAAAGTAAACTGAAAAACATAGTTTAATCACAGCCAAGCATTAATCCTTAGCAGCAATAGCATTAAAATAATTGCAGGGAAAATACTTGTATTTGCAGCAAAACAGCTTCAGGCATGTGACTCATGATAGAACAAGAGGAAGCCTGTCTTCCTCCATCGTTGGCTGAAGAGAGAAAGAGAAAAGGAACAGGAAATACTATCGTGTCATACCTTGTGTTGCGTCCGCTTCATGTTGCGTCTTTTCGCATTACGTCCCGTGGTAACCAGGAAGTACTGGACTGGGTTACTTCTGGGTTTCACCGCTTGCGTATGCGCAGAAGCGCTAAATTGCGCTGCGTGCATGTGCAGACGCGGCGCTTCTGGATGTGAACGCTTTGAGTTGCAGACGTGCCTCCAGGAAGGATTATGTCTGCAACTTGAGGTTCCACTGTATGCTCCTTTCCTCTTAGGAGAGGAGGGGAAATTATGTTGAACAGAGCCTTCTCTACCAATCATCTATAAAGCTTTATGGTCTTAACACTTTCATGTGCTAACAAGCAAGAATATGCATTGTTAGACTGACTGCAAAATCTCCCACATATAGTGCATAGGATGGATGGTCACTTCAGGGGGCGCCAAAACAATGCTGCAGAGTGGAGCATGAGAGGGAGCGGTGCTGAATTTTAGCATTGCACATGGCACCACTGAAATTTGAGAACCCAAAGTCTGCCACTGGGCAAATGCAAGGCAGAACCAACAGCTCCATGGTCATGCACACACAGGCTTCAGCAAAGGCTTTTGCTCCCTGCTCGCTCCTCCATTTGCATACAGCAGTCCTGGAAAAAATGGTCCAAAGGAACAGCAACATGTCTGATAGTCCGTTAGTAATATTATTAATTTATTCGCCTTATTTATAAAAATAAATAGACCAGATCCAGGCACTTTGGGAAGAAACTGATTTTATGGAACCATTTCAATCGGGGTTTTGGCACAGAAACTGCTTTGGTCGCCCTGTATGATGACCTCTGTTGAGAGAGAGACAAGGGAAACATGTCCCTGTTAATTCTTCACAACCTCTCAGTGGCTTTCAATACCATCGACCATGGTATCCTTCTGGAGCGACTCTCCAAACTAGGAGTGGGTGGCACTGCTTTGCAGTGGTTCCAGTCCTACTTGGATGGTTGTTCCCAGAGAGTGTTCCTTGGGGAATGCTTTTCTGCCGTGGAACCTTCAGTATGGGGTTCCACAGGGCTCAGTCCTATCACTCATGTTGTTTAACATCTACATGAAACTGCTGGGTGGGGTTATCCGGAGGTTCGGAGTATGTTGTCAGCAGTATGCTGATGACACTCAGCTCTTATTTCTCCTTTACATCTGTAGGTGAGGCAGTGGAAGTGCTGGACCAGTGTCTTGCCTCAGTAATGGACTGGATGACAGCCAACAGACTGAAGCTCAATCCAGATAAGACTGTTAGTGGGTGGTTCCCTAGACCAGATGGGTGGGAGGTCGCCTGCTCTTGATGGGGTTACACTTCCCCTGAAGGAGCAGGTTCGTAGCTTGGGGCTACTCCTGGATCCTTTGCCTCAGTGGCCCGGAGCGCCTTCCATCAGCTTTGGCTGGTGACCTAGCTACGCCCCTCTCTGGACAGGAATAACCTAACTACTGTTGTCTATGCTCTGGTAACGTCAAGGTTAGTTTACTGCAATGTGCTATACATAGGGCTGCCTCTGAAGATGGTTCGGAAACTTCAGCTAGTGCATAATTGAGCGGCCAGGTAGCTCACTGGAGCAAGACAGTTTGAGCATATTACACTGATCCTGGTCCAACTGCACTGGCTACCAATTAGTTTCCAGGCCCAATTCAAAGTGCTGGTTTTGACCTATAAAGCTTTAAGTTGCTCAGGACCACCTCTTTCCATATCAATCTAACTGGACTCAGAGATCATCTTCTGAGGCCTTTCTTTGTGTGCCTCCTCCTTGAGAGGTCCGGAAGGTGGCAACACGAGAACGGGCCTTCTCTGCAGTGGCTCCCCATCTGTGGAATGCTCTCCCCAGGGAGTTTCAGTTGGTACCTTCATTATACACCTTCAGGCGCCAGGCAAAAATGTTCCTTTTTAACCAGACCCTTGGTTGATTTGATTGACATCCTATGCCCTTTTAAAATGTGGGGGGTTTTCTTGGAGGGGGGGGTTATTGGGTTATTTATATGCCACTGTGATATGCCACACATCACAGTCATTTACAAAACATTAAAACCATGCAGTAAAATCATAAAAAGTTATAAGAGATCTATAGGCCCACTATAAAGGCTCAAGAAGATGTCCATCCCCCCTGACCATTGGCTGGAAGGTCAGATCGTTCCCCTTGGCCTGGCCTAAATGGTTTGAATGAGGAGGTCAATAGCATCACCGACTCCTGTCTGTCTGTTGGGGGAAATAAGGAGCGGGTTTTTTGGTTTAAAAAATGTTTTTATTAAGATTTTCTTGGGTAACAAAAGTACATGCAGCACCTCTTTCTGTTTGTAGAGTCCTTTCTACAAGGGGGGCTTCCAGTTCTCGTGCGCTGGCTTTGGAATCTGCTTCAGGAGGTTGGCTTCCTCTCCCCCGTTATTTGCACCTTATCACATGCTTTCTCCTAACATTTAAGTAGCTTCTTAGTAAGGCCCAGCCTAACATCCTCCTACCTAAGGCGAAGGACAAGATTTAATTTTATTTATTTATTAAATTTATATACTGTCCTTCATCCAAAGACGGGGCAGTTTACAATATAATGGTGCAGTTCAGAGTACAGTACCTAAGTTGTATTACCATTCAAAGTACAAAAAGCCGATTGGCTGGGCAGCTGAATTTTACCTCCAACAAGGATGAGGGACAAGCATTCTGCCCTGAATTTGGGCACAGTGGCCTCTCTTAGGAAGTGCAGGACAGACTGCCTGGCATAACACCCCCCTGGCACTCTCCAGCAGCAGCATCCCCTGTGGCCTTAGGTCAGGGTGGGTGATCACACGGCCCTTGAGGCGTTTTCTGTGGCCCTCTGCAACATTTGGGCATGCATGAAAGCCAACAGTGAAGGCACTTGCTCAGTCTCCATCCTCCCTGCGAGGCCAACTGGGCCAGCCCTCCTGCCTGTGGCCTCTAACCTCACCCGTGAGCCGTGGGGCTGCCTTTCACAGAGTACCAGCAACCTTGCAGCATGCTATTCCGGGGGGCTTGTAGCAGCAGCATCCATGGGTGTAGGCAGGGGACAGCTGATCCCCTAAAACACGTAAATAAATAAAAATATTTAAAGGTAGAAATAATCAGAAAATTTTGGAATTGAACTGCTTGCTGAGGTCAAAAGCAATTTAAAACAACTGTTGTTGAGGCATTTCATTCCAAATCTGCTAGACTGAGCCAGATAAAGAGGATGACGAAAGGATGTCCTGTACCCGCAACATAAATTCTGGTGACGCTCATGGCAGCCTCCCTCCCCACCTGCTTTGCGCTCACTGTGGCCGCTCCTCTGCCAAGCTTTGGAACCTTTTGTTCCTTTGGAGGTTTCCTTTTATTATTTTGGACGTTGCATAATTTGAGCACACAGGAAAAGCAGGATGTCCTGCGGGGAAAGGCAAGAGCAACCACATGACCAGGATTACGCAGCAGCTGGCGGTGAGATTCAAGCTCCCAACTTCAGCACCCAGTTGGTGCTCTGGGGCGGCCACAGCAGCAGCACTGAGTCCCAGGCCTGGTGTGTGTGTTTCTCTTGTTGAGGGGGAAGGAGGAGAAAGAGGCAATATTGAAGGGACAACAGCTCTAGAAGTGATTTTATTACAAGGGTCTGGAAAAAGTATTATAGCTTTGCTTTCGGGGGGGGGGGGGAGCTCAAGTTAGTAACAAAAAATAATGTATTTTTCTTAGATCAAAACTGTTGAAACTAATAAAAACCATTTACATCAAAAAGTTCAGTGTTCAGATTTCTTTTGTAATACAAAAATCTCATACAGCATTGTTATGCCACCCCCAAATTCTCTTTGCTCCAGGTGCTAAGTTGTTTTCCCCAATCAATATTTCAGTAAGTTTGCATTAACTCTTCACCAATGATTGTTGTTCCACCTAAAGTTCTTCTTTTGTCCTACTTAGTTTGGTGGCATATTCTTCTACAAATTTGCTCAAGCTTTCCAGATCTCTTTCTCCACTTCCAAATTTAATAGGATCCTTTTTCTTATTGCTAGGAGCAAAATAGATGGTGGGGAATCCTTCTACTTTGTAATTTTCATTGGTGACATCATTGGCAGTAGCATCCATTTTGGCAATGACCAGGTTTTTCTGAGTTTTGTATTTTTTACCCAGCTCAGTATAAATGGGCTCAAGCTTCTTACAGTGTCCACACCAGGGAGCATAGAACTCTATGAGAACATCAGTCTTTGGATCCATCACTATAGATTCAAACGTTTTGCCAACTACAATCTTCACAGGACCCTTGTTATTTTTTGGTACTGGTTGGGACTTCACAATGGGTTTCAGTTTACCTAGGAAAGGAAACAGGAAAACTGTCATAAAAGACCATGGCCCTTGCAGTTAGTTCACAGAAGTTGGCAACACCACTACTAACATAGATGAGTTACTGCCAACCCGCCCCCCCCATCCCACAGCTCCAATTTTTCTGTAAATAGCTCCTTGAATGATCACTTGTGAAAAGTTTAGATCATAAAGTACAGTTTGACGAAAATTGCCTTTCACAGCATTTGGGACATACGGCATATTGGCCCATAGGGAAGAACAAAACTAAAATATTTCCTTTTTTGCAATTTAAGATACAGAATTCAGCAGCCAGGTTGCTCACTGAGGAAAGACGGGCCTGACTGCAAATCAGTTTCAGGGCCCAATTTAAAGTGCTGGGTTTTTACCTATAAAGTCTTAAACGGCTCAGGACCAAAATACCTCTCTGCATATGAACGGACCCTCTCTGCGGTCATCATCTTAGGCCCTTTGTGTGCTCCCTTCCCTCCAAGGGAGGTCCAGAGGGTGGCAACATGAGAATGGGCTTTTTTGAAGTGGCTGCCCACCAGGGAGGCTTGCCTGGCACCTTTGTTACATCTCTTTAGAGGCAAGGCAAATACTTTCCTCTATAACCAGGCCTTTGGCTAATTAAGCAGTCTGTGGCCTTTTAGAAGTGTGTGGGATGATTTTAATGTATCCCCCCACACCTCTGGTTTTACTGTATTTATGTGGGGGGTTTGTTCCCTTGTGTTGCCCTGTGCAAGCTAAAGCCACTAACCAATTTAATAAATAATAATAATAACCTGGTGAAGAGCTGAAAAGCTAGCTCACTATTTGTGACATTTCGGGTGGTTCATCTTAAGACTATTTCCCTATGATAAAATAGTAATATCAAGTATGCAGAGGGTAGGACTAGATATTTCAAACTATTTTTGCTGCCATTTGAAGGGGGAAAGGCTCAGTATTCTCTTTAAATGGTGCTACATCCAGGTTTATCCAGCTTCTGGGAAAGTGTGAGAGAGAACTAAGCTCATGAATTACACAGGGGGCTAGTGAACCTACACACAAATTTAAGGAAGCATAATACTGTAAATAATAATAATAATTAATAATAATAATATTTATAGCCCGCCCATCTGGCTGGGTTTCCCCAGCCACTCTGGGTGGCTCCCAACAGAATATTAAACAGAATAAAACTTTAAACATTAAAAACTTCCCTAAACAGGGCTGCCTTCAGGAAGCATGGATTGTCCACAATCCAACTACAGTTTACCTTTTTTGAATGAGACAACAAATTCCCTCAGCACATCAGAATCAAACTCTTCTGGTTCCATGGCATACTTTTTACCGCCTTCATCAAAGATAGCAGCATTGACATCCTCTCCACTGTCAACAAGTCCCAGATCCTTTATCTCAGAAGAATAGTCTTCTTCATCCGCAATTGCAAAAGTATATTCTGGGAAGTCCTTAGCCACTTCCAAGACTTTGTTTCGCCAGTACTGAGTAGCTGAAGACAACAAACACACAATGAAGTTAGAGACATCTGGTTTATTCTGGAGCAGGTTATATTCAACCCAGTTATACTTACCTGGTTGCCGATTCTGGGAGCACATGACCAGGACTTGGAAATAGGGGCGTTTGTGAGAGATTGGTGGAGGAGACTGAAAGCGGGTGAGCGTGTCTCTTTTGGATTAAGACTGGTTGCTTGTCTGAACTGTTTGATCAGAAAACTGGGCCCAAATTAACAAAATGAAGTTCAATAGGGACAAATGTAAGGTTCTGCACTTAGGCAGGAATAACCAGCTGCACCAATATAAGATGGGGGACACCTGGCTTGCCAGTAGCACATGTGAAAAGGACCTTGGTCTTGGTGGACTACAAGCGTCACGAGTCCACAGTGTGATGCTGCAGCAAAAAAGCTAATGCTCTTCTAGGCTGCATCCACAGAAGCCGAGTGTCCAGATTAAGGGAAGTAATATTACCACTCTATTCTGCCTTTGTCAGACCACAACTGGAATACTCTGTCCAATTCTGGATGCCACAATTTAAGAAGGATATTGACAAGCTGGAACGTGTGCAGAGAAGGGCAACCAAGATAATCAAGGGTCTGGAAGCCAAGCCGTATGAGGAACAGTTAAGGGAGTTAAGTATGTTTAGCCTGGAGAAGAGACTAAGAGGAAATATGATAGCCATTTAAAAATATTTCAAGGGGTGTCACATGGAAGATGGAGCAAGCTTGTTTTCTCCTGCTCTAGAGAGTAGGACTCAAACCAATGGATTCAGAATAATAGAATTGGAAGGGACCACGAGGGTCATCTAGTCCAACCTCCTTGCAATGCAGGGATCCTTTGCCCAACATGGAGCTTGAACCCACAAACCTAAAATTAAGAATCTCATGCTCTGCTGACTGAGCTCTCCTCCAGTTAACTTTGACAGTAAGAGCTGTTACAGTGGAACGGTCTCCCTTGGGAGGTTGCGGCTTCTCCTTCCTTGGAGGCTTTTAAGCAGATATTGGATGGCTCTCTCACATGGATGCTTTAGCTGAGATTACTGCATCGCAGGCAGTTGGACTGGAAGACCCTCGGGGTCCCTTCCAACTCTACATTTCTATGTTTGTATGACTTCATTGGGGCCACTCCAAGTATGACATTGGGTACAACACTAACTAAAAGTAATACCTACCAACACGATAATCAAAGCTGAAGTCCACTGTATAATAAACAACTACCAGAGGCTTCTTGGTGTATCTCTTAGCATCATTGGCAGATTTGCGATGACCCACAAGAGGCAAGGCATGCTTCACCACGTGGTCTTTCACTTCAGTGGCATCAGTGGAATCCTGTTTACAGAAACAAAAATCAGTGGGATGTGACCACTGGAGGAGTTTACATTACAGAAGGCCTCTTCTTAAAAAACCTTTTCTTAAAAAACCACCACCACCACCCAGAAGAAACAACAGGTGTGTTGAAAATATTTCAGTTTTCAGACTCAGAAAATAGGATTAGCTACAGAATTCAGGATTTCCTGCTATCTCACAGAAAGCCTGGCTACCATGATTACAAGACAGATTGGGTGACAGGCTCTGGCGATGTGTAGCTTACTTCCAAGTGTCTGCTAAGTGAAACAGCTTATTCCATGCCAGGTTGGCTGAGTAGATTTCTTTCTCTCCACCCCTGCCACCACTATACACGCCCCCGCCAAGCCTAGATTTTTGTGCTCTACTCTCCACCAAGATTTTTCATTTCTGAAGTCTCCCTAAGAGCCTGTTTCCATTTTCTCTTAGCTTAGTCTCTCCTGCAAGTGACTGTTCAGATTTTGCACATCTATCACTTTGGAACTTGGTGGGGTTTGCTTCAACTGGGCACACTCAGAATTCTCATATGTTCATTTCAGTAGCCACAGCTCTAGCTATATTGGGTCTTGAGCATTAGATTTAAGATGCAAGCTGGAGCACCAAGAAATAAAATGAATGAAAGAAAACCAACTTGTTTGTACCCAGTATAGCCTTGATAGAAGTACTCACTTTAATGTCTAAAACATGCATTTTAGGTTCATATTTTGAGTGAAATTTTTCAGGTTGCATCACCACCAGTTTTCCTGGGTCCACTTTCAAAAAGGTTGAAATTTCATTGCTGAAGGTATGATGGAACTTGAATTCTTCTCTTAGGTTATTAGCTGAAAAATAAAAATAATATTATATATATATATATATATATATATATATATATATATATATATATAGGTTTGGAGGAATACCAAAGAGGAGAAAGGAAATTGCTGGGTCAGAAATGCAAAAGTATTGACACCTGGAGTGAGGGTTTGTAAACAGACCATCTGGGTCTATGGTACTGCTGAGTTCCCAGATCTCCTCTTGGAAGGATTTACTGCCCAGACAACTCTGGTCTAAAGTTCTGTTGCTATTAGGGATCTTATGTAATGATATGATTTCTTACAGAGACTGAATGGATATACATCCGGTTGTTGTTTTTCCTTTTTTCCTTCTGTATTTGTTTTATGCATTTTATGTTGAGCTTGAAAACTCAAATAAATGCAGAACGATCTGAATTATTTTGCATAGCATTACTATCCTTTAGTTTTGGAACAATTTACATGACAAAGCTTCAAACAGTACACACAAATCCAATAATGAACCACTACCAACCTCCACATGGATCTGGAAGCTCACAAAAGGGCATGAAGGCAATGCTCATCTCTAGTTTGTCCCCAGCAATGAGAATTAAGAGGCACACTCTCTCTTGATCAAATGCTTCCATGTAGCTATGAAGGCTAATGACTGTTGTCAGACCTCTTCCATGAACGTGTCTAATCCTTTTTTTAAAAAAGGCCTGTTTACTAGTGGCCTCACCCCCATTCTTGTGGTTTTGCATTCTGTAAATTAATTACACATTGGCATGGTTTGGACATCAGTATTTGCCATCATGAGACTTAGTTGGGGAAAGTATGAGGCTCATGGGCTCCCTTGCTCTTCCAAGGGATGGTGAACTGCAACTAATTCAAAACTGGGTGTGGGAGTTTTCAAATGTCCTTCTGTCTTGCATGAAGGGTTTGTTCTTGTAACATTACATCGGAACCAAACCAATGTGTACAGTAGAACCTAATATTTTCTCTCCTGAAGCTACTACAAATCTATTTCAGTGGATGACCAAGAAAGTTACACTTGTTAATTTCTCCATATTATTCATAATTTTAAGAACCTTTCATGTATTCCCCGTAGTCATCCCCCTCTCAAACAGTCTCAATTGCATTTGCCTCTCTTTATAGGGAAAGAGTGCTAAACACCTAAACAATTTAGTACTTCTTTCTAGTACTCTGTTTGGAGAATGCCCTTTCTGAGCTGGGATGACTAGAACAGGACTGAAGTCTTCAAGTCCCAGATAATAAAACCATTCTTTCCTGCTTTAGCTCTTTTCTGTTGCTCTGCACATGCTCAATTACATCAAGAGACACAGATGCTGCTTCCACTTGCTTAAATTTCATTTTCATGTGTTCATGTGTTTGTGTTTTTATACCTATGTCTCATGTTCCCTATAAATTTCAAATTTTTTTGCCTCCATTCTTGAGGCAGTCACCCCAGAAAACATCAAGGGGAAAAGCCAGAAAATGGATGTGGGCAACATTTTGAGAACTGACAAGCCACTTCGACTTCCAGTTGAGCCCGATCCCAGCGCAAGCGGGGATTTTTCCGCTTGGAGAATCCCGGGCTTTCCGAAGGAAAAGGGGGTGCTACAGGGCGCAGTAGCCCCCGAAAATACTCTCCGGTGGATGTCCAGGAGTTCTGGTTCCCGCGGATGCCGGAACGCTGACCGTCTGGCCGTCAGGTAACTCCTGTTTGGAGCGAAGAGAACGGTGGGCAGGGAAGCGGGCTGAAGGGAAGCCATTGCTGCCTTCGGAGAGCGAAGCCCCGAGCTTGCAGGGAAAGTGCTCAATTCTCAAAAATCGTAAGAAATTCGGACCTAATTTGTAAAAAAGGATTGATTTGGCTAAAGGAAGGATCCGGATTAAAAAGCTAAAACTATGGAGGTCAGCAGTCTTCTGAAATCAGCTCAGACGCAGAACTGTAAGCAGAGCTGGAAACGGGAAGTGAGTTGCCGCTAGCGGCTTTGATCTTTCTCCTCCTTTCGAAACTTTTAAAAGTAACTCTCTGAGAAGTAGCAGTGGTAAAATAACAAAGTTAAAAGGGGGAGGAGGGCTGGAATTTTGAAAGTCCTCGAAGATACAAAGAGTTGAATAGGAAGGAGTCTGTGAATAATCCAAGCTTTACTTTTGGAATATCTGCGCAACGGAGCTCCAGACTCCATTGTTACTATTTATAGAGCTGTGTTTCTTGTTGGGAAATAAAAGGAGAGAAGGTAATATTTGGATGCCACTTCGGCTGGATTCTTTTCTGTTTTTTGTCTTGGAAGGACTGAAATTAGGTAATTGGTAATATTTTTATTATTTGGAATAGGGGAAATTTAAACTATAAAATCATCAAAACTTTTTATATTACAACATAATATATGAGACTTAGAACCCTGTGGTCAAACAGGGAATTACAACTTGTTTTTCTGTTCTGGCTTGTTTTTTTTCCTTCTATTTTTTTTTTCTTGCCAGGCTGCTTTACTGGTGGCTGATTTTACAGTGGCTGTAACTGCTTCTAAACGTGGGTGGCTTTTCCTTTCTTTTTTAATGTAAATTTATGGACTGATTGGATACAATAAATTTAATTGGCTAGATACAGAATATCTAAATTAAAATTTTGGACTTATGGAAGGTTTTTGTGGATTATATTTTCCCCAAATATAGAAACTGTCTAAAGTATTTTTATTCGGCTTTAAAATCATTTTTATTTGCAATTGGAATTTCTTCTATTTTTCTTTCTTATACTCCTTACAACTTTGGATTTATTTCTGCAAGAATTTACGTATGGTCAATACAGTAATGGACTAATATCTTTCCACCCAAATTTTTATGTGTGGCCTGCTCCTATCGCAGGTTTTGGAAGTTTTATTTTACATTTTTGGATTGATTCAGGTGGGAGTCTTCGTGAGACATAATTCAAACACAATTACTATAATTGGATACAGCGGATTATAATTCTCATGAATGGATTACAATCTTATAATTGGCTATAATTCTTTTTATTTATTGTGATTCATCTGTTCTGGATTATTTTGGACTTTGGCTTTTTGCTATCCTCAGTTAATTGGAAATAGCATAATTGGTGGCAGAAGATACCATTAAGGATTAGCCTAATTGGTGGCAAGAAGCTATACAGGCCATACCATCTTTCCCTCACTATCATCTCCCAGTGGAATTAAGAATTCTGAATTAGGAACTGTCAAAAATTTTGAATTTGAAACTGTTTAGTGACTTCTACCCTCCTTTGGTTAGATCTGCTGGCTCTACCCTTCCTGGTCTGGAGAGGGAGTTAATATACTTTTGCTATCTGCTGTGATTTGATATTATGAGAAGGTTGGTTGTTATAATCTGAAATTTATTGTTGGCTGTAAATAGATACATTGGAAAAATGAAAAAAGTGAGTGAAGGAACACCAGCGGACAGGAAAGGGTTGAAACAGGAGTCAGAGTTTAAAGCGGAAATTTTGAGAATGTTTGCAGAAATTAAATAAAGTGAAAAGAATTTAGAAACTAAATTAGAACATGTGGACAATAGAATTGGTAAAATGGATAAAAAAATAGATGAAACAGTTAATGAACTTAAAGATCAAATAAAAGATGTATCTAAAAGAACACAAAAATTAGAGGAAGGGTGGAAGAAAACGAAAATGGAAATGAAGGAGATGAAAAGAGAGGAAGAGAAAATGAAAACAGGTATGTCAGAGATGAATAAAACCCAGGAGGAAGTTCTGGATGCGATCACAATGAACGAACTGAGACAGAGAGAATGCAATTTGAGGCTGAGAGCCATTCCGGAGACACAGGGAGAGAATATTAAGGAGAAACTGATAAAAGAGTTGGCTCAATGGTTAGAGACGGAACCAGAAGAGGTTGCAAAAACAATTCAAAATGCATTCAGAATGAGAGTAAGATCAGCGAAAACACGGAAATTTCCAGGAGATTGTTTAATAACATTTAAGGACAGACATGAGAAATCTGATACTACAAAGGAACAGAGAAAAAATATTAAATATTGAAGGTTGTTACATTATTATCTTTAAAGACATTCCAATAAGACTACTGAAACGAAGAGACCCATACAAAGCTTTTGTCCAAATTCTTAAGAGAAATAACATAGAATTCAGATGGGAATTCCCTGAAGGAATTTCCTTCTTCTATAAAAGTAAGAAACATAGACTGACAAGCCCAGAAGAGACAAGTAAGTTCCTGAGAAAATATAAGGAATTAAGAGCAGAAGAAGATGAAGAAAAAGGAGCTGTGGGAGGAGTAGGAGCAGGGGATCTTAAAGATGATGAAGAGGAGAATGGAAAAGAGACAGAAGAAGTGGAAGAGGAACAAGAAGAAGAAGATGGAAAAACAGATGGACTATAAATAGTAACAAAATCCCTTATTTAATTAAGAGGTCATAATGGCACTAAAATTTTTGAATTGGAACATTAATGGAATGAATGATAGGAATAAAAGGAACAAAATTGAACAATGTTTAAAAAGGAAAAATTTGGATATAATTTGCCTACAAGAAACTCATGTGGCGAGAAAACATGGGAAAGTTTTGATCAACAAAAGATTGGGAAACGAATTTATTTCTTCCGACAAGAGTAAGAAGAGAGGGGTTGTATTATATGTAAGGAATAAAATTGAAGCTCAACAAATTTTTAAAGATGAAGAAGGAAGAGTCATCGCAGTCCAGATCCAATGGCAAGGGGAAAAAAATAATAATTGTCGGGATCTATGCACCAAATGGAAACAAAACTGACTTTTAAAAAAATTTGCAAGAAAAGCTGTTCGAATATATAGACCAAAAGATTATAATAATGGGAGACATGAACGGTGTGGTGTCAATGGAAATGGATAGACTAAGAGCAGCAGGGCTTAGCAAAGAAAGGAAATTACCAAAGACATTTTTTTTGATGATAAAAAACTGCAATTTAATTGATATTTGGAGATTGAGACACCCACTGGAAAAACAATTTACATTCTATTCAGACCCAAATCAGTCAATGTCGAGAATTGATCAAATATGGGTCTCTAATGAATTAACTCAGGCAAATAGAAATTCAACCTAGAGTAATTTCAGATCATAGTCCAATAAAACTTGAATTACAAGGATACGAAGAAAGATCGTTCAGGTGGAGAATGAATGATTATCTCCTAGATGATAAAAAAATTGTTGAGAAAGCCCAAAAGAATCTGATGGACTATTTTGTAAATAATTCTAACAAGGGTACGAAAATGAATACAGTATGGGATGCCAGCAAGGCGGTTATGAGAGGATTTTTCATCCAGCAGAATGCAATCAAAAATAAAAGCAGAGAAAAAGGAAAGAAGGAAATTTTAATACAAATAATGGAAAACGAACAAAAATTAGTTAAGAAACCGAATAATGATAAAGCAAAACAGAATATAAAGGCTCTGCAAACTCAATTTGCGATGATAATCAACAAAGAAGTAGAATGGAATATAAAAAGAATGAGACAAAGGAACTTTGAATCGGCTAACAAATCAGGCAAATGGCTGGAATGGCAAATTAAGAAAAGAAAAGAACAGAATACAATCAACAAAATCATCGTGGAGGGAGAAGAAATAGACAATCTAAAAGGTATTTAAAAAGGATTCTTGGACTTTTACAGACATCTATATAAAAGAACAGAGAAGAACAATATGAGGAAGATAGAAAGATATCTAAATGAAAAAAAGGTGCAGAAGATCCCGACAGAAAAAAAAGATAAGCTGAACGCCCCAATAAAAATTGATGAAATAAAAGAGACTATAAAAGAACTCAAAAAAGGGAAAGCTCTGGGACCAGATGGATTTACAGCAAGTTACTATAAAGAAATGAAACACATCCTGTCAATACCCTTGAAAGAAGTTATGGATAATATTCTTAAGGAAAGAGAAATCCCAGAAACATGGAAAGAAGCATTTATTACTTTTATTCCAAAACAAGACTCTGATTTGACACAAGTTAAAAACTATAGGCCTATTTCGTTGTTAAATACAGATTACAAAATCTTTGCAAGTATTTTAGCAAAGAGGATTAAAAAAATATTACAAGAAATTATTCATAAGGATCAAGCGGGTTTCCTACCCGGCAGACAGATGAAAGACAATGTAAGGAATATAATCAATATTTTGGAATATCTGACTGCCAGGAATGAGAAACAAGCTATGTTAATATTTGAAAAGGCCTTTGATAATACATCTTGGGATTTTATGTTAAAAAATTTAGAATATATGGAGGTGGGAAAGGAATTCCTCAATGGAATAAAGGCAATATATACCGAACAGAAAGCTAAATTAATTGTTAATAATGTGATTACGGAAGAAATAGGGATAACCAAGGGTACACGACAAGGGTGTCCACTTTCGCCACTGTTATTCATCATGGTCTTAGAAGTCTTTCTAAAATCTATAAGGGAAAATGAGGTAATAAAAGGGGTTGCAGTAGGCCTGAATGAATATAAGGCTAAAGCCTTTGCCGATGATCTGGTTCTAACGGTGGAGGAACCTTTGGAAAGTGTTAAAAACATACTTATAGAGGTGGAAAGATTTGGTCAAGTGGCAAGATTCATATTGAATAAGAAAACGAGTAAAATAATTGCTAAGAACATGGATCAAGAGACGATAGGAATAATGCAACAACAAATAGGTATAGAAGTGGTGAAGAAGGTGAAATATTTGGGTATTTGGATTAACCCCTAAGAATATTGATTTGTATCAGAATAATTATATACTAGTGTGGAATAGAATAAAGAAAGATCTGGAGGTGTGGGGACGAATGAAGTTATCGTTGTGGGGAAGGAATTCAACGATAAATATGAGCGTGCTGCCAAAACTGTTATTTTTGTTTCAGACAATTCCAATAATCAAAGGGACTATGACCTTTAAAGAATGGCAAAGAGTAATTTCAAGGTATATCTGGCAGGGTAAGAAGCCAATAATTCAATTTAGGTTACTAACAGATGCTAAAGAGAGAGGAGGCTTCGCCCTGCCGGACCTGAAATTATATTATCAAGCTTCATGGCTCTGTTGGTTAAAGGAATGGGTAAATTTAGAAAACACAGAGTTGTTAGATAGAGAAGGATTTGACAACAGATTTGGGTGGCACGCGTATCTATGGTCTGAAAAGAAGAAAATCCATAAAGGTTTTGAGAACCACATTTTCCGAAGATTGTTGATAGAAATATGGGATAGGTATAAAAGCCTACTCGAACCAAAAACTCCGCACTGGTTATCCCCATTAGAGGTTATGAGTGTCAAAAAAATCAATATGAGAAGAAATTGGATTACATATGGAAATTTGATTGTTAAGGAAGGGGGGAAATGGAAAATGAAACCCTATGAAGAAGTAAAAGAGTATGTATATGATTGGTTGCATTATTTTCAAATAAATGAAATGTTTAAAAAAGATCTTAAGGAATACAGTGGTGCCTCGCAAGACGAAATTAATCCGTTCCGCGAGTCTCTTCATCTAGCGGTTTTTTCGTCTTGCGAAGCAACCCTATTAGCGGCTTAGCGCTATTAGCGGTTTAGCGGCTATTAAAGGCTTAGCGGCTAAAAGGCTATTAGCGGCTTAGCGGCTTAGAAAAAGGGGGGGGAAAGCGAAAAAAATCTCAAGACTCGCAAGACATTTTCGTCTTGTGAAGCAAGCCCATAGGGAAATTCGTCCTGCGAAGCACATCGAAAAACGGAAAACCCTTTCGTCTAGCGGGTTTTTCGTCTTGCGAGGCATTCGTCTTGTGGGGCACCACTGTATGGATTTGCAGAGAAGGATTCAAAATTCCAAATGGAAATAATAAATAATGAATATAAAATTTTATCTAAAATGTGTAAGATATTGCTGGAATGGCATATAAAGGATGAAAAAGTTAAATCTGTTATGATACATTGGGCCAGAGATTTTGGATATAATATACAATTTAATGATTGGATTAAATTATGGAACGAAAATATCAAATTTACCGCATGTACTGCGTTAAAGGAATATGTTATGAAAATGATTTACAGATGGTATATTACACTGGTAAAACTTGCAAAAATGTATAAAACATGCAAGAAATGTTGGAAATGTAAAGAAAAGGATGGTACTTTTTACCATATGTGGTGGGAATGTAAGAAAGTGAAGAGCTTCTGGGAATTGATATATAATGAATTGAAAAAAATGTTGAAATATACATTTGTTAAGAAACCAGAGGCTTTTCTTTTAGGGATTATAGGAAATGAAATAAATAGAAAGGATTGTAAACTTTTCCAATATGCAGTAACAGCGGCAAGAATATTACTGGCCCAGAACTGGAAACAAGAACAAGTACCAACATTGGAGGAGTGGAGAATGAAGCTGATGGACTATGCAGAGCTTGATAAACCAACAGGGAAGATCAGATATCTACGAGATCAAAAGTTCATCGAGGACTGGGGAAAGTTAGTGGAATATTGGGAATGCATAAGTGACAATGAAATAACGTTAGTGGCATTTAAAGAAGCTCTGTAAAAACCTAAGAAATATTGTAAAAAAGAAAAATAGGTGTGGAAGGGTTTGTTAGAAGGCAATAGCTAATTTAGGAAATGTGTAATCAAAAAGTTTAATTCGGATGATTGTCAGAGAGGCTGAAGGAAGTCCAAAAAAACAAGAAAATTTGTTAAAATTGTAATGTGGTGTGATATGTATTTTTCATGATGAAAATCAATAAAAAATATTATAAAAAAGAGAGAACTGACAAGCCACTGTAGCTACAAGAAAATAGACTAATATTTCTAAGATGCAAGTTTGTCTCCTAGTCTGCACTATCAGAAATGTCTACAAAGCACTTTCCAAGTGTAGGAATTGAGCAAATGTTGATATACTATGGACAAGAGAGGAAGGGCTTACCAGCATCTTGATACAGTTGGTAGGCTGGGTCCTGGTCTCCTTTGAAAACCCCAATAATAATGACATCGTCTCCATCTTTCACAAATTCTTGTACCTGTTTGACAGCCTGTATCTGTTTGGATGGAGGGCCAGCCTGTTCTATCATGTAATCAACAATGCCTGGTTAACAAAAAGAAAAAGACAAACTTGTGTTATTGCTTGACAAAAAGCATTTTATTTTTTAAAGTGAAAACTGGTTATGTTTTGCAAGTGCTCTATTCTCTGAAAGAGGCACTAGGTGACCACTAAAAATTAACATGTTCCAAAGACTTGTTTTCCCCAGGGCTTTTTTTAAATAATAAAAAAACCTGTTGATAGTTTTATTATTGCTAGTAATTTTATTCTATTATGTAGCTGCTAACTATTGCCTTATTAGTGTTAAATTACAGTAGCAAATAAAACATCAGATGAACCATGTTGCAAGTTTTCAAACTGAAAGCAGTAATACATATTAAAAAATAAATAAAGTTTATATATGACCAAACACAACAAGCAGTGCCAAGATTCAAAACAATTTTAAAAGTGCTGTATACAGTACGGAGTTTATCCTGGTTCAAAATGATATCCTTGTGCTATAGTTACTGCTTGTCTGATTATGGTTCCCTGGTGCTTTGCTAATGCCAGTGAGAAAATAGTGAAGCTCAAAAATCCTAGCAATCTTCAGAATACATTGAGGTTTTGTGTCACATCTTCAGGAGTTCCTCAGTTGGTGTGGAATGAGCTCTCAGGCTGGAAGCTTAAATCCACAGAAGAAACAAGATTCCACTCTCTCCCTCCATTCATACGTTTATGCCTTAGGCATGAAAAATGTTGGGCATGTCCCATCCTAATGCCCATGGAGTGTGCCAAAGCAACAGAGAAACACCAAGCAGATCTAGGAAGAGTCAGTTGCTTTACTGACAGCATAATGCATTTTCAGTTACATACAATTGTAGATCCAGCACAGACTGACTAGGCTCTGGCCAAGAGCAAACTTGCCTTAAACACAACAGTATTTATACTATAGATTGTGGTGAGTCATTCCCACTTGCTTGACTAGATGCAGGTGCAAGACAAAACACACCCAAATTAAACAAAACACTGAAATAACAAAAACTTTCTATAACATTTCAAAATAAGGTGCAGGCAATTACCAATCACAGACCAATTATACAAATAGCATTAATAGAAACAAGAAATGCTGCCTAAGTCCAGGGCAGTTTCAACATCATCTTACATACATATAAAATGTACTGTATTTTTCGCTCTATAACACGCACCCGACCATAACACGCATGTAGTTTTTAGAGGAGGAAAATCGGTAGGCATGCCACCCGTAGGCATTCCCTCCATAACACGCACAGACATTTCCCCTTACTTTCTAGGAGGAAAAAAGTGAGTGTTATGGTGCAAAAAATACAGTAATTCTTAGCTCAGTGTCTATGAAACACAAACAGGTCCAAACTCATGTATTTGCTGTGAAGAAAAAGAAGGTGCTTTACAAACCATACCGTATTTTTCTCTTGGACCATTGTAATCAAAAGGTTTGCCTTTGCGGAAGATCTTAAGTAATGGATATCCAGAAATGTCAAATCTCTTAGCAAGATCGGTTTCAGCAGTAGCATCAACTTTAGCAAGGGGAATTGGAGGCGTTCTCTTGCTCAACTCCTTGGCTGCTTTCTCATATTCTGGAGCCAACCGCTTGCAGTGCCCACACCTCAATAGGGAACAAGAATGGGTAACTTGGTAGCCAAAAGCTCTCAAAGATAATGGAGAGAAATCTATTCTCACTGCTTGAAAAGATAGCTCTGTTCCCCTTCCCCTAGTACTTAAACTTCCTGTCTTTTCTGAAGTGCCAATACTTTGATTGGGTAAGATAAAATATCACAGCATACATCTGTATCCATTTTGTAGGCAAGTGCCCCAGAGATGCAGCTGGTTTGAAAATACTGTCAATGTTTTGAGCTGGATCCTCAAGTTCCTATGCAAATTGCAGATAATAGGCACACACACACACAGGACTTTGGTTATCCAGTGGCTGCTTAATAACTTACATAAGCAGTGAAAATTGCACATTTGCATAGAGGTTCAACAGACTGAATACTTGTCAATACAGTGGTACCTCGGTTTAAGAACAGTCCTGTTTAAGAACAATTCGGTTTATGAACTCCGCAAAACTGGAAACAGTATCCCGGTTTGCAAACTTTACCCTGGTCTAAGAATGGAATCCAAACGGTGGGAGGGCACCAGTGGCGGGAGCCCTCATTAGGGAAAGCGCGCCTCAGTTTAAGAAAGAATTCGGTTTAAGAACGGACTTCAGAAACAGATTAAGTTTGTAAACCGAGGTACCACTGTATTCAAATGCAGCAAACAGGAAGGCAGAAATAGAAAATGATCTTGCCAATCCTCATCTCAAGACATTACACGTTTTCATTTCATCTGAAGGCATGCCGCAAAACTAATAAGATTACAGGTCTACTCCAAGTACTACCTAGAAGCAACCCACATCAAAAACTGAATACACCATACATACAGTTATAATTTTTGTTACCCAGCCTTTTAAACAAATCAAACTCTTTGAAAAGATAAACCATGGTGTAATGTTTTTGCACATACCAGATAAAAGTGTGCACTGGAGATTACGAAGATACAGTCAGTCCCCTCCCCTCCCCTAGCTCCAAATATTTCCAAAGCTCTAAATGCAGCAGGAATATTGACTCCATAAAGCCAAACTGAACATGCCCTATAATTTTGTACCGGGGCAGGGCACACAAAGTCAGCTTGCGGTTCCTATATCAAATGAAGGAATATATAAACACTGTGAAAGCTAAAAGGCAAAAAACTCTCTTTCCCTTTACCATGGAGCATAGAATTCAACCAGGATTATGTCAGCCTCGTTCACGACTAAATCAAAGTTTTCGCTGGTCAACACTAATGTGACTTCAGGTGGTGGGACCCAATCAGGCTGCGAAACTTCTTTCACTTTAGCCAAAATTTCTACAAAAAGAATATGAAGAGAAAAATGAGCAATGACAGGTGGAAGGGGCAGCTTGTCTACTGCAAAGACCTTGCATGTGGAGAGGGAACCAGGTCGCCTTCGCCTTGACAACAACTATCCCTTTATGCGGAAAGAACCTTGGCAGAATACTGCCTGCCGACTAATTCTATTACCTGCCTATTCTTATCTACATACACTCACCTTGAATTCTAAGTCATGTTACAGCATGTCAGCACACAGATAAATTTTTTTTTTAAAATCCATTATACTAAATGTTAATCACATAGAAACCTAATCTGTTTGTACATGGCACTATCAGTCTTCCAGCCACCCATTTAGAATGATGGAGAACTGGCAGGTTGGTCCTAGGCTCTTCCGGCTGAGCTATCCAAAAAGCTCAAGACACTTAATCTCAGGGTTGTGGCTTTGAGCCCCACATTTGGCAAAAGATTCCTGCACTGCAGGGGGTTGGACTAGATTACCCTCATGGTCCCTTCCAGCTCTGATTCTACTTCACATCCCACAGGAGTTAAAATGCACAAAAACAAACCCTTCTTAACAGACTTTGCTCTGAAATTCTATGTTGCAGTTCTACAATTGCACAGAAAAAGGAATTTGCTACCACAGTACTGCTGATTACAAAAATCACCTACAGATTTGCTGCTAGCTCACCTAGCTTGGAGCTGGGGGCAGGAGGCATGGCTCCTAGAAAATCCCTCAGTTAACACAGCTTATTTTTCTGGTGATACTGCAATGTGTTTAAGCCATTTTAAAAGCTTTTAATGCAAAATACTCTGCATTAGGATTATTTTCAGATTACAGTGCTGTGTTAAGCATCCCATGCATCCCTTTTCCGGAGCTTCTGCCCCAAGTGGAGATGAAGAGGCCCCTGGTGTGGGGACAGCTAGCACAACTCCCTGTGGAAGGAATTACACAATTCCTTTGCATGATATCCAGAAACATGGATGTCAATTATGGTATACACGAGTATTATGGGAAGTCAATTGTACATCCTCTATCAATGCAAGCTTGTAACATGCCCTTAGAACCACAGATAGGACCCTCAGACCTCACTGGCTCTACTTCACAACTTGGGTGGTGCCCCTGACCTCTGAAAATGCTGCTGCCTTGCCTGGATGGAGGACAGAGGGGTGTCTAGGTGTGGGTGTAGAAGCCAGTTTACTGCACAAAGACAAAAGGTATGGGCCTTGTTCTGCTCACTTTTCCCTCTGGCCCTTCCGCTACCACGGGCATGGGGGCCCCGGGCGGAAAAAGGATTCTTACCTGCCTTAAGCCTTCCTGTATTTTAGAAGACACCACTCAGATTTTGAGTGAATGAAAGGGTGTATTAAACAGCCTAAGAAAAGCCTGCAGGATCAGAAGTGTGCTGCTGCTCACCTGCTTCTGTTCTTGAGCCCTCATAATCCACAGGCTGCCCCTTCTTCAGAATTTTGATGGTTGGGTAGCCACTCACGTCAAAACGCCCTGACACCGTGGAGGCTGCTGTAGCATCTATTTTGGCAACTGGGATGGGAGGATCATTTTCTTTCAATGCTTGGGCTATTTTTTCATATTCTGGTGCAAACTGCTTGCAATGCCCACACCTGAAGAAAAACAAATTAATTCTGCAAGAGTTTAACTTCAGCACTCAGTTTCTACAGCACAACTTTTGAGAAACGATAGGGCTGATTTTACAACACAGCGGTCAGGTATGTCACATGTCTGGGTAGCTTGAACAGGTTGGCTCAAATTCTGGAAAGAAACAAAGTCACTGCCCAGAAGGCCAAAGCCCACCAGGAAATAAATTCCAGGGCACTTAAACACTGGGGCTTTGCTGGCTGCAGGCATTACTGAAGCTGTGTCCAGCCAAGTGCTTCTGGTCTGCTCACACTGCTCCATACAGCCATGTATGCAGCCATACAGTCGTGTTAAGAAAGCAGTTTGACTAGCAGATTTTAGGTGTTCTTCAAAATGACTATGGACTACACTGTGCAAGCGCAGAGCTGTAAGCCATCCCTGTGGCTGCAGGAAACAGCACAGCGTAATCATGGAAACTCTCCATTACTTTTTAAAAGCAGTACCGAGTAAGTCAAGCCTGAGCACAGAAGATTTAGAATTGACCCACACATTCAGAAAAGTCATAGGGTGCAGAATTCCCAAGACTGTGCCACTTCCGACAACAGATGTGAAAGCTCCTTACTTGTCAGATGTTCCTGTGAGGGCTCAGTGGAAGGGAGCAGCTGCCAGGATCACAGAACAGTGGTCTTAAAGGACCTATATTGGCTCCTGGGATGTTTCCGCACACAATTCACTGCTGGTGCTGTCTTTTAAAGCCCTAAATGGCCTCAGCCCAATATACCTGAAGGAGTGTCTCCACCCCCATCATCCAGCCCAGACAGTGAGGTCCTCCTCCAAGCGTCTTCTGCTGGTTCCCTCACTGGAAGAAGTGAGGTTACAGGGAACCAGGCAGAGGGCCTTCTTGGTAGTTGAGCCCCCACTGTGGAACACCCTCCCATCAGATGTCAAGGAAATAAACAATTATATGACTTTTGGAAGACATCTAAGGGCAGCCATGTTCAATGAAGTTTTTGATGTTTGATGTGATATTTGTTGGGAGCTGCCCAGAGTGGCTGGGGGAACCCAGTCAGATGGGCAGCATATAAATTATTATTGTTATCGTTATCATTATCATTATCACCATCATCAGTGCAGACATAACACACACTTTTTGCAATTGGATGCAAGTGGACCACGAGATTGTGCACTCCCACTCCAGCATGCACATTTTAACAGCACCAACCATATTTTTTTCTTCTGAACACTTTAAATCCCCTCCATCAACAATTGTGCTTAAGTACAGAAAAGGGTATTTAATATATAGCACAGTGATTTAAAATAAATACAAAGAGAACTAAGTAGCTTTCGTCCTGTTTTATGGGAACTCACAGCGGGAAGAAGAAACATCCTACTGTAGCATGGCAGACATGAAATATGAATTAACTTCAAGGAGGAGGATGGAAACACTGGAACCAGACTTACCAAGGGGCATAGAACTCCAGAAGCACAGTGTCCTTTCCTTCAACAAAAGTATCAAAGTTTGCATCATTCAATATGACAACACCATTTTCCTCTTTGATTTCTGAACTATCATCTTCATCATAATCATCAATGTCCTCGTCATCATCATCAACACTGGTCTCCCCTGGGGCAACAAAGTCTAATTAAGGGGGAGGGAAAAATATATTATTGTCACTTTTTTCATAATGTAAAAAAACCCCATAACATTAAAATCAGCTATAAGAACAAGAATAAAATAAGAACCTAAAATGCACATAACATAGAAATATATTAAATGACAGATCTAAACCACCCCCAAAAAGATGAGCACAGCAAGAGACCACAAACGTACCCAAGTACCCTCTTAATTCATGACCCAAAATCTGGTGTCTAAAAACAGAGGTGGTGTCAGCTGCCCCTCCCTGGGCAAATGGGGAGCCACCACTGAGAAGGCCTTCAAATGAAGAGCACAGGGTTCGGGTTGGTTCACTTGGGAAGAGGCAGCCCTTGAGATGTTGGGGTGCTGAGCTGCGTAGGTAAAAAAGGCAAAGGACCCCTGGGTGGCTAAGTCCAGTCAAAGGCGACTATGGGGTGCGGCACTCGTCTGTTTTCAGGCCGAGGGAGCTGGCGTTTGTCCACAGACAGCTTTCCAGGTCATGTGGCCAGCATGACTAAACCGCTTCTGATGCAACGGAACACTGTGACGGAAACCAGAGCGCATGGAAACATCGTTTACCTTCCTGCCACAGCGGTACCTATTTATCTACTTGCACTGGCATGCTTTTGAACTGCTATGTAGGCAGGAGCTGGGACAGAGCAACAGGAGCTCACTCCATTGTGCAGATTCGAACTGCCAACCTTCTGATTGGCAAGCCCAAGAGGCTCAGTGGTTTAGACCACAGCGCCACCTGCATCCTTGAGCTGCGCAAGGCTTTATAAGTCCAAAGCACCACTTTGAACTGAGCCCCAAACCTAGTTTGTAGCCAATGCAGTCATGCCAAGATTTATACTCAGACCATCATACTCCAGTCAGCAATCTAGTAAGCAATCCTGGCCACTGAATTCTGCATCAGCCACAGTTCCCAAGTTGTTCAAAGGGCAGCCTGATGCATAGCACATTGCACTTGGTTTGTCATTGCAAGCCACGTTAAATCTATCAATACATGTCTTTTTTTGAAGCGCTATCCCCCCAGCAGCGTGGCAGCAAACGATGCACCTTTTTTTGCTGCTGCGCCAATCAGGTGTTTGGCGGGGTAGAGCGGTAGCAAGAGAGATAAATAAAAGAAACCAGAACAGACAATTCAGCTGCCCTGCCTATTGCTTCTTGGGCCTTCGCAGCCCAGTGTCTTTTACCCAGAATCAAGAGAGTCCCTCTCTCTTCCATTTATTGTGCTTCTATTACAGGCCCACCCTAATCCCACCAACCTCCCAAAGAATAGTGGGTTTTATTTGGCTTGGTAGGCTAGCTTTAGAAAGAAACAAAAGTAACAATTGTTAATGAACAGGCCTTACGGTGGAGTATGCTGTTAGTGTGGTGCGTTGGGAATCAAACAAGCCCAGTTCATCAAGCAACAAACATCAATGTGGAAAAGATAAGTCATTCTCTGAACAAGAAACATGCTGCTATAATATTTGGTCACAAAAAAATAGGCATAACATTCACTACTATTATCATGCCACCTGTACAGCTTCTCCAACATCAACAAACCTAAATTCAAGCTTGCTATCCAGCTTGTGTTAGAATAGAAAGGTCTCAGTGGCTAATAAACAGAGAAAAGAAGAAGGTAAGCCATGAAGGACATTTATTTTCTAGCTTTCACAGCCCTGATCTACAATCATTTATAGAAGATTCTTACAACAGAACCCATGTTGAAAGGTACTTGGATAATAATAATTTATTATTTATACCCTGCTCATCTGGCTGGGAATTTCCCCAGCCACTCTGGGCGGCTTCCAACAAAAGATTAAAAATACATTAAAACACCAGTCATTAAAAACTGTTAAGTGCCTTTTCCAAAATTAGAATATTTAATTCTAAAGGTCCCTAAAACATGGACTTTGGAATAAGTTTCTTCCAACAAGATGAAATGAAAAAGAATGCTGGGATAACAGCAAATTGTGTGAGGGAGAAATGATTGTTTCATGCCCAGTATATAAATGAAGAGCTTTTATCCTGAATGTTGCCATTAACCCCAATTTACACATGCAAGCTGAACTGATAATAGGGTTTAGGCAGATTTAATTACATGTGTTTAAATCAGTATGGTTAAAATTGCAAACAAGTGTCTCCAGAGAACTCATTTGTATAACAACGCAAACAACTGGCACAATCCAGTATGAACATCTACTGTGAAAACACAGTGCCTCAGAGCAGTACACAACACAACTCTGGTTCCATTTTCTGCAAAAGAGGATGCAAGTAAAAAAAATAAAAAACAGACAAAGTTGTGCGCACAGGAAGCTGTCTCACAATGTCAGACCATAGTTTTTGCTTTGTCTTCAATACTAAATAGCAGCTGCAGCTTTCCAGGGTTTCTGGAAGGCATCTTCCCAGTCCTACCAGGAGATGCCATGAAGGGAACCTGGGACCATTTGCATTTGAAGCATGTGCTCTGCCACTGTGTTAAAGACCTCCCTCCCCGAAGGTCACTCAAGTCAGAAACAGATCTGGCAATTAATAGAAACTTGCATTCAAATATTTCATTTACTGCCTTTTGGTGCTCCTTGTGCCTAGATTTACGTACATAAGGAGGCAAGAATCATATTTCCAGATGAGACAAAGGGGTTCAGCACTCTTTTCTACATCTTCCTGCAGGAAGAACCACCACCCCAGACATAGTATTTGTGGCACCTTAAGAGACTAACCAATTTGCCACGCATGAGCTTCCCTAGAGGGCAGACCCCTTCCTCCGACGCCAGAAGTTGCAGCTCTGGCCTGTTGCTGCAGCTGCCCTGCAGCCCGAGGCAGAGAAAGCGGCAACCGCTGGACGGACCAAACGCTAAGGAGACATTGGGGCCGTTCTCCAGTCAGCCCCGGGAACTCGTATTCTGAAAGCGGCTGCTCGCTTCCGCAAGTCTTGTAAGAGGCAGGCGAGAGGGGCGCTTGGCCGGGAAAGAGGCTCTGAAGGCGCCGCGGGGCCCGCAAGCCCGTCCATCCGCCCGCCCGCCCTTCCCCGCGACCCCGCTCCGCGCTCACCGTCCGCGGGGCCCTCGCGCTCCGCCTGGGCGCTGGCGGGCGAGGCGAGGCTCGCCACGGCCAGCAGCATTGCCAGCACGAGCACCTTGGCCGCGCCCATCTCGCTCTCTCCCCGGCTCCGGCTCCTCGCCAGGCGCCCTCGGACCAGGCGCTCCGCGGACTCGGCAGGAGCAGCGCAGCCCTTATAGCCGCCAGGCGCGCTCGCCTCACGCGCAGCCGCCGCTCCGCCGAGAGGGGGCGGGGCGGGTGCGCGCGCAGCGGGCGAGGCCTTCCCCTTTGACAGGCGCACGCACACTGCAAGCATGCCCTGAGGTGCCTCTCTCGGATTGGACAAGCCTGGAAGAGCACCAATCGCGGCCTGCCACTGGGGGGAAGCGCCGGCAAATCCTGAAGGGCGTGGCGTGGCAACGAGGAGCCACTTCTCGCGCCGCGATTGGCTCGAGGGTGGCGACGTCACGAGGGAGGCCCTCGAGTTGGGACGGGTCGCCGGGAAGGCGGGAGCCGCTGAGGCGCCTCCACGTCAGCCGGGCAGGCGGGGCGGGATGGGCGGGCGGGCCTCCCTCTCGGCCTCGCCGCGACCAAGGCCCCCCGCCGCCCCCGGGAAGCCCGCCAGCGCGAGGACGTTGCTTGCGCATCACCTCCGCGGGCCTCTCGCCCCCCAAAGAGGAAGCAGAGCCCAGTTAGGACAATTAGTCAGGCGGGTGTGAGGAACTGGGGAGCTTCCAAGGTCTGCTGCTCATTTATGGCTTTCACATGGGTTTGAAAGGTAAACTCGGTATTCTTCAATATGTCAACTGATAAAATAGTAAAGGAAAACAGCAATTGTAACTCTCTACCTAAGCACCTGGGGTAGTTTTTTCCTTTGTGTGTTTTTGTGACAAGATAGGCAGGGGTCAGGGTCTCTAGCTTCATATCAGCACAATGAGATAATCCTCCTCTCAGACTAGCCTGCCAGCTTGTCAGAGGAGGAGTTGTGCAAAATGCAATTTGACACTTGAGGGAACTTTCAGCGAGCGATCTTTTGTATCCTTTTGTGTAGCATTGTGGTTGTTGTGGCTTGGCTCTGTTCCTTTGCTTGTCCTTTCATGCTGAGACAAGTACACAACCATTATTAAAGGGTTAACATTTTTCTGAAGGATAAGTGTAGAATGCATATACTTCACTGAGCAGACACTGGGAGCTGGGGGATGTAGCTCAGTGGTAGAGCGCGCGCTTCGCATGTGTGAGGTCCCGGGTTCAATCCCCGGCATCTCCAGTGTTTTTTATTCTCTTGTGCAAATTTTCCAATTTCAATCCCCTCTGTCTGCCAGTAAATATAAAACATGCATACTTTTGTCTATTGAGTTTATGTGTTTCTAAGACAGTTTGAAATTCATTACTTAGAACATTGAAAATACAGGCTTATATGTGAGTTTTCTTCCTCATTTTAAGTAACACAGTTCTTGCGGATTTTCTAGATTGTAAGAAAACACTTGTTACAATATATTATGAATTTGTAATGTAAAAAAAATAAGTTGGATTGGCCAGGAATCGAACCCGGGCCTCCCGTGTGGCAGGCGAGAATTCTACCACTGAACCACCAATTCACATTCTTGAATTTATTCCTCAGAGGCTCCTTCTGGGAAAAGTTTTTCTGCCTTACTGACCTAACTGACTAGAAGCTATTTCATCAGTTCCATGAAGTGTTATATTCAATTGGTAGGTGTCTGTATACATGTTTGTGGAGGGGGGAATGTAAATAATGAGTTCAAATGGAATAATAATAATAATATTTATTTATACCCTACCCAGCTGGCTGGGTTTCCCCAGCTACTCTGGGCGGCTTACAGCATATATAAAACATAATAAAACATCAAACATAAAAAAACTTCCTGATACAGGATTAGAGATGAAATGGGGAAAAAATACAGTTGGGCAAATTTGTTAAAATTTACACGATTGCAAAATAAACACAGTAATTTGCAACAGTAGGATTTGATAACTCAAACATCCCAAAATTACTATTCAATCCAGAAATTATAGATGAGATTCTATGGCTTCATGCTGATGTCACCCTTTTTTTAAAAAAAGGTTTCTTTGTTAAAGACTGGCCCCTTACAAGTCCACAGGAGAGTGTCAAAAGACGCTACAAGTTCTTTTCTGGTTTATGAATATTTCCCTTTATCATAACAGAGTGTCATAGAGGATGTTGAGCACAATGAATTAGAAGTCTTCAGGCAGATCTCTAATTTAGCAAGAGAATGGAAAGCATCAGTACAACCTTTCCCATCTTCTCTGCAGATTTTATATCCAGGAAAAAGCCTTCTTACTGCCAGCATTAGCACCCCACTCCTTTCCCAAATGGTGGCAGCTGCTGTCAGGTCTCACAGTGGCTCAGAGGTCCTGGCTAGGTTTACTGGTATGACCTGGCAATGACCCCAATCCTCTTTTCTCCTTTTGTTTCTTATAAGGTCCTGGAACACCTCTTGCACCTGTCATGGGGTGCTGCAGAAGCTGTGTGGCCTCTCCCTTCTTTACTCTGGTTGAATGAAAAGGAATATTCCATTAAAGTGGGTATTAAAAAGAAAGCTGTAGTGTAGGGAAAAGGATGATGAGATTAGCAGTGGCAGCTGAAATGGTCCCTGCCTTGTGCATTCACATGGGTAGATGGACCCATGTTTTAGAAATCAGGATGAGCTCCAGGATGATGATAGCATAGGATCACCTCAACAGGTAGGAGACCCTATTGGTGGCAATGCTTGACAAACTGCAGACCTCTACAAGACCTGGCCATCAGAATGGCTATGGCTGATGGTCAAGCACCATGACCCTGGAGGGCTAGGGCATAAAGTAACCTTCAGAACAGCTCTTACTCCTAGGAAGAAGGGCAATAAGAGAGAGAAATGTTCCCTTATACCAAGATGAGGGATTCCTTTGGAATGCAGGTAGAGTTAATTGATAAGAATAATGATCTGTTGTGAGCTTGACGGAAGTGTACAATAGATGAGCTTTCCTGCTTTGGCTCATCTTCCTTCTGTTAGCTGCCACCCATCCTCCAACCACATCAACACTCAACCATTACACTTTACAACTACTAAGCTCACTTTCATCTTCCTAACCCCACTTCTGAAGACACTTCTCTCTTCTGTTCTGCATACCTGCTTTCCACCCTTTTTAACATTTATGCCCATGCCACCTCCTCCCCTTCCTTTTGTGCACCCCAATGTCAGGGCCTCGCTGGATGAGGAAGAGTTGTGCGCATTAAACACCCAATAATGTCCCCCCCCTCCCCGGATGACACAGAAGAGGAAGCCCAGAGGGGCTCCTCCTCGTAGTTTATGGCTGCTTAGGAGGAGTCCAGAGGAAGAGGACTAGAAAGGGAAGGAGGGGTCAGACAAGTCTCAGCAATGTATTCACCTTGACTTTTCTGAATTAAAAAGCTGATCGCACTTTAAGTTTTCCTTCTGACCTGTGGATGAACCTGCCTTGTGTGCAACACCCCCTTGCACACAAAACTACCCCATGGTAACGTGCACCTTCCTCCTCCCGCATCCTTTTCTCCTTCTAATTATGAAGCCACCATACCCTTCTACTCTGTGGACCCTTTTATGCCCCTGCTTTAATCTTCACCCCTATTTTGATGCCTCTTACTCACACAGATAAGTGGGGGTATTTGGAGAGGGGTAGCACCTCTGCTGGTGGACACGTCATGTTCCTCCAGGGGTAGTTTGCCCACCTTCGGTCCCCATCATGCACTCAGCTCTCACCTTTGGCTCCTAGAAGCTGTCAGTATGCGATAGCAGCCACGCCCCCCCCCCAGAATGGATTTATCTGGCCAGCTAAACCAGGTGAGGGGAGCCAATGGGTCTCAAACCCTTGGCGAGTTAGGGACTTCTCCTGCATGGAAAGGCAGGCTCCAGCAGATTGAGTGGATGAGAGCAAGAGGGGGTCCAACGATCAAGAAGGCAGTTTCTGCAGGTGTTGTTGAGGTATGTGAGGGGCAGATGGGGCTTGTCCACCTGGGAAGGTAGCCCATCTAGAAGGAAATTGATCCTAAACCTCCGCTGCCTTGTGGGATATCTTCAGGAGAAGACTCAGAAGTAAACCCTACACGAATCCGGAGTGGAGTCCCTAAAATGGTTAGATGAAAATGATACGCATCTGATAACACCTGCAGCTGAACTGGTGCCAAATGTATTGCTCTGCTTTCCTTTGGACCATATCAGCAAGGCCAAGGGGTGGGGTCTTGTCTGGACAGCACAGAACCTCCATATACAGTCCAGGTTTGTGTCACAGGGAGCTCACTTCCATACTGCTAACACAGTGGTTTGACTTCACCCCCAGAGATGCACTTCATTGTTTCTTGAGACAAGTTGGATGCCAACAATACTTGCACAGATCACCCCCATATCCACACCTTAGCTTCTCTCCTATTCTGCATCCCCCTTTGCATGCACCCATGATATGTTATTCCATCTTTAAGATGAATGGAATCTTAAGAGCAAGCCTCCCAGTTAGCTTCTTCAGTTAAGATCAGTTGGGGGGTGTTGCACACATGTTGGTGGTTTGCCTGCTCACAAAATATCTCTTCTGCTGTAAATTACTGCATTGAATCTTGCACTTAATGTTGAGCACACCACATTGTACAAGAAGTGAAATACATTGTGGGAAGGTATTATGGAATATTTGCGGGCTCTGCATCCTTTATCTCACACAAGACAGTTGAGCAATGGCAGAGAGAGATGTTTGAGTACAGCAAGAAGGGTAGTACGGTGAGAGGGGGAAAGTGGTTGTTTTAAACAATGGCAGAAGTTTGAATAAAGCAGTAATGGCCATACATAATTTTATTTGTTTCACCTTTTCCTAGTTCAAATCATGTTTAAGGCGGCTTACAACATGAAAAAATATAAATTGCAAACATAACAAAAGTGGTCATAAACAAATAAAACATCAAAAAGTATGCAACCAAATTAAACCATTTCCACATAAATTATGTAGTAACATTGAAAGGAGAAATGGCAGTTTTAAACAGCAGTAAAGGTTTGAGTAAAGCAAGGATGGTGGAACACTGAGGGATTTTTAAAAAGTTCTAACAAGAAATTAAAGAGATGGGTTCAACACAGACGCTAACTCCAAAAAGCTAACATTCCTAACTTCCTTCTTGTTGTACTCAAACCTTATTTTAAACAGTCACTTCCTCTCCTCAGTGTCACCCCTGCTTGCTCTACTTAGACTTCTACCATTGTTTAAAATGTCCCCTTTTTATGTCTCAGTGCTCCCACCCTCCCCTGCCATGACTTTATGCAAATCCAGGATTGCAATGTGGCAATGCAAATCCTCCAATGCAATGATTCTTACATTTCTATTATATACAATGTTTAAATATAAAAAGATAACAAATGTAGCAAATGTGCTTTTGTTTTCCAAATATAAAATGCATGTAAACAAATGTTAAGTACAATTTGCACTATCTTCTGCCTTTTAAATAAGTTGTGACTGCATATTCATATTTCTCATTCAGATAGTAGTAGTAATAATTTTTTGGCATTCTCCAGTGTCTTGCATTATCCGGTTCTAATATAAATTAGAAAAACAAACCATAGATGGCTCCCAAGAGGATGGTGTTTTGGAGATCAAAGTCCAACCCCCAGAAATTCTGCTCTGGAAACAACATTGAGCAGCAGCAGCTGGAAAATATTATCCTTTATACTGTCATGCTAAATATGTACCGTATTTTCCGGCCCATAGGGCACACCTAGTTTTCAGGGGGGAAATCAAGGAAAAATATTATCCCCCCCCCCCGCAGCTCTGGGAGCAGCGGACAGGCTGCATGCAGCCTGTGTGCTACTCCAAGACCTTCTTCCTGCTTTTGCGGGAGGTGGCGGAATTCCCCCACCTCCCGCAAAAGCCCACAGGAGCCACGCGCGACTCCTGCGGGCTTTTCGACCAGGAGGGAGAAGGGACTGAAACGGCCAGTCAGTCCCTTCTCCCTCCTTGGGGAAAACCCCCCCAAGAGCCGTGCGCTCTTTAAAGGCTACACGGCTCCTGCGGGCTTTTCTATGAGGTGGATGAATTCTCCCACCTCGTAGAAAAGCCAGCAGAAGCCGCACAGCCCCTTTAAAGAGCGCACGGCTTTTGCGGGAGGTGGGGGAATTCCCCCACCTCCCGCAAAAGCCCACAGGAGGGAGAAGGGACCAAATCGGCCAGTCAGTCCCTTCTCCCTCCTTGGGGAAAAGCAGGCAAAAGCCGTGCGCTCTTTAAAGGCTGCACGGCTCCTGCGGGCTTTTCGACCCAGCTTGTGGGGCTGGCGATGGGGGGAAGCGCTGCTTTCCCCCACCACCAGCCTCAAAACCGGGTCGGAGAGTAGCGGGAAGGCGTTGCGTGCCTTCCCGCTGCCCCCCGATCCTCTGGGGCTGGCGATGGGAGGAAGTGCTGCTTTCCCCCACCGCCAGCCTCAAAGAGCAGACTCTTCTGGCTTCAGCGAAAGCAACGCGAAGCCTCCGGAGTGCAGGCTTCCTAGGCTTCGCGTTGCTATCGCTGAAGCCAAGGAGCCTGCATTCGCCCCATAGGACGCACACACATTTCCCCTTCATTTTTGGAGGGGAAAAAGTGCGTCCTATAGGGCGAAAAATACAGTACTTCTAATGCTTTTATATTGTGCTTTCAGTGTTAGCTTGCTTTGACAATTTTAACAGAAAAGCAGGGTATAAACTTAATCTACTCTAAAAAGAAGTCAACCTTACTTTAGATATATTTTCAGTGGATGCGTCAATTTTATATAATTTTTGTGTACAGCCGTTTCATAAAACTCTACTTGTGGAAGGAGGCATCACTCCCCCTCTCCCTGCAATGACCTGCTTTGCATTCTATAACAGTGTGCATGTTACAGGCATTATAAAAGCACTGTTTTCTATATGTTCTCTAATTAAAATGGTAGATAGGGATAAAACAGCTGGTGCCAGAACCTGAAATGTAGAAATCGATTTGGAACTTTCATACCATTTACATTCATCAGGTTCCTTTGCTATAACTGTTTTCAACACCAGTTAAATACATGTGTTTAGATGAACCTATCCAAATATGTAAAGTTAGTGTGTATTTTAATGTGCAATTTTATTTTATGATGTATATTTTAAACTGCTTATTTTATTTATATTTTGAGTTTAAGGTAAACTTACAGTAAACTTGACTTTTAGTGTTCATTTTTGTGTACATTTTAGATTCTCTGTAAACCCAACGTAGTAGTTTTTACAATTAAGTAGCATACAAATTATGATCAAATAAAATTCTATTTTCAATTTGATAATACTACTCATAGTCATCAGGTTACTGGTCAACTTATAATTGGAACAATGCATAAACCAGTAGCTAAAGCAAGAGTAGGCAAACTTTTTGCATCCAATGGCTACATCCAGTCCAGTGGGGGGGCAGTTGGGGTCCATGTGCCAATGGTGTAGTTCACGTGTGTGCAACTGTGCACACAGGAGAGCATAGTCTTTTCAGCCTGCTAAACAACTTGAGGCATTTGGACTTTATGAGGAGGAAGGCACAGGATGGCGACTTTCAACATGTGTCCTTATCATCATCATCATCATCATCATCATCATCATCAAAATAGATTGTATATCTTCATGTGAAGATCTCAGGGTGGTTCACAGCATAAAAATACATAAAGGTTGTTTTCTGCTGCTCCAGAGAAGCGGACACGGAGCAATGGATCCAAACTACAAGAAAGAAGATTCCACCTAAACATTAGGAAGAACTTCCTGACAGTAAGAGCTGTTTGACAGTGGAATTTGCTGCCAAGGAGTGTGGTGGAGTCTCCTTCTTTGGAGGTCTTTAAGCAGAGGCTTGACAACCATATGTCAGGAGTGCTCTGATGGTGTTTCCTGCTTGGCAGGGGGTTGGACTCGATGGCCCTTGTGGTCTCCTCCAGCTCTATGATTCTATGATTCTATAATAAAAACAAGAACAAAACAAAAAAAAAAAACAACAACAAAAAAAACCCTATTGCCTTTCAGCAAACTTTGCAGGGGGGAGATAAATTTGGCAGGTGGGAAGACAGCTTGGGCACCCACAGCCTAAACAGAAAAGCTGGTGTTTAGTACATATGACCATGTGGTCTCCTGTCATAGTTATTTATAAATCTGCTTTGTAGTTTATGCAGCATCTATGAGTAGTTGAGTTTGTAAAGCTACCACACACCCTCTCACTAGCAAGAGACATTAAGACTGTCATCCTCTGCACACTTTAGAATAAGTCCCCACTGAACACCTCAGCCCCCGTGGTGCTGAATTTTCAAGGCAGGAAATGGCAACGAGCTGTAGTACATTTAAGAATTTTAACAGTGTTCCTGACCAGTTGCATTTGTGGCATACAATTTTCAGGTCTGGATTGGAAGTGAAAGATTTAAGTCACTTAACCTAAAAAGCAAAATGTACAAAGGGCAATTGTTAGTGATTTTGGTATTTTCAGAACATGAAACATATAATGCTCCAATTGGTTTTAGAGAACCTACTCAAATATGTAGCAGTTTTTAGTGTTCAGCAGAAATGCTCCATTTGCTGAACAATATCATACAGCAAATTCACTCTTACTGTTGATAGATGGATAATGACACTAGGACAATCATTATCTCCGTGGCAACAGTACTGCATATGTCAGAGGAACATTGCACATGGAGCGGATGCTACTTTTTACAGTCCTGCCTCGGCTTCCTCAGATACTCTTTCTGCAAAGCCAATATGCCCAGAGTACAAGAGCAACTAAGGGCAATTCCAAGGCTGCAGATTTACTGCAATGAATGGATAAGCTTGGCATGCCATGCAAATGAGTCTTGTGATACCTTCAAAACCAACAAATTGATTGTGGTATGTTTTGGTAGGAGCCCGTACAAATGCTACTGAAGGAGGCCCGTGCCTACAAGTTTAAACTACACATGCACTAGTCTTTAAAGAAGCACAATAGTGTTGCTTTCTCTGTGGTCAGCCAACATGGGTACCTTTCTACAATTTATTCAAAACACTTAGTAAATGTTCAGTGCTGATGGTTTTCAACAGCAGACAGCCATATGCTTCTGCACAGCCCATAGGCGAATATGAACCAGCCATTCTCCGAATTTTGTTCCCCACTCCTAGCAATTAGCATGCCAAATAATACCACCTCTGGTCCTGGAGGCTCCATTTAGCAATTGGAATGATCAGCAATACTGATCTTCCCAGACTAGTTTCATATTATGTCCCAGTTCTATTAAATTCAATTGAACACATTTCCATTAATATTAACTAAGATGGGAAATACTTGCCTTTTTGAGAATTTGGCCATTCTTTACTAACTTCCATTCCAATGAGTCAGCTCATTGACAGCTTACTGCAGTTGGTTTCAGGCAGGTATTCTAGGTCAGTGTCAAATGTAGCCATTGATATGCTCAGTGAAGAGGTAATTTTGTTCAATCACAAAAGCAACACCTGAAATAAAAGGCAGAACCTATAAATTGGGGCTCTTTGCAGAAGACCTAATGGTCACAACACCAGACCCCCTAAACCAGGGGTCAGAAAACTTTTTCAGCAGGGGGCCGGTCCATTGTCCCTCAGACCTTGTGGGGGCCAGACTATATTTTGTTTTTTTTAAAAATAATATTTATTAAAAATTTCAGAATTACAGAAAAAAAGAAAAAATAGGAAACAACACTACAATACATAAAAAAGAAGGAAAAAAGCATAAAAACCAATACAACAATACAGCAAAAAGATAAAAAAAAGAAAAAGACACAAATCCCATGTTACATATCTTTAACTTCCATTTGCTTGTTTCATTGACCTCCTCACACCTCCCTTTTTGTATTCTAGTTTAATTAGTTATTTCAGCAAATTCTTTCCATCTTTCTCAATTTTTATTGAATAATTTATCTTAACAATTTAACCTATTAATTAACGCAACAAATCCTTTCCATCTTTCCCCATATTCTGTTATTCAAATTGCCTTAATTTATTTAACCTTATCTTACCATAAACTACCTTAGAGCTTGAAACTTAATACTGAATTATACATAACTCCTTATATCATTTCTACTAAAGCCATATAGTTTCATTCCAACATTTTCCCTAGTATTCATTAATTTTAGACTAATTCCCTAAATAAAAATTTTTCTTTATAAATTTTCTTCCAATCTTCATCCAGCGTCTCTTCTTCCTGGTCTCGGGTCATGTCAGTCCTTACTGTCCATTCCATCTCGTCCATCAACCCGGTAATCTTATGTCCGAGGCTCTTAAGTCTCTTCCATGTCCCTTCTGCAGATCTTCTTCTTCTTGTTTATACCTGCACTTTTCCTTGTCTTTTGTTGGTCTCTTTCTTAATTTCTTTCCTTTCTCATTGAGGAGTAGGTCTCTGGGAAGTTCCAGGCCAAGATTATCTCCATCTCCCTTCATCAAACCAGCCCATTCCCCACAGTCCCACTCCCCACAGTCATCAATGTAATCCAAAAAATATTTAAGAGCATATTTCAAAGTCCCTCCGAAGTTAAGAACCTCCTCAGCTCCAGACTCCCCCTGGTCCACTCCAACTTCAATCTTCAAAAACAGCGGCTTATGCTCCTGCAGGGCCTCAGATCTCTCCATTTGTATTATTTGAGGTGCAACCGCAACCTCCTCCATTATCTTCTGCACTTGCCCAATCAATACAGGTTCCCGAGTTGGTCCCTGAATGGTTTCTGTATCAATATTCCCTGTTTGTCCACAGTTATTGACCACAACAGTCATCAAATCCGTTTTCTCATTCATCAGATCCATCTTCTCATGCATCTGTTCCAACAAAGCACTTGTTTTGCATAAAGCAAGCACCAAAACTTCCTCCCAGCTCATTTTTATTCGAGGTCAAAAGGACTGGTCCCATGATCTTAATCTCACAGCTGTAGAGTCCTCAAGTAGACTGCAGCAACAATTTAACAAGCTCCCTCTAGAGGAGACAATTTCTATTTGTATCCATCTTTTTAAGGCAAGTCCAACAAAGGAAAATTACTTTCATTTTTCAGATATTTTGTTTCTTTAGAATGCAAAAGGCAACATTGGAATCAGTTTATTTCTCTTCTTTAGCTATCTGTCAAAGTATTCCATTCACAGTCAGTGAACCTCTCCAACAATTTCTGTCTCTGACCCCCCGTTCCCAGGTTTGAGACAGTGGAAACTTATCTTTCTTCACTCCCTCTCCTGCAGGCTTAAACAAAGATTCCCCCCCCCCTTTTCTCCTGCTTCCAAGGGGGTTTTAGTGGTTATAAATGAAGGAAATTTAGACTTTTTTAACGACTTTCCAGACTTAGCTTACAAGGTTTTTGCTTCAGGCTATGTACAAAAAGCGGAAGGCGGACTTCCTGTTTGAACCTTCCCGCTTCGGTGCCAAATTAGGGTATTTCTTGATCCAATTTTCCGTTTCTACTCACGGGTACTTGTTTTAAATCCAATTGTCCACAGGAAAAAGTCAGCGCTCTCCGGCAATGGCTGTGCGGCTTCACTCCGTAAAAGTAGCAATCAGTTCGCAGCACCGCGCCGCTCACCCCACTTCACTCCGGAACCCCGAAATGGGGTTCCCCGTGAGTAGGGGAGGTGCTCCTGGTGCCCTGCCGAACCCCACGTTCCCAGGCTTCCTCCGCCTGGGATTTCTAGCGGGTCCCCACCTTCGCCGCGGCGGGAAGACCCAGTTTCCACGGAGCCAGTTCCTCCGGTCGGAGGAACTCCGCCATTCGCCGATGGCGCTAACCCGGAAGTCCAGACTATGTTTTGAAGGGGGGGGGAATTAACAAATTCCTATGCCCCACAAATAACCCAGAGATGCATTTTAAATAAAAGCACACATTCTACTCATGTAAAAACACCAGGCAGGCCCCACAAATAACCCAGAGATGCATTTTAAATAAAAGGACACATTCTACTCACGTAAAAACATGCTGATTCCCGGACCGTCCACGGGCCGGATTTAGAAGGGGATTGGGCCGGATATGGCACCTGGGCCTTAGTTTGCCTACCCATCCATAATCAGGGAACTCAACACATTTGCAACAGTGTCAGGCCTACAGGTAAACTTTGCAATGTCTGAGGCTATGTGCTTCAACACCCCCCTCATACCCAAAAAGAATTCACAAACATCACCAAGATAAAACTTTCCCGCACCAAGTTCAGATACCTAGGGGTACAAATAACCAGAAACCTCAACAAATTATACCTCCACAACCACAACCCCTTGTGGCGACAAATCAAGTAAGACCTGAAGAGATGGAACAATACCAGCTTCATTCTCTCAGACAAAAGTCATGATCAAAATGATCACCCTCCCAAATCAACCTACCTGTTCCAAACTCTCCTAATCTGAATTCCCCCAGCCCAACTTCACAAATGGCAGAAAAAAATACACGTGCCCTATTTTTCACTCTAAGATGCCCCAGACCACAAGATGCACCTAATTTTTGGAGGAGGAAAACAAGAAAAAAAATATTCTGAATCTCAGAAGCCAGAACAGTAAGAGTGAAAGCAGTGAAAGCAGCAATCCCTCTTGCTGTTCTGGCTTCTGTGATAGCTGCGCAGCCTGCATTCGCTCCATAAGACGCACACACATTTCCCCTTACTTTTTAGGAGGGAAAAAGTGAGTCTTATAGAGCAAAAAATACGGTATTTATATTCTCACATAATAAACCAAGAATAAGCCCCAAATACCTGCACTTCCCCTCCTCAGAAGGAAGATGGGGAATCCCCAACATAGGATCATATTACACCGCCAACCAAGTATGCTACATAATCCCATATATTCTAGAAGACGAGATGAAACAATGGGTACACTTGGAGAGAGACACAACTGAAAATACCCCCACCACAGCATGCCCATTCCTCCCAAACAAAATAAGGGAAATCCCCACCACACTAAACAGGTTTACACAGACCATGCTTAAAGCATGGAAAGAATAAGTAGGTAAATTGTCCCCAACCCCATCCCCACTAATACCCCTGGCACACCACCCACTATTCCACCACGCAGAACAAAACCTTCAGATAAAAACCTGGCAGGCCAAAGGCTTATACCTCCTAGCAGACTTCTACGAAAACAACAAATCCATATCAACACAAGAAATAAAAGACAAACTAGGGCATACCCAGATGCCCTGGCTAACACACCACCAATTACATGCCCTCCTAAGCAACCCAATTGTAAAATCAGCAGCAACTAGGCCCTTGACAACCTTCAAAAACCTCCTCCTAACAACAAAGGGACATGGCAAAGGGCTGGTATCCACAATATACAAAATACTGCTCCAAAACCCCACAAACCCCCTTGACGTAATCAAAAAACAATGGGAGGATGACATAGGCTATGAGATTAACCAACTCTTCTGGACAGCAGTCACACAAGAAATATACAAAATAACTAAACAAGTATTAGAAGTCACCCCAGAACTGGCCCTACTAAAAATCTTCCAATATAACAATGCCCACTCATACCACAAAGAGCTCATAACCCACCTACTCTCAGCAGCCAGAAACATGATAGCCAGACACTGGAGAGACCTGTCAAGAGTATGCTATTTTTTGTGATATACAAATGACATGAGGAAACTTGGTATACTTATTTGTATAACGATATTCTTGTTTATAAAACCCAATAAAAAAACAAAAGAAAAAGCAACACCTGGATAGCTCAGTTGGTTTAAGTGTGATGCTGATAATGCCAAGGTTTGCAGGTTTTATTTCTGTGTGGGATAGCTGCATATTCCTGCATTGCAGGGGGTTGGAGTAGATGATCCTTAGGGTCCCTTCCAACTCTGATTTATTATATAATCCAAAAGGCTTGCAGGCTGCCAAAGAGAAAAGATAACCTGAGTGCATGGTGCAACAAATTCTTGAGTTTCCATTTACCAAAGGGGCTGTGGAATGTTAGCGACCAATATTGCTCTACAAAACTGATCAGTGCCAGAGATTAATTTGAATTTAAGGCATTATGCATGCGCAATGCAAATAACAACAGGTTGTGGGCATCCATCTGTCTCAGGAGACAATGGAGGAGTGTGCCTTTGAGAGTGAGGTCAACTGTTGGAAGGTTGCAGCGTCTGCTGTGACTATAGGGTCTGATGATGATGATGACAATAATAATAATAATAATAATAATAATATAAAAAAGTAATAATAATAATAGTAATAATATTAATAATAATATATTATTTATACTCCGTCCATCTGGCTGGGTTTCCCCAGCCCCTCTGGGCAGCTTCCAACAGAATATTAAAATACAATAGTCTATTAAACATTAAAAGCTTCCCTAAACAGGGCTGTCTTCAGATGTCTTCTAAGAGTCTGGTAGTTGTTTTTCTCTTTGACATCAGATGGGAGGGAGTTCCACAGGGAGGGCTCCACAACCGAGAAGGCCCTCTGCCTGAGTTCCCTGTAACCTCACTTCTCACAGGGAGGGAACAGCCAGAAGGCCCTCGGCACTGGACCTCAGTGTCCGGGCAAAATGATGGGGGTGGAGACGCTCCTTCAGGTATAGTGGACCGAGGCCGTTTAGGGCTTTAAAGGTCAGATGTGGGAGAGACAAGTTTAGTTACAGTTGGGGCAGATGAAGGCGTCCGGTTGCGCTGCTGCAAATACACCATGGTATTTCTTCTCTCTGTACTCCTCCCAGCAGTCATGGAGCATCCATGAGCAACACAAACAACGACAACGACAAACTATAATAGTCAATAGCCACTGAGCCTGGGGCTTGCTGATCGGAAGGTTGGCAGTTTGAATCCCCACGACAGGGTGAGCTCCTGTTGTTCGGTCCCAGCTCCTGCCCACCTAGCAGTTCAAAAGTACGTAAAGTGCAAGTAGATAAATAGGTACTGCTCTGGTGGGAAGGTAAACGGCGTTTCCATGCGCTGCTCTGGTTCCCCAGAAGTGGCTTATAGTCATGCTGGCCACATGACCTAGAAGCTGTCTGCAAACAAACGCCGGCTCCCTCGGCCTATAGAGCGAGATGGGTGCGCAACCCCAGAGTCGTCTGCGACTGGAGCTAACGGTCAGTGATACCTTTACCTTTTTAGCTGAGAAGATCACTATATTATTGACCTAGATGTAGTAATCTCTTGAGCAAGGAACTTCAATGGAAAATGGCTGTTTGAAACTAATTACCAGTTAGGTAATTTTTATTGGTTTATCAGTCAAATACACACAGGAAATAAAAAATACCCCATACAGTGGTACCTCAGGTTACGAACTTAATTCGTTCTGTTCTTAATCTCAAACTGTTCTTAACCTGAGATACCACTTTAGCTAACAGGGCCTCCCGCCGCCACACGATTTCTGTTCTCATCCTGAAGCAAAGTTCTTAACCCGAGGTACTATTTCTGGGTTAGTGGAGTCTGTAACCTGAAGCGTCTGTAGGCCGAGGTACCACTGTACATACATATGTAAACACACTGTTTTAACTCATGTTATTTCTTGAGAAGATTAGTCCTCTCCAGGGAGATAACGTAAGTGACCAGAGGAGAAATTTACATCTGCTTATTTACAAAGCATAAGAATGAGTACCATACTGTAGGTACTTTGAACAACCCTAGCATGGCAAATGGGTGGCGCTGTGGGTTCAACCACAGAGCCTAGGGCTTGCCGATCAGAAGGTCGGTGGTTCGAATCCCCGCGACGGGGTGAGTTCCCATTGCTCGGTCCCTGCTCCTGCCAACCTAGCAGTTCGAAAGCACACCAAAAAGTACAAGTAGATAAATAGGTACTGCTCCGGTGGGAAGATAAACAGCGTTTCCGTGTGCTGCTCTGGTTCGCCAGAAGCAGCTTAGTCATGCTGGCCACATGACCTGGAAGCTGTACGCCGGCTCCCTTAGCCAATAAAGCGAGATGAGCGCCACAACTCCTGAGTCGGTTACGACTGAACCTAATGGTTGGGGTCCCTTTACCTTAGATGTTCAGAAAGCACTACACACTTCTGACAAAGAGCAAATTAAGCACATGCTGTTGAATTGTACCAAGGGGTTCATATGACAGTAAAGCAAGACCTGGTTCTGGATGGAGAGATTAACCTGTGATGTCAGCAAGCGTGGTGAAAACCTGGATCTAGAAGTGTTCGATTTATCTGCAACACCACCACATATGAAAGACAAACGTTTCCCCACATCCCATCCATCATATCAGAGACAAAGATGGGTCACTCTGATAAAGTCTAATGGGCACACCACCACCCAAAAATTGCCTTCCATGTCACCTCTTGGATTTTCGCTGAGTTTTTGAAGGAGGGCGAGTCCCCAAGCAGTCCCACATACTATATAGTCATTCATCTTTACCCCCAAATTTTAATGCTCATGCAGGGCCGATAGTTACATTTATAAGGAGCTTATAATTCCTTGAGGCTGCCCCTAGAATACAGATCGCCAGTAAGTAGGAAATGAGCGTAGTTATTTCTGCACATTTACTACCCTTTGATTCCTAACATTTTTTGCAGACTGAGGAAGGTGAAAGGACCAAAGGTCTGAGTCGGTAGCAGGCAGCTCCTGGTGTCCCTACGAACCTTGTGGGCTGCCGTAGAGGAATACGGGGTTGGATGACGGGCGGGAAGCGCCTTAAACAGAAAGCGCTGCACAAATACCTTCTTGCTGTCTCCTTGGTCCCACAAGCCCCATCTCGGCCGACCTCGGGCTGCTGGGACTTCCAATGGGTGGGGCGGAGGGGTTCGGACGGACCCCAGGCCTCTTCGCCCGGCGCAGGGCTAAGCGAGGCAGATCCCGCGGAGGATGCGACGGGCTGGGCCGGGCTGCTCTTCTCTGTGCTCTTCCCGAGAACCGCCGAGGGGCCGGATCGGGCGGGCGGCGGGTCTGAGGCGGCTAGACGCTTAGCCTTGAAGCCCTTTAGCTTCGGAGGCCGGAAAACAGAAAACAAACACACCACCACCACGCCGGAAGCGGAAGTGCCGCCGCCGCAAATCTCGTTTCTTCAAGACTCCAACTTTCCCCGCCTCCCATGGGAAAGTGACAGAAAGCCCCATCAATCACAGCACAGCGCGTCGCGGTACTTCCTTTGCGCAATCGTAGGAGGCAGCAACAGCTCCTCTACCGCAGGAGAGATTTTATTCAAAGGACCCCGTGCGGTACGATTGGCCACTGGGGACGAATAGGAAGCGGCCGGCCGGCCTGGCCTCAATAGTCATTGGTAGCTTGTATTCGACTGACAGGAATGCCTTTCCGTCGCGGCGCGTACGGGGCGGGGCTAAGGAAGCGCAGGCAGCCCCGCTTAAACATTATTGGTAGCCTGAGCGTGAGTGACAGAAGTGGAACCGTGGCCTGCGTCCCTTTGGCTAGGCCGCGAGGTCGCCTGAGGGAGCCTCCGGCGAGCCCGCAGCCATGAGCGGGTCCTTCTGCCGGCTGCCCGCAGCCCTGCGGCGGTGGCGCGGCGCGCGGCCCACGACACTCTTGGCGCGGCCGCTGAGCCAGGCCGGCCCCGGAGGCGGCGGAGCGGAGGGCGGCGAGGACGTCGCTTCGGCCGCCGGGTCGAAGGAGGCGGTGGGGCGCCTGGTGCGCGCTCACCCGGTGGTGGTGTTCATGAAGGGCAGCCCCGCGCAGCCCCAGTGCGGCTTCAGCAACGCGGTGGTGCAGATCCTGCGCCTGCACGGCGTCAGCGACTACCGCGCCTACGACGTCCTGCAGGACCCCGGCCTGCGCCAAGGTAGGCGGGCTCGGCGGAGGGGCCTCTGCGCCCGCGACACCCCGCGAGGCGGCCTGCGCTGCCCCTCTGAGGGGAAGGCGGGCTGAGGCGGGCTTGCGGGGCGGCCGGGAAACCTCGTTGCTGCTGCTGCCCGCCTGCATTTGCCAAGGCCTGAGCAGTGGGTCCCCTCCCCCGCCCCTCTTTCCTTAGAAGGGCCTGCTGTGGTTCCACGGAGTCTTCCTCATTAAGTTTCTGTGCCGTGGCCTGGCGGGTGGGAAGCGTGGCTGCGGGTTACGACTGCGGCCGGGCGTGGGGTCCAGTTCTCGCTCCCCGCCACCCCTCGCCCAGTCTTTCCCAAGGAGAAGAACGGGGAAAGTGGGTGCTGCTGGGTGCCACTGCCTGCAGGCGCCCTGAGCCTCTTTCGGCAGAAGAGCACAACCCTCCCCTCTCCCCTTCAATCTGATGTTTCCCGAAAGGCTGTGTGAAGTGTTGCGTGTACACACGGACCCATCCAGGCTGCCGTAGCCTCCAGCGCTTCTCTCCACCGGCCTTTCCTGCTCTCGAGTAATGTGAGGGGAAGCGGTTGCTCTTTGGTCCTGCCTTCCCCGCAACTTGGGAGCTGGATAGAGATGTCCGTGCAAGTGCTCGGATGATCCTTGTAGGATCGCCAGTCTCTTTTTGCAACTCAGGAGGGCCCTGCGACCAAATTGAGATTTCCAGTTTGGGGTTTGCATAAGTTGTTCTTAATATTTTATTATTTATTAAATTTATATACTGCCCTTCATCCGAAGATCTCAGGGTGGTTCAGAAGATAAAAATACAGGATAAAAGCACAAAATAAATACTTAAAAACAAAGCAAAACAATAACACCCCCTCCCACAAACACATTAAAAAGGCTGTAGAATATAAATCACCCAAAGGCCTGGTTGAAGAGGAACGTTTTTGCCTGGCTTCTAAAGAGTTATGAGATTGTATCATTTTTCAGAGCACTTCTAGAATATACACAAGAGCTTGCACCACTCCCTCAACTCCAAATGTCTGTCGGGAATAGATAAATAATTTGGACAGAGATAAAGAATTTGTATTTGCCAAACAGAGCAAATAGGTGTTGAAAAGCAGTAAAATATCCTTTTTTTTTAATATGCAAATACATTTAAGGTTAGGTCCAAGAAGTGCTATATCTTTGTTCAAAAGTTTCTGTTTAATGCATTAGGAAAGTCTTCATGTAGTTTCTGTGAATCTGTTGGCCAGGGATCAGGGCTAGAATTTGAATCTTGAATGAGTTGCAAGACGAAAAGTTTTAACGGAGGAAACAAGAGCCAATGCAGTGTTTTGAGTGTTAGCCTAGGACCTGGGAGACCAGGTTTCACATTTCTACTCAATCATGAAGGTGACCTTGTGTGAATCAGGCTTGGCTGAACCTTCCTCACAGGTTGGTTGTGAAAATAAAATGTGGAGGTGAATGATGTGCTTTACCTTGAGCTCCTTGAAAGGAAATGTGGGATATAAATGTAATAGTAAAGATAAGAATGCAGTGCTGTTTCAACATGCTAAGTAGCCATGGAATATAGAGACACAATTGAAAAATGGGGCAGTGAGAGCAGAATCTTTTGCTTTGGGGGAAAGTGGCTGGATAGAATCTGGAACCAGGGTCTCTACTTTTTGGAGGAAGGATAAACTGCAACATGTGTTTTGCAGGCAATGATTGATTTATACACGCCTAATTAATATGCAGCAGAAAAGAGGGTGGACTGGGGGGCAGAGTGGGCTGATGCACACTCCACTGATGTGCGCAGGGGTCAGGAACATAACCCACACACAAAATGGTTGTTGCCTCTATTGTAATATTTTTTAAAAAATCTAGATAGCAATTTTTTTAAATTGTGGGAATTAATCAAACTGAACTGATGATTCCTCAGGCCAGTGTTTCTCAAATGTTATGAGATTATCCTGGATCCTCCGTACCCTAACACCAATCTTGGAAACTTGCTGTGTGTACAGGGGGTTATGTGTGCAGGGGGCTGGACTAGATGACCCTTAGGATCCCTTCCAACTCTATGATTCTATCTGTTTACAGCACCACACTAGTTTTCTGTAAGTAGCTAAAGTACAGTACTGGATTTGATTGTGGGGAAACCCCATTTCAAATTGCAATGGACAAGCTTAATCTATGGGGTTGTTGGAATGAAATGCTGCTCTGTTCCCCATATAGCTTAAACAATATACTACTGCTTTCCACTTGCCTGGCTCCAAAATGCCCTTGTATAGTTTTGTGTTTCTCCTTGGTACTTCTGTCTCTAATCTGAAATAATTGGCTCTGCAGCATTTTTTTAAATTTGAATGAACTGATTCTATTCCATAATTCCATGCTTGGAAACCTCAGGTCTTTAATTAGTCATTTTTGTCAGCTTAAATTGTGTTTTACACAGTAGCAAAAGGACAGGTCCCCTGCCCCAAGTCGAGGAGGAGAAGAGAGAAGGTGATACAGACTTAAAGCCAATAAGATTTGCTAAAAGGCTATGGGTTGTGTGCTTCCTTTCTTTTCTCCAGTATAGTCTTAACTGCCTTGCCAGTTCAAAAACACTGTTACAAGTTGTCTAATGTATTTGGTTTAATTTGTCTTTCTGTTTTGATTCAGGAATCAAAAACTATTCCAACTGGCCTACTATTCCCCAGGTCTTCCTGAATGGTGAATTTGTAGGGGGCTGTGATATACTACTTCAGATGCATCAAAGCGGGGACCTAGTGGAGGAGCTTAAGAAATTAGGAATTCGCTCTGCACTTCTGGATTCAGATAACAACCACGGAAAAAAATAAGCAAGTGACTGCTATGACTTTGACAAAGACAACTTTTGACAATTTGGTACCAGAAAAGCCTTATGCAATTTAGCTCAGAAAGGCAACTTTTTGAACTAACAATGAGGTTTTATCATTAAGCATTATGTTACCCACTCTACTGTACAATAGACTGATATGTGGCTATTCTGTCTTGAATTTTTTTTAAGCATAGCTCTGTAAATCAAATGTTTTACAATCAAAGTAAATAAGTAGTTCACTTCTATTTTTAATGATTTTGTGTTCATTTTGCTTGAGTCACCAAAAAGTGGAACTTCTTTTTCTGGGGTGTTTCCATACTAGCTGTTTATACTCCAGAACTGTTACTCTTATTTACTCACTTTACAGTATCATTAAGTTTTTGCTGTGCTTTCACTGTGGTTATTTCATATTTCCCCATGCTGCATAAAGTCTGACTTTAAAAGAAGAAAGAACAATGCTAGTTCCACAGGTGCAGATGGCCTAGCACTTCTCTTCCATTTTGAGATGTGTAGTGGCAATTTTTAAATTGGTGCTAATGCACTGTGGTGAAATTTAACAGATTAAAAATAAACAATAAGGAAAGTAAAAGACAAGCATTTAAGAATGGTGTGCGGCAATAAGTAACTATTTCCTGAAGCACCTGATGAGAGAGAAGGAAACAATTTGAAGAAGTAATCAAATAAATTTAAAGTGACTGCTTTGGGATTTACATCAGGCATAGGTTGAATTAGGCAAGTTCAAGGTCATTTGTTACCTGACTACTCTTCTTTCACCAGCAGAAACTTACAAAGATTTATCCCAACACATATGCCCCTGAATCCCAACAATGCTAACAACAGGAATAAACTCCATTTAAACTCAGTGGGATTTCCTTCTGAGTAAATATTTGAAAGAAGGTCATTGCTGCTACTGTTTGTTTCTTCTCCCGTTGCTAGGGTTGTTGAACAAAAAGCAGGGTTGTTTTTAAAAGTTCCTTAAAGGGCATCTAAGTAATAAGACAGTTGCTCTTTAAAAAGCACTATAATGCATTGAAACTGCTTTAAAAAATCCCATTGAGGAATTATTAATGAACAGTTGCCTGAATGTGAATTGTACTCTTCTGCACTGGTGTGAGTGTGAACATAGCTTAGTGGAGTGTTTATGTGGAAAAGGCACAATATTCCCTGCAGTGTGGAAAATCTATTGCAAGTCTGCTCATAACTAACACTATGTAAAGCAGTGATTGGGTAGGTCTAGGAACTGTGCATCTGGAAGCATCCTTGGATCATCTTCATAATTTGCAAATTGTGTTCTAGGCATAGTGTGAGTTTCCTTTGCTTCTCAGTGAAAAATGAAGGAAGTGTAGAGTTTAGGAACCTAATCAGCCTATATTTAGGGACACATATTAAGAGTGCAGTAAATTCTTAGCTTGAAAACAAATACCACAGTAGTCATGATTACTGTTTCCAAAGTCAATAAATGGGTTTGGGGGGAAAGCCAGAAGTTTGGATTAAAAGCCAGGAAGTAACTTCTACCTCTGCCCAAAAGACTGCCTCAATTAATATAAAGTCTATAATCAGTGCTTTAATATATATAAACTTAATTTTGTGGCTCCAAATGCAAAATGTGCAGTTTTGGTATCACATACATAGTTTATTGCTAGTGTCCATTTTTATATAAGTGCACAAAGCCCTTGGGATACAGCCTTGGAACCAATAATTGGGTGTTTAACATTCTGAAATATTTTGTAAAGTTATGCATGGACATGTGTTTTTTCAAATCTGCAGTGATTTGTGCTTCACTGAAATATATTTTCTATCCAGTTGAATGAGGAAATAAATCTGTTTCATGTTGGACTGAAAAATGTAGACAGCATAATATTTGTTGATTTTTTAAAAAAACAAACACTCCATATATCAAACTCCCTTAATGCTTCTGTTTCTAGGCACAAAAATATATTCATTGAAAGCTTACACATTGTTTTGTGCAGCTACAGTAGTAGTAAAATAAGGGCCCTCACTATTTTTAAATAGGCGAGCAGTTTGTACCATTGGATACAAGTAAATAATCTGAGATATTTGTCTATTATTGATCTGTGATTATTTCAAGTTTCCTTTTGAGGTAAAGGGCCTAGAACATGAATTTTAAAATCCTGTCTCTTCACTGATTTCTTGATATTTTTTTAAAGCCAGCAGTATGATGGAAAGCTCTGAAAACATATAAGGAACAGTTTTAACAGCACAATCCTAACCATGTCTTCTCAGAATTTAATAGGACTTATCAACAATATTAAGGAGCATGAAGGCTGGAGGGCATTGAGAAAGTGACATGTTGGAGTCATGTCACTTCCACTTCTCTGTGTACTTTTCATTCTCTCCCCACCCATTGCAGACATGTGACTCCCAGAAGCTTGTCTGTGAGGAAAAGTGTTCCCTCATTCCTGATATGTAGGAACACATACTCCAGCACTGACAGAGATGTAGACGATAATAAAGTGAATGGAAATATGTTAGACAAAGTTGGCTTTGCTAACCCAAGGCACCCAAGACTAAAAATGATGCTGTCTAGTCTGCACTTGTGCAACATCACCCATAAGTTCGGTTTCAAGTCCAATATGATGGGAGAGCTTATGCTTTGCATTCACGTTCCCCAGGGTGCCGCCCAGCACCTTGAGAATGTGCTTCCAGTTGGAGCATGCCACCTTGGACACGTAGCAGTACAGGAAGCAGTGCTTGTCATTCACCAGGAGGTGCTTGAGTGCCATCCGTTGCTGCCGAGAGCTCCCACATGCGAGGTGCATCTGCTTGACCGCACGCAGAACTGATGGTCCGGTTGCAGATGTCACGCAGAACCTGCACAGCCATGTCCTCCACCCTGGCGCTGCCACCACGCCTAGCCTGTGTAATAATAAAATTTAAGGTCATATAGATCAACACAGGAAGACTGACCTGAAACCATTTTGACTCCCAAGCTGACCAAATGTTTTTTCTGCAAGGAGGGAGGCGGTCAGGGAGCCCTCCCATTGTCTCAGGAACTGAGTAATCACCATTTCAAAGGGTGACAGACTACCAGGAAAGGCAATCAGATAAGGCATTATCAGATAACCTGGCAGACAGGAAAAACAACATTCAAATTTCTGTTGTGGACCACCTTTTCTGTGATGTAGGTATGTTTGTGGGGGATGGTCTTGGGTTACACTCCTTCTGTGATGTATGTATGGAGGGGTGGTCTTGAGTTCCAGGGCAGGGAATTTAAAGATCAATAAAGATCAGGCTCACTAGATGCGTTGCTTCTCAATATTCTCTGGTTGGCCTCTGTTATTTTCTCCTACCAATAGGGAACCCATGTAAGGACTCTATACGGGCTCTTGGATACTCCATAGGGGAAAAAGGGCAGATTTTGTTTACCACACCTGGAACTCACCTCAGAAAGGGTGCAGCAGTGGGGGTTCCACCTCTGCCAGAATGCCCTTCTAGATCATCAGGAGCAGGACGCTTGACACCAGGATCACACTGAACATCAGCATGGAAGGCACAAGCAGGCATGCGCCGCTGGTGCCACCCAGCAAGCGGGCCAGGGAGACGCCCCCACGGGGTGAAAGAGCACGGAGACTCGGCTTGCTGGGCGGCCTCAGGCTGGAGGGGCACGCGGGTGCTGGTGCCACTTGATGGTGAGCCTGCCAGCCTCAGCCCTGCCAGCAGCCGCCTGCTTGGCTCTGGCCATCTGCCTGCAGAGGGCGCTTGGGCTGCGGGGCGGCTGGGCAGGACCTGTCCCCTGCTGCTCTTAGCAAGCAGGGCAGGCGTCAGGGCTGATGGGAGTTGTAGTCCAAGGCCCCTCTGAGGCCCCGCAGGAGGGGCGAGGGCGGGAGGTTGGGAAGCGGCCACGTGAAGGCAGGCAGGCAGGCAGACAAACGGCGGCCTGCTCGGAGGCGTCTCCTCGAGGCCCTCCTAGGGAGGCGGAGCGGGAGGGAGGGAGGCGCCGGAGGAGACGTCAACGCGCAGTCCAGCGTCGCTTCCTCGAGAAATCGCCGCGAGCGCCCGCATTGGCTTTCGTTGCACCACGTGCTCCGGGCGCTGCCCTTCCATTGGACGCTTTCTCTCGTGCTCCGAAGGCGGCGTGTGGGCAAAGCGGTGCGTGGGTCTCGGCGCCTGCTGTTGCTCCGAGAAGGGCAAGAGCCGCCTCCCGCCGCGAGGGTCCCCGAGGAGCGGCGGCCGAAGGAGCAGCCGGGCGCCGGGAGAAGCGCTGCTCCAGTCCCTCGCTCGCGCGGGCGCCAGGTGAGCCTCAGGCCCCGCGGGGCCTCCGCCGCCGAGAGGCCTCCCCCCCCCCCCCGCGCCCCTTCTCCCACGAGGGGACTCGAGGCGCCGCTCTTGCCCGTCAGCCTCTCAGGAGTGGGCTGCCTCCCTCCCCGGGGCTTTGCCTGCTGTTGGTCGCCTGGAAGCCTCCTTGGGTCGCCTTGGGCAGGTGTCATAAGGAATAGTCATCCCATGAGGTCCCGTTTCTCTGAAATGCTCCCGCTCCGGTGCCTGCGGGGATCCGAAGAGCCTCGTGCCCTTGGAGCATCCCTGTGCTGAGCTTGGCTTTCCTGGTGCTGTAGTCCAAAGTCTTGCAGAAATGCAGCTCCCAGGGGCAGCACCAGTGTTAGTGAGGTTACAGGGAGCCAGGCAGAGAGCCGCCTCAGTAGTTCCGCCCGCCCTGTGGAGCAGCCTCCCCTCAGATGTCGAGGAAATAAACAGCTACCTGACTTTTAGAAGACATCTGAAGGCAGCCCTGTATAGCGAAGTTGTAAATAGTTGAAGTTTTTAATATTCTATTGAGTTCTGCCCAGAGTAGCTGGGGAAACCCGGCACGATGGGCGGGATATAAATAAATAATAATAATAATTCAGAAAAGCTAGGAGAAATGGCACCCTCAACCTAGGTTTCAGTCACCACAACAATACATACAGGCACTTTTTTTTAGACAATTACTAAACCAAATGAGGATAAGATGGGGGATTTAGCTAAAGATGGAATAAATGCTGTGCACAAAAGACAAGTTATTTTGAAAGAAAGAATCAATCAAGTCTCCTTCACTGGAGGTTTTAAAACAGAGGTCGGATGGTTGTTCGTTATGGATGCTTTAGTTGGGATTCCTGCATTGCAGGGGGTTGGTCTAGATCAGGGGTTGTTCCATCAAGCACTGGTGGGTGGTAAGGAAATTTTACCATCAAGAAAGATGCATTAGTGGGCGGTAGGTATAAAAAGGTTGACTATGCATGGCCTAGATGACTTGGGGTCATTTCCAACTCTACAATTTTATGATTCTAAGTTGCAAAGCAGTTTTATTCCAGCAAAAGTAAAAACCAAACCTCTTTTACGCAATTAGAGCAGGTAGCTTACTGAAACCTTTATCTTCATAAATTTGTAAAAAAAAAACTTTGCATAGAGAATTTATGTGGTCCTTTTTGTGGTACTTGGAGGGTACAGGTCGTACAGTGAACAAGCACAGTGGGACTTAAGTTTATTTTATTTTTAAAAAATAATATTTATTCCAAATTTAAAATCACAGAAAAAAAGAAAAGCCATACAGAGTACAAAGAAATCTTTGACCATAACAGAGCAAAAAATAAACAAGTAAAAAGAACAATAAGATAGAATAAAAAAGAAAACTTAACAAAAAATGTATTAAGTTAAAAATAAAACAAAAGCAGGTTAAACCTTTACATATCCTTTTCCCTTTACTTATTTCCATTGACCTCCTCTCACCTCCCAATTTTGTATTCTAGTTCAAATCGTATTTCCAGCAAATCCCTCTAATCTTATTTTCATTTACGTATTTTAAAATTAAAGTAATATAATTAAACCTCCTCTATTTCATCAAATTCATCAACTCATCTTTGCTTATTCCATTATATCGTATCTACCGAAACGACCTAATATTCTTTTTCCAACCTCCTTCTAACATTCTTTTATATTGCAATACTTTTGAAGATATATTTTGAATTTTTTCCAATCTTCTTCCATCGACCCTTCTCCCTGGTCTCAAATTCTGCCGGTCATCTCAGCCAGCTCCATGTAGTCCATCACTTTCATCTGCCATTCTTCTCGGGTGGGCAATTCTTGTGTCTTCCAGTACTTCCCGATGAGTATTCTTGCTGCTGTTGTAGCATACATAAAAAAAGTTCTATCCTCCCTTCTCACCAATTGGCCGACCATGCCCAGAAGAAAGGCCTCTGGTTTCTTCAGAAAGGTATATTTAAATACCTTTTTCAGTTCATTATATATCATTTCCCAGAAAGCCTTAATCCTTGGGCATGTCCACCAAAGGTGAAAAAATGTACCCTCCGTCTCTTTACATTTCCAACATTTACTGTCTGGCAAATGATAGATTTTTGCTAGCTTGACTGGGGTTAAGTACCACCTGTAAATCATTTTCATTATATTTTCTCTTAAGGCATTACAAGCCGTAAATTTCATACCTGTGGTCCATAACTGTTCCCAGTCAGCAAACATAATATTATGTCCAAAATCTTGTGCCCATTTAATCATAACAGATTTAACCGTTTCATCCTGTGTATTCCATTTCAACAGCAAGTTATACATTCTTGATAAATTCTTAGTTTTAGGATCTAACAGTTCTGTTTCCAATTTTGATTTTTCCTCCTGGAAACCAATCTTTTTATCTAAATTATAAGCCTCCCTTATTTGATAGTAATGAAGCCAGTCTCGAACTTTAGTTTTTAATTTGTCAAAACTCTGCAGCTTTAGTTTATCTCCATCTTGTTCTAAAATTTCACAATATTTTGGCCAATTTGTCTCCATATTAGTTTTTTTCAGAGCCTTAGCCTCCATTGGTGACAGCCACCTTGGTGTTTTACTTTCCAACAAATCCTTATATCTCACCCAGACATTAAACAATGCTTTCCTGACAATATGGTTCTTAAAGGCCTTATGTGCTTTAACCTTGTCATACCATAAATATGCATGCCATCCAAAGACATTGTCAAAACCTTCTAAGTCCAAAATGTCCGTGTTTTCAAGAAGCAGCCAATCTTTCAGCCAGCAAAATGTGGCTGATTCATAATAAAGTTTAAGGTCTGACAGGGCAAATCCACCTCTTTCTTTAGCATCAGTTAAAATCTTAAATTTTATTCTTGGCTTCTTGCCCTGCCAGACAAATCTCGAAATATCTCTCTGCCATTTCTTGAAACAGTCCATCTTGTCCAAAATCTGCAATGTTTGAAACAAAAACAACATCCTAGGCAATACATTCATCTTTATCGCAGCAATTCGGCCCAACAATGATAACTTCAATTTTGACCATATTTCCAAATCCTTCTTCACTTCTATCCAACATTTTTCATAATTATCTTTAAATAAATTCACATTTTTAGCAGTCATGTGAACCCCTAGATATTTCACTTTCTTGACCAATGTTAATCCTGTCTCCTTCTGAAACCTCTCTTTCTCAATCTCTGTAAGATTTTTCTCTAACACCTTAGTTTTCACCTTAGTCAATTTAAATCCTGCTACTTGACCAAATTCTTGGATTAATTGCAATACTCTTTTTGTGCTGGATTCTGGCTCCTGTAGTGTCAAAACCAAATCATCAGCAAAAGCTTTCAGTTTATACTGTTTAGCTCCGAGTTGTATACCTTTAAGCAATTGGTCTTTCCTGATCATATTAAGCAGGACCTCCAGGACCGATATAAAAAGCAATGGGGAGATTGGGCAACCCTGTCTTGTTCCTTTCTCAATCTTAAACTCTTCTGTAACTACATTATTTACGATCAACTTAGCTTTTTGTTCCAAATAAATTGCACCTATACCGTTTTCAAAACTTTGGCCTACCCCCATTCCCTGTAAATTTTTCTTCATAAAACTCCAAGAAATATTATCAAAGGCTTTCTCCGCATCCACAAATATAAGAACTGCTTTAGTATTAATATTAACTTGTAGTTTTTCTAAAATGTTAATAATATTCCTCGTATTATCTGACAAATGCCTCCCCGGGAGAAAGCCCGCTTGGTCCTTATGGATTTCTTTCACCAATATGTTTTTTAATCTTTTAGCCATAATTTCTGCAAAAGTTTTGTAATCCACATTAAGTAGGGATATGGGACGGTAGTTCTTAAGCTGTGTCTTTTCCGCTTCTGTTTTCGGTATAAGTGTAATATAAGCTTCTTTCCACGACTCGGGTGCCTCCCCCCCCCCCTAATATTTCATTGCAAACTTCTTTCAAAGGCTGCATTAACCATTCTTTCAAAGATTTATAATACTTTGCAGTCAGACCATCTGGCCCTGGAGATTTGCCCAATTTCATGTCCTGAATGGCTCCTTCCACCTCTTGATCAGATATTGTAGAGTTTAGCATTGATTTACTCTCTTGAGAGATTTTTTGTAATCCATTTGTTCTCAAAAACCGATCAATGTCTATTTCTTTCTGAGTCTCCTGCGTGTATAACTGTTTAAAGTACTTCTGAAAACACATTCTAATATCCACAGGGTTCTGTATACTCTTTCCTTCTACTACCAAGTTCGTAATAGTATTAAGCTTTTGTCTTTTTTTCATTTGCCATGCCAACAATTTCCCACACTTATTCGCTGATTCAAATGTCCTTTGTCTCATCTGTTTGATCTTCCATTCTATTTCCTGATTCGTCAGTTTCATATATTGTACTTGATGTAACTTTATCTCTTTTAAAATCTCCTGTGAATTCGGTTTTGCCCTCAGTCTCTTTTCTCCATCCTTTATTTTCTCCAAGATTTTTTCCCTCTTCTCATTTTGAACTCTTTTCCTAATTGCATTTTGTTGTATCAAGAACCCTCTCATCACTGCTTTGCTTGCATCCCAAATCACTCTTTTCTCGGTCGTAGTGTTCATGTTTATCTCAAAGTAGTCTCTCAAGTTTTTCTGGGCCTTTTTGATGATTTCCTCATTCCTAAGCAAGGAGTCATTCATCCTCCATCTAAAAGCTCCAATTGGCGTTAATGCCATTTCCATCTTTACTGGGTTGTGATCAGAGCAGGTTTTAGGACAAATTACCGCTTTTTTTTATCTTCGGGGCCAGTCCCCTAGTTATCCAAATTTGGTCTATTCTTGTCCATGTCATTTTAGCTTCAGAGAAGAAGGTTCCTTCTCTTTCCAAGGGGTTCTTTATTCTCCAAATATCTACAAGGTACATATTATCAGTCATTTCAAAAAATGTCTTTGGTAGTCTGCCATCTTTCGTCACCGTTTGTCTTTGGGCTTTATCCATGTTTGTGGACACTACTCCATTCATATCTCCCATCAAAATTATATGGTAATCCAGATAGTCCAATAGGATTTCATGCAATTTTTTAAAAAATTCTGATTTTCCCTCATTTGGCGCATAAATACCTAATGTCAAAAACTTCTGACCATGAAGCTGAGTTTCAATTGCAATAACTCTTCCTTGGTCGTCTTTAAATAAAAATTTTGGTGACAGGCTTTCCTTTGCATAGAGTACTACTCCTCTTTTTTTCACATTGTCTGATGAGATAAATTCTTCTCCTAGTCTTTTATTGATCAAAATTTTCCGATGTAGCCTTGTCACATGCGTTTCTTGTAAACAAATCAAATCCAAATGTTCTTTTTTTAGTATATGAAATACTCTCCCCCTTTTTTCCCGGGAGTTCAAACCATTAATGTTCCAGCTTAATATTTGCAGTGTCATATTGTACTTACTCTCCTTCTCCCCCAGCAGCTCCCAAAAGTTTGTCTATATCTGTCGGTGGCGTTGATTTCCCTTTTTTTTGTAGACTCTTATCCAGTACGGCAGGCTCTTTTCCCAGTCCTTTCTGTAGATCTTCTTCGTATGTACTCAGGAACTTATTTTTTTCCTCCACTGATCTTATCTTTATCTTTCTTCCTTTGAAACTAAAAGATAGGCCTTGAGGGAATTCCCACCTGAAAAGGATCTTACTTTTTCTCAACAGGGCCACCAAGTCTCCAAAGTCTTGTCTTAAATCCAAAAGATGTTTCGGTATGTCTTTAAAAATTTCCACTTTTGATTGCAGAATTGTCAAAGGTTTCTCGTAATGCAAACCCAGAATTTTGTCCCTCTCTTCTTTAGATCGGAGGGTAATCAAGCAATCCCTTATTTTAATCTTTTTTCCTCCTTTTCCCAATCTAAAGGCCCTCACAATCTTGAAATCTTCTTGTTTCAAATCCGATTTCCAAAATTCTGCAAATTCTTGTGTCAGAAAATCTATCAAGGTGCCCGTCTCCAGCTCAGGAATAGCTCTAATTCTTAGATTGGTCTGTTTCTCTCTCAGTTCAATCATAGACAGCGTCAACTTGTGATCTGCAATTTCCTTCTGTAGGCCAGGTACCTTCTCAGTTTCCAGCTGCTCTACTTTAAATTCCACAGCGGCAGTTTTTTCCTGTGTCGACTTCGACTCCTGCAATAGTCTCTGAATGGATTCTGTGTTGCTGTTCACCTTTTCCCCCAAGTTATCTAATGTTTCTGTATTTAAGTCAATTTTTTTATTTGCAGTATCAACTTTCTTATTCGTTTCTTCAACCTTTTTATTCGTCTCATCAACCTTTGTACTAAGTTGTAATAAAGTTTCATTAATCCTGGCCAGAGCGCTGGCTAGAACTTCTTCTGCCATTCCACTGGACTTAGCTTGTGTTGCTGTCATAGGCAAGCCAGCAGATGATTGCCTTCGATGCCCCCAAGCTTTCCCAGACCTCAAAACTGACGCGTCTAATTTCTCTCTGCCATCTGCCATAACAATGTGAGAACCAAGGACACTTTCAGATGTGCTGTTCCTGTTTACCAGTGGAAAATTCCTTTGTTGCAATTTCAAAAAGTCCCCCTAGGTGGACACTGTTACAACAGTCCAGAGCAATCACTTTCCCTTTTAAAGTAGCAAAAAAAACAACAAACTGTATTCAGAGGAAAAAACACAGTTCCAAATAAGTTGCCTTCCAGTTATTTTTCCAACGAAACTGGGCACAATGTATCCACCTTACTATCAGCAGATCTCTTTTGACAGCTTTTGACAGCTAAGACGTCTCACTGGCAGATTGTTCCCCTTTTCTTTAAACAACTTTGCACCGTCCAAAAGCAAACCCCTTCCTTACCTACTTTCAGAAGGGTAGATTCAGAAAGAATTCTCAGGTCGGAAAACAGCTCTTTTCAAGTTAAATTTCAACGTTTTAGCTCAAAGTCTCTATGCTTTACACTATCTACAAGACGGGAAGCGGACTTCCTGTATATACCTCCCGCCGCGGTAGCCAATTCAGTCCTTATTTTCGTTCCAATTCACAGTCTTTTTTCCTTTTAAGAATTAAATCCAATTCGCAATCTTTTAAGTCCATTTCCACCTACTCACGGGTAGTCCTTTAATCCGAATATTCCAGGAAAGAAATCAGCGCTCTCTAGCAACGGCAACACGGCTTCGCTCCACGAAAGCAGCAGTCAACTCACAGCACCGCGCCTCTCCCCCGTTCCGCTCCGAAGCCTCCAAAAAAAAAAGGCTTCCTCGCGAGTTTGGGGGGCGCTGAAGGGTGCCCGCCGAGTCTCCACGTTTGCAGGCTTCACCGCCTGCGATTTCTGGGGGTCCCCGCTCCGCCACAGCGCTCAGGACCCGATTTTCGCAGAGCCGATTCCCTCCGTAACAAAGGGAATCCTCCGTTCGCTAATGGCGCTGACCGGAAGTCTCCCCACAGTGAGACTTAAGTTTAGGCATGTATGGGACAGTAACACCCATCCCTCGCAAGAGAAAAACAATCCATTTAACTGTGAAAGAGCTTTGTACAACAATGAAAGGGTTTTCTCTTCCTCAGCACATCAAAAGGAGCAAGTGGAAAGGGAACACTTCAGTTAGTGACACTGCTCTCACCCAGCCACAGGAGATTTCGGTTGCAAACCACGTGACTGGAAATCTCAACGGTCGCAAGGGGGGCACTCACTCCTGAGTTGCAAAAAGCAACTGACGACTGGTTAATTTTGAACGCTGGGCGGGACGCAGATAAATTGCATGATAATGGCTTCCCCCAAAGTCTTTATTCTAACACTGCAATCCTGAACACACTTACTAGGGACAAGAATAAATGCTATTGAACAGAATGTGGTTTATTTCTGACAGAAGCATGCATAGTATTGTGCTGTACAATGAAGACCTCTGTAAGTGGTGAGGTTTTTTTTTAGCCTTGATGTGTAATGTGTATTTTTTTCTTTGCTCTTTTAGGAAATGGATGGAGCCTTTTCTTCATGTTGAATGTCTACTTTTCAGACTGATTGCTAAACTACTATGGCAGGTCAAAGAGGAAATCACATGCAGTTCCTATCCCCCTTGTCTTCTTCCACGGTGAACTGTCATAAATCTCCATCATGTTCAAGTAAAATTCATAGTATTTGCATGGTGTCCGACTTTTTTTATCCAAACATGGGAGGAGTGGAAAGCCACATCTACCAATTGTCACAGTGCCTAATTGAAAGAGGACACAAAGTTATCATTGTCACTCATGCTTATGAAGACCGTAAAGGCATTCGTTACCTCACCAATGGACTGAAAGTCTATTATTTGCCATTAAGAGTTATGTACAACCAGTCTACTGCAACAACTCTCTTCCATAGCCTGCCTCTGCTCAGGTATATATTTGTACGTGAAAGAGTCACCGTTGTCCATGCCCATAGTTCATTTTCTGCTATGGCTCATGATGCCCTGTTCCATGCCAAGACAATGCAACTACGGACAGTTTTTACAGACCATTCCCTTTTTGGATTTGCTGATGTTAGTTCGGTGCTTACAAACAAACTCTTGACTGTATCGCTATGTGATACAAACCACATAATATGTGTTTCTTACACTAGCAAGGAAAATACTGTGCTGAGAGCAGCACTGAATCCTGAAATAGTTTCTGTCATTCCCAATGCCGTTGATCCTACTGACTTCACTCCAGATGTATCTAGAAGGAACAAAAGCACAATAACTGTTGTTGTTGTCAGCAGGCTTGTATATAGAAAAGGTAATGAGATCCAAAATATACGTGGCACTTAATGTGGCTTCTTTCTAATGCTATAGAGTTGATCAGAAATTGCCTTTCTGTTTGTATCTACCTTTTAAATTTACATAAGTTTTGCTGCATGATATTATGGCTGGTTTTATTATTATTTTATTATTTACTAAATTTGTCAGTTGTTTTATCTTACCCAGGGAAGCCCAAAGTGACTTACAGCCAAACAAAAAGACAATAAATCCCACACAGATGCATTGAAACAAAGAGAATAGAGAAATACATTAAAAGCATCCCACCTACTTCTAAAAGGTCACAGATAGTTAAAGGCCAAAGACCTGGTTATAGAGGAAAGTTTCTGCCTGGCACCTAAATATTTTAAGACCTGGCAAGTATAAAATCCTGTTTAGATCTGTGGCAGACCGCATGCAGTTGCATGTGGATTCACATGCTGCTTGGCAGGAACTGCGTGGGGCTGCCAGTTTTAACAAGTGAAACTACAGGTGAGACTGCTGTGATATCATAGGATCATGATGACCTGAGCAAGGGCTATTGTTGTTGCAGGTAGAGGGCCTAGAAGAACGGTCATAATGCATACAGTTTGTTCTGTTCCTCCAAACATGCAAATACATAAAATAAAAAGGAATGTTGTGAGATATAGGGGTGCCTAAACCAAAAACCTAGGATAGACAACAAATTCAGAGCAAAGAGCAAAAAAGGCATTGGCCCATTAACTCTTTCTAGCAGACATTTTTATCTTCAGCACTGGCACCAATGGTTTTTTTTCTGGGATGCTCAGGGATACGCTGTACCGGCACCATTTTTTTTTTTTTAGAAGAAAAATACTGACTGGCACAATGTTTTGCCTTTAAAAAATTTGCTGTCGTGTAAGTGTCACACTAAGATTGGGGAGCCAGTGTTGAAGTTCTTGCTCTGCCGTGAAGCTCAGCATGACCCTGAGTCACGTCATCTCTCAGCCTGTACTGTTTCACGGGGCTTTTCGTAGTATAAAATGAGGCAAGGGAAAGCCATGCACAGCTCCTTGGAGGAAAGGCAGGATATGACTGCAATTAATTTAGGGGGAATGATTGTGAAAGTGCAGTGTGCTACCTTCCATTCACCAGTACAAGGCATGTTGGTAATCCACCTACACAATATCTAGTGCATTTTCCTTTTGGACTGTTGCCTCTGGGCTAGTAGTTTAGATACTAGTAGAGAATCCATCCCTGCTACCTTTTCTCTGTTAGTGGACTTTATTCCCTGCTGTTCCTGACAGTAGCCATGCAACCTCACGGCTTCCAGTCTTGTGTTACATGGGAGTAAGTTCTTCTGAACCCAGGAGGACTTACTTTTGAGGAAACAGGTTTTCTAGTGCAACTGCTAGAAGAAAGTAATTGTTCAAGACACTATCTTCTCTTTCTCTTAAGTTTTGTTCTGCCTTATATATTCTCCATTAATCCTCCCTGCTTCTGTGGGTAGGACATATGATTGTTGTCTACTTCCCAAAAAGCAGCTTTTGCACAAAGCTTTGCTTGTAGTGTAGCAGATTTCTAAAATCAGGTACCACTGAGATCTCGCAGCAGTAATGAAATTTTTATGGAGTAAGATAGAGTTGAAGTAAATTTGTAAACTTCAGAAATAAACTCTAAATCTGGTCACAGTAAAAAATCAAGGAACCCAGTACAGTACACTATAGTTTTTTATTTGCAATTTTATTAACACAGTTTTTTGTCATTTTCTTTTGATGCTGACGTATGATGGAATGCTTTGTCAGGTAGATAAGTAACAAATCTGAAATACCAACTGCCTCTAAATATTATGTCTTCAGGTATAGATTTGCTTAGTGGTATAATTCCTGAACTTTGTCAGAAGTATCCAGATTTACATTTCTTAGTTGGAGGAGAAGGACCAAAAAGAATTGTATTAGAAGAGGTACGGGAAAGATACCAGCTGCATGACAGGTACTTGCCTTGCTCTTGTTTTAATACTGTTGTGGTGACTGAAGGGTCAAAGGAAGAATTGGGTGAGCATTGGGAGGAAGGTTGCAAGGGGGAGGTGCATATGGCTAATGAAATTTGCATATAATTTCCACCATCCTGCCAGATACTGAGCAGCACTTGGTAGCGTGCTGTGATTTTTCTGGAACATTCTTGTTTTGGAAGAGTGCTCTCAATTCTGGCATATTATAAACTTACAAAATTCGTTTAGGTGAGTCACTCTTTTCCATGTATGCAGCTCAGTGCACATGGGGGTAGGGGATGGCACAGCAGTCTGATAATCCGCTGTGGATAATCCCCCCAAATATGTAAATTTGTAATCTGGAAGGTGCTTGATGGTCAATCAGTATTCAGTTCTTCAAAATCTTTTCAAGATTGCTTTCTTGCTCAGTTTAAATAAGATGTCCAGTTACTTTCTTAAGATACTTGTATTTCTTCTATTCCTTGTTGGTCCACATTGAGCTTCTTCACTGAACTAGCCACTATAGCCCCAAAGTCTTGTTCCTAGTCATTCACCACCAGTCCAGATTACATTAGCATATACAGTCAAACTTTGGCTCCCAAACACCCCCATTTTGGAACATTTCAGCTCTCAAAAGCCGAAAACCCAGAAGTAAAAGTTCGGGTTTTTGAATGTTTTTCGGAAGCCGAACACCCAACACGGCTTCTGCTTGAGTGCAAGAGGGTCTTGCAGCCAATCAGAAGCCATGCCTCAGTTGTCGAACATTTTGGAAACCAAACGGGCTTCCAGAATGGATTACGTTTGACAACCGAGGTTTGACTGTATGTGAAGTTTGGATTGATTTTTTATTTTTTTTGCCATTTTACTGTCCATTCACCCAGTTTGGAGAAATCCTTCTGGAGCTCTTCACAGTCCCTTTTTGTTTTGTTCAGCTTGAACAACTTGGTATCATTAGCAAATTTGGCTACCTCCCTGCTCATTCCTAGCCCTTGATCATTTTATGAGCAAGTTAAAAAGCAAATGTCATAACACTGATCCTTGGTGAACTCCCATTTTCTACATCACTCTTTTGAAAGAACTGTCCTTTTAATTCTACAGTCTGCTTCCTGTTTCTTAACAAAATACTGATCTGCAAGAGGACTTCTCCTCTTACCCCGTGAGCCTTTGGTGAGGGACTTTATCAAAAGTCAGCTCTTTACTTGGCACAAAAGTCTTAATGTTGGGGAAGAGTGTTCCTGAGTCCCTGGGGAAGAGTGTTCCATAAGCATAATTGCTCCTTTAGGAGGAAAGGCAGGGTACAAATTTAATAAAATAAAAAATTAAATGAATAAAACAGCAGCTAGTTGCCCATCTCTTTAGGCGAGTGAAAGTGGAAAAGGAAAAATGTATATATGGTCAAACCTCTGTTCCTGAACAGCTTCATTTTGGAATGTTTCAGCTCCCAAACCATTTCCGCTCCCGAATGGTTTTTGAGCGTTTTCGATGCGGCTTCCGCTGAATGCAGAAAACTCTTGGAACCAATCGGAAGCTGCGCCTTAGTTTTCGAACATTTTGGAAGCCGAACGAGCTTCTGGAATAGATTATGTTCGACAACCGAGGTTTGACTGTATTGGCAAAGAGCAATCCTCTAAGTAACCTGGCTCCAATATGTTTAGGGCTTTAAAAATTAATGCCAGGACTTAAAATCAGGCCCAGAAATGACATGGAAACTAGTGCAGATAACTGCATTGCTCTGTTTTGGGCCTGCTAAACTGTCTGCACCATTTTAAAAGTCAGCCTCACAGTACATGACAGTAATCCATTTTGGAGATTATCATAATGGATACCCATCACAAAGTTTTCTCTATGTGGTGTCATTAAATGTTGGCTGAATTATGCCCGTTATGGATTGTATCTGAATGTGTGAACCAATGACATTTAAAAGCATTGTGGAGTTTGTTTTGATATGCAGTCCAGCCCATCAGTGTCAGTAGTGTAAATAGCTAAGAAAGTTCATAAGCCACAAAATTAGTGATATTGACAAGTGATCATACACATGGTTATGAAGACTTTTGCAAAGATTACCTTTAAAAAACTTGTTTTCTCTAATTGCATGCAGAGTCCGTCTCCTGGGAGCTTTAGAACATCAGGATGTTAGAAATGTCTTGGTTCAGGGACACATTTTTCTCAACACTTCTCTCACCGAAGCATTTTGCATGGCAATTGTGGAAGCTGCCAGTTGTGGTTTACAGGTAAAAACAGTTTCCTTGTTTAGAGAGACTAGTTGGACATTTTCTTAATAACATAATATACAACTACGCATTAACAAGCAGACTTTTGAATAACATATCTGACAGAAGTGTCTACACTTATAACTACAAGTTCTTTGGAAATGAAGAATCAGTTTGCATGAGACTTACAACTTGATTGTCAGTTCTCTGTATTCATTATGTAGAATTTTAACATAACTGGCTTGCATATTTCAGGAATGCAAGGTGTGTTTGAACCTTGATTATTTGTCTTATTCTCATCTTTGATTCAGAAAGCAGCATTTGGACAACTGAAGACTCAATCATTATCCTTAAAAAAATTCATTGACAGCTTTAAACATTAGATTGCCACATTGTGTATCTAGTGAAGGAGAGATTATTCTACAGTTTAGTAATATATGAGAAAGAAAAACAATATAAAATGAAAATGTTGAGGTAAAAGATTGAATTAAATCAAATTTTATTTTGGTTCATTTGGAAGAAGATCACTCACTGTTTGGATTAAATTAAAAAAATCATTTTGAGTCTCTGAATGTTCTCAAGTAATTACAGACTTCCATGTTTTCTGACGTGGCTGCTAGATTAAGCTAGGCAGAAAAGAGTGCAAGTCGCAAGCGCTGCTGAAACTGAACAGGAGGAATTATAGATTCCTAACTGGCTCTTTTTATTCTAGTAATGTTTGGCTGGCATAGACCAAGGAATGGGTGAGGAGCAATCCAGCTCATCTATTCATTGGTTCTGCCTGCTGCAAGTTGTTGAGATGGTGCTTCTACAGAAAGGGAAGGAGTTTGGTTTCTCCTCCTTGCATCTCTCTGAAGCGGCAGGGAGGCTGGAGTCTGAGGTCTCTGGACTCTTTGGTATCCTTCAGCCCTGCAGAACTTTGGGAGAAGCCCTCTCTCAGGGGTGTGACTGCTCACAGCTCCAGTGGGATGATGAACCCTGAAAGGTGCATTTCCACCTTTTGTCATATAGATCTCAATTTATGATCCACCAGCTATGTATTGTGTCCTGCCAGGTGATTGATAAACCGCCCCTTCTGGCTATTGCAGGAAGACATAAAAAATGTAGCCTCTAGGAACTGCTATGCATATCTGTTGTGCTGCTCAGTTTTGAGGATTCTGCTGTGCTGGCCTTTTCTACTCTGTTTAATATTTTCACGTATGTTCATATAAAATTGGCTTAAGAGGTCATAAAGTACACTGATTACTTCATTTGATTAATTCAACTTCATTTGCTTGATTTATTTACATCCAACCTTTACACACACACACACAGAGTGCTTTTTTTCTGGGGGAATGCAGGGGTACGCATACACCTAAACATTTTGTGAATTTTGTACTTTTGTCCATTTGTTTTCCCCGATTTGAACTATAGAATGGTGATTTTCTTGAGTCAAAAGTCCTGACAGTAAGAGCTGTTTGACAGTGGAATTTGCTGCCAAGGAGTGTGGTGGAGTCTCCTTCTTTGGAGGTCTTTAAGCAGAGGCTTGACAACCATATGTCAGGAGTGCTCTGATGGTGTTTCCTGCTTGGCAGGGGGTTGGACTCGATGGCCCTTGTGGTCTCTTCCAACTCTATGATTCTATGATTCTATGAAAATGAGAGTACCCCTAAACATTTTTAAAGAAAAAAGCACTCTGTGTGTGTATACTTTTCAGCATACACTACAATTAAAAAACAACTAATCCAAATAATAAAAAAGAAAAGAAGAAAAGAAGAAGCATAAAGGGGGGGGGGGATAGAAAGCCATCTTTCAGAGGTGCAGCTTAGCTCTTGTCCCCCACTGAAGGTGGGGGACCCTCCCAGCTCCCACTTGGGAGATCTTCCCTGCCTCTCACGCATCCATCCAACACCTTTTGTGCATACCTTCATTAATCCAGAGTAGAGAAAGCAGGAAATAAAGGTAATAAAAAATAAAAAGAAAGAGAGAAAAAAGAGAAATAAAGATGACTTTCATCTCTTTAATAGAGAATTGCATTCCTTTCTTATGCTAAAGAAATTATTTTCACTTTTGTAGCGCTTCACAAAAAGGACAGAGCATTAAAAGTAATATAAAATAAAGATTATTAAGCACCCTTATCCGTTTATAATCTTTCTTAATCACAAATACCTGTCTCATCTTACGCCAGCAGTCCATTTGTGTTCTAGGTGAAAATTAAGTGGTGGATAGATTCACGTCCGTCATAATTCATCCCAGTCTCAGAAGTAATTAAAAGAAGGGAGCTTTAGCTGACCTGATGTCCCAAGGACTAACCTTCAGGGCTATTATGCAGGCACAATGGTGATTCCTTGTTCCCAACACGTTCCCTCCATCCAAAAACTTCATCTAGTCCAACCCTTTGCAATGTAGGAATCTTAGCTAAAGCATCCATAACACATGGCCATCCAACCTCTGCTTAAAAACTTCCCAGGAAGGAGAGTCTATCACCTCCTGAGGGAGACCATCCCATTGTTGAACAGCCCTTACTGTCAGCACTGTTTAGTTGAAATCTCCTTTCCTGTAACTTGGAGCCATTGGGAAAACAAGCTTGCTCCATCTTCCATGTGACGGCCTTTGAGATATTTGAAGATGGCTATCATATCCCCTCTCAGTCTCCTCTTTTCCAAGCTAAACATGCCCAATTCCCTCAACCATTCCTCATAAGTCTTGGTTTCCAGACCCTTGGTCATCTTGGTTGCCCTCCTCTGCACATGTTTCAGCTTGTCGACATCCTTCAATTGTGGCACCCAGAATTGGATAATGTATTCCAAGGCAGACCAAGGCAGAGTAGAGTGGGATTACGACTTCCCTTGATCAGGACATTATACATCTGTTGATGCTGCTGCATCACACGGTTGACTTCCATTAAGCTTGTGGTCCTTTAATCTCCCTATCTTCAAAGGTAGAGAGTAATAACAAAGGTTTATGTTTTGCCTATTGTTAATCACAGCATAATTATCTTGTTGTAGTGTCAGCAGTCAATGACTAGCCAGCCAGCTTTTCTCCTGGAAGTCCCACATCCAGTCTATCCTCAAAAAGACTGAAGGAAGCTGATAGCAAAAATAAAAATATGGATTTATAATGTCAAAACGCCACCTTCAATCTAATACAAAAGAGCAAAATTAAAACAGCTTGTCTAATGGATTTGTAAGATATTAGTACTGGTGGAGGGTGTTTGGGCAAGAAGTGACCTGTTTTGACAACGGGGCGGGGGGTCAAAGGAGAGAGAAATGGCGCTGAATGGAAGTGTCTCCTTTCTTGAGGAGTTTCCACAGTCATGAGTCTCCCTGTGTAATTTTGGGCCATTCATATACTCTTCATCTGATTTACCTCACAGTGTTGCTATAAGGATAAAAGTTGAGATAGAAGCTGAGAAGGCCATTTATGCCACCTAGATGGAAGGGCAAGACAACACATTTATTTATACATTTACAGCTGATCATTTGGAGGTGAAACATTCATTACTGTGTTGTATTATTGATATAGTATTTTTGAAACCTAAATTGCCTGATAAGTATAATATAAATTTTCCTGCTATTTTAGGTGGTGAGTACAAGGGTTGGTGGGATTCCTGAGGTGCTGCCAGATAATTTTATAATCTTATGTGAACCTTCCGTGAAATCTCTCTGTAATGGTTTGGAAAAGGCAATTCGTCAACTGAAGTCAGGATCGCTTCTGTCTTCAGAAATAATACACAACAACGTTAAAACTTTCTATACTTGGAAGGATGTTGCAAAGAGAACTGAAAAAGTAGGTACACTTCCATATTCTGAGACCCATTATATTTTCCTGGTCTTTGTTTTAGTGTGTGTGTGGGGGGGAACCTGTGGCCCTCCAGGTGTTGCAATGCCCATCAGCCCCCAAAAGCTTGCTCAGTGGTCAGGGATGGTGGTAATAGCAGCCCAGCAGCATCTGAAGGGTCAAAGGTTCAGCAGGGAGGCTTGAGTATTTTTCAGAGTGGAGGGTGAGCAGCTCTACAAATATGTTGTTTTTATGTCATACTTTGTTGTGATATTACGTAACAGAAATAAGTTCTCAAATTCCTTGTGCTGGTAGCATAATTTGCAAGCTTCATTAAAATTGCCTTCACTTGGGCCCTTGCATAACATCTCCTAGTTGTTTCACTATTTAGCTTGTTGGTGTGGAAATCCTTCTAACTAACAGTCTTTACTAGATACTCCTAACTTATTTCCACCAGAAACCTTCACATACATTGTACTCTGTACTGGAGCAACCCTAGTCAGATGAGTAAATTCTCCACCTCCCCTAGATGCAATGTTATTGAGAATCAAGAGCCTCCCTTTGCAAAACAGTCTGTGGACCTGCTGCTGAGAGAGAGCTGCTACCTATGGACCTCTTTCTGAGATCTCTCCTAAGCCCCACAAGTGCTTGTGCATATGCAGAAGTACACCCTGTATTGGACTTAGAATATAATCAGCCTTATAAGCAGATGTCTTGCCTATTAGATGATGCAATCTAAACATTGCAGACAACCCTCATGTATTCCCCCCCCCTTTCTTTCTTAGGTGTATGACAGAGTGGCAGGTGAAACTGTATTACCAATGGGCAAACGACTTGACAGACTAATCTCTCACTGTGGCCCAGTGACCGGCTGCATTTTTGCTCTTTTTGCTGTGCTCAGCTTTCTTTTCCTGATCCTCTTGAGGTGGCTGACACCAGATTACCTTATTGATGTTGCAATAAATGCTACAGGAGAAAACGGGGCATGGACTCGACAGTATTTCCCCAATAAAAACAAAAAAGAGAAGACTTCGTTCTGTTAAAGGTGCTAACAAACAGGACTGCATTCTCCTATGGTCCAGCATTGTCTGTTAGATTTACATTTGCCAAGCAATGTTTTTATAAATTACTGGACAATTTTTCTTGATCTTTGGAAAGAAGATGTTCTACCTCAGATTAGGATAGTCTAAAATGGCTTAGGATAGTTATGCTTGCCAAGACCTGCCACAATAGCTGATCACATTTCTTTCAACCTGAATGATTTTGTCTAAATATGGAGAATCTCATTGTGGCAATTACTGAAAGAAAGACTTGGGTGAATAGGTGGAATTTTACTGCTTTCCCTATTTTTAATATCCTTACCTTCCCCCAAGCCTTAAAGATGAACCTTCTGTTCCAGCGCAAACCAAGTGGAGATCAAAATTGTAACTCTAGATGTCAGGTGTGCTTTTTAAGGGTCAGACACCAATGTGAGACACAGGTCCCATAGAGAAGATTGGACTGAATCTTTCTTTAGGTTTCTTGGGCACTAATGAACAGTATGAAAACAAGCATATTTTAATTTTTTGCATGCTTTCCTGAATATACATTTTAAAATGTGTTCTTTGGAAGAAGTTGCTTCTTGCTGGTGTTACAATTTACTTTTTATGGTTTTGTTCAGACACATCTGGAAACTGCTTTCATGCTGCACGGATAAGCCCAAGAGAGCCTCCCTATCTCCAGGGTGCAACAAGGAGAAGGTTGGAAGTTTCTGCTTTTATGTAAAAAAAGCAACAACAACCCAAAACCTATGGTTCCCCTTTATGGATAAACCTGGGGGATTGTTATTCTGAGTTATTCAAACCATAGTTTGTTGAAATAAACCAGGATCAACCATGGTTTCAGATCCTGGTTTGTTAACTAGTGCAATTCTATCCAGCTCTGAGAAATCCAAATGGTTTACTCCCAAATCCGTTTGCATAGGATTATAAAATATGGCAGAAATAAACCCTTGTTCCCTAAATTCATTAATTACAGGGAACTGTGGTTTGCTTTAAAGTAGAATTGGAACCTTCCAATTTCTTCATCATGCACCTGGCTTCCCAGTTTATCTGAACTGTCCCTATGTTTTGGCTATTTTGTTATTTTTAACATCCCATTACAATATTGATATGACAATCAACACTGTTCTCTGTGCTTTGGGGTCTTGGTGTTTAATTTGTCTCACTGTGGCTCCTAGCTGTCTCCTACTTTAAGGGTAGCAGGCAGACACCACTGGAAGAAGTCCCCACAGGGACTGAATATGAGTAAAATGCAAATCAGGTTAGAACCTAGTTGCTTAGTATTTTTAAGGGTGGCTCTTTTTCTTGGTTGTAAAAGTATGAATGCAAAATTAAGAGATCATGTATGAATAATGATTACTGCATGTGCTGGATATGTGCTTCTGGAGGGGGGGACTGTATGGATGTTGTAAGGTACAAGTGCTGAGGTTTTTAATTAATTAATTAATTAATTTTAAGATCCTGTTTATTGTCCATGCGTCTTTTCTGCCACCTTCTTCAGCTTAAAGCTACGTTCCTGTGCAACCTTATTGGGGAATAAAAGGTAAAAGACCCCTGGACGGTTAAGTCCAGTCAAAGGTGACTATGGGGTACGACACACATCTCGCTTTCAGGCTGAGGGAGCTGGCGTTTGTCCACAGACAGCTTTCCAGGTCATGTGGCCAGCAGGACTAAACTGCTAGGTTGGTGCAACGGAACACCGTGATGGAAGCCAGAGTGCATGGTAATGCCGCAGCGATACCTATTTATCTACTTGCACTGGTATGCTTTCGAACTGCTAGGTTGGCAGGAGCTGGGACAGAGCAACAGGAGCTCACCCCGTTGCGGGGATTCGAACAGCCTACCTTCGATCAGCAAGCCCAAGAGGCTCAGCGCCACCCGTGTCTCTCTGCCAACCTAGCAGTTTGAAAGCATGCCAATGCAAGTAGATAAATAGGTACTGCTTCGGCAGGAAGGTAAACGGCATTTCTGTGCGCTAGCCATCTGTTGACAAACGCCAGCTCCCTTGGCCTGAAAGCGAGATGAACGCCACACCCCCAGAGTCGTCTGCGACTGGACTTAACTGTTCAGGGGTCCTTTACCTTTACCTATTGGGGAATAAGTTCAGTGGGACCTAGTGGCTGTGTTCACATTTAATGCTAAGCCAGAAAATATGAATTCCTACTTTGCTTCTGCCTTCTGCAAGTGGGGAAACCAAACCACAAAGTGGTTGGCTTAGTATGTCATCCAAACCTGGAATCATAGTTGTTTCCCACAAACAAACCACGGTTGCCATGACTTCAAGTTGGCTAGTGGTCATGATTTGTTTGAGTTCAAATGTCACAGGAAACCATACCCTCCATGGTTTATTTTCCTGAAGCAGGAATGCCTGTATCAGTGCCTAGCTTGAAGTTTAATCCATAGTGGTTTAATAAACTTTATTTTCTGGCTTCGCATTACATGCAAACACAGCCTGTGGAACCTGATTCCAAGTAAACATGCAGAGAAGTGAGAAGTTGACAGGTTTGTAAAGACCATTGGAAATCATTAAGGAATTGAAACATACCTTCAGTTCACACAAATAAGCAAATGTTTTAAGCAAAGTATTTTCCTCTATTTTCAGTGTATTAGTACAAAGTTTTTGCATCCCTCAGGTGCATGCATGTACTTTTTTATGGGGTGAGGTGAAGGGGTTGGTGCTACAGGCTTGCTTAAGGTGGCATTTGGTGGCTTACAAAAAGAACTTGCACAAGTTAGACCAACTGTCAAACAAAATTGGAAGCTGAAAATTTGCATCTCTTACTGACATTACACATTGGTGAATGCAATGTTAATGTGACTTACCAGCTTTTATCTTGATCACCAGTACTCAAATGGCATTCCTATGTCCTTGTGTCATAGAATTGCTTTAATAGCTGAAAATTCTAATTTTTTATTTTCACTATTGTAAGGCACTCCAGTTTCCCTGTAGTGTGAGATACTGAGTGAGCAGGGTTAGATCATTTTGTAATTTTACACATTTTTTTCTGTTTGGGAAACACAGGTAGGAAAGAGGCACAATTTTTCAATCTAGTCAATAGGCTATCAAAGGGATGTAGAGGCTTTTTGGAAGTGATCTTGGTCCATGTTATTTTCCATATGGCAAGTGTTCTATCACCAGTCGGGATTTAAAAAATTTTTTTTATTAAAGTTTGTAAAAGAATACAAAGATTAATATCAGATATCTTTTTATCAGGGTAAAAAAATAATCTAAATAAAAACAGACCAAAAAAGGGGGGGGGGGAGAAGAGAACTCCTAACTTCTCAGGAGTTAGGTACCAATTTTACATCATTTTGTAATAACTCTCTTTTAAATCACAACACAATGTGTATTTTAACTATTTAGTCCACATTTGTTTTTCTTGCATTTCAAATTTCAACTAAGTTTATATATTTCTGCAATAACATGTTTGTCATCTGTACACAATTGTATTTCAATATCTGTCTTTTTTTGTTCTATACCAAAAGTCTTATTATCCAACTTAAATATTTCTGTTAATTGTAAATGAGAAAACAGTTGGAGGCCATAACCTTTCACTGTTTACTGTTCCCTTGTTTTAATTGTACAGTCTCCTTGATTCCACATTTTTCTCTCTACTGTCCTGTATTGGGGAGACCACGTCATTCCAGTCTCCCATAAGGCACAAATTTTCATATGAAAAGTCCATCAACCTGTCCACAAGTTCTTTATAAAATACAGATTTCTCTTCATTTGGGGCATAAATGCCTACAACCAAAGTTTCAGTCTCTTAGATATTAATTTCCACCCCAACATATCTACCTTGTTCATCGGAAAATACCAGTTTGAGGCAAAATCGGGAATGTATATATAGAACTCCATTTTTTCTTCAGTCCTGCAGGGATAGATTCCTCACCTATTTTCTTTTAATCAAATATTTTATATCCCTTTTCTTGATATGTGTCTCTTGTGAACAAATTAGATTCAGTTTCATTTGTTTTCAAACCAATAACTTTTTTCTCTTTTGAGGAGCATTTGCTCCGTTTATATTTCACATTAAATATTTGAAATCCACATCTGGGCAAATTATTTTGTCAAGTCTGTACTTACAGCTCCCAGTTTTGTTCCTTCAGTCTCATCTATTTACATAACTGCCACACCTAGTTTAAATTTCTCTTGCTCTCTGTACTGAATCCAGTCAATATCTGTGATGTTTAAAGGTGAAAGTCACTCCCTCTGGTGTGTTCCATCTAAATTGGATTCTTTTCTGCGTATGTTTACTTGAATTTCTTTTATGCGGTGTCTGCTGTGGCATTTCTTTCAGTACAATCACATCTATATTGTCAATTTTCAACCTAGTCTCAAAATGCTGCTGCAGGACTTTGTCTCTAATTTTCTTTCTAACAGATTGGACCAGAATATCTCTTGGCACCTTTCTTAGCTTTGCAGAACGTGATTTTGTCTGTTTCTGCCTCCAAATCATCCATAGTCTTTTCCAAAAAGCATGCCAGGGAATTAATGACTTTAACCCTAATATCTTCACCCTTCTCTTCAGGAATTGTTCTAAATCATAGGTAGAACTCTTTGTCTTTCAATTCTAATAATGCCAAATTATCCAAATATCTTTCTATCTCTCTGTCTGACTTCCCAGAATTTCCACTTTATCATTTAATTGCTTCATTTCTCCAGACAGTTGCATATAAAAGGCTTCTATTTTATTAACAGCCCCTTCCTAACCATGTCAAATGTTCACCTTTTTTTAATTCAAAATGTCCGTGTCCTTTTAAATTGCCTTTATGATTTCATTTTTAATTTCATTCATCTCTGCTTTAAGAGATTTTGCCTGTTTCAGCACCATCTGCTGTATGTAGAAGAGTCTGTTCCATGTCTTATCAGATGATAGTGAAATAGTGATAAATAGTGTGTATGCTGAAAATGTCAAAGAAGCAGCAACATTATTTGTTTTCAGTAGAGGATACTCCTCACTCACATGGAGGTTGCATTCCGGGGCCCCGCACACATAAGTAAGATGCTTGTTTTCTGTCTCCCCCCTTTTGCTTGGAAGGGTAAGAGGGGAACAAGGGGCAGCGGAGACCCTCTTCCTCCCTTCTCGCCCTCAATCTCACAAGGAAGGGCAGGGAAGCTGTGCAACTCAGCCGGCCGCACGAAACAACTTCCCTCCCATCAGCTGTTGAGCGGACGAGCAGAGCGCAGCAGCAGAGAGCACTCCCGCCTGCCATTGTGGAATCAAGGACGGCGCGTGGTTGGCTCACATGGAAATCAATGGCAGAAGGACAAAGCATTAAGGGGGAAAGCTGCCATGAAATGAATCAGAAATTGTGGCATCAAGGAAGCCATTTTATTTGTATGCCACTTTCCAGAGTTAAAACCATGCTCAAGGTGGCTTACAACATACAGTACGCCCACAACTTACGTGCATTTGTGCACATTCAGCTTTACATGTGGGGCAAAAAAATAAAAAAGGGGATGGGGTTTGGGGGGAAATGACTTTGACATTGCAGCCCACCATTGAACCCAATGTGTTTTTGGTATACACTATTTTGGCTTTAGGCGCAAGACCCTGGAATGTAACTCCCACATAAGTTGTGGGTTTATTGTATTAAAAAAACACCTAACTACAGACATACCAAAAGTAGTCATAAACAATAAACAAAATATCAAAAATTACACAACCAAATTGAACAATTTTCACATAAATGATAAGATCCAAAATAAAGATACAAAAAATTAACAGAAACAAGAGCAACATCCCACCCCCAGCACCACACAGCCACTAAGCAACACCCCAGGCCAA